ATCGTGATCTGCTTCAAAGTGGCCGTTGTGGTGATCTGGCCGTTGTGGTGTCCAGCACCACCTTATGAGAGGTGGGGTTCGGCACGAGTATCGCGCTCTTCCTCTTTTGATGGCATCAGCATCTTCTTCAGATAGAGAATTCATCTTGTTCCTTCTCTCCTGATGGACTGATCATCATATTTAATACCCTATGGCGGCTCTGATGTCTTGGAAAGCTAGCTCGTCAGAATTGAGGGACGCAGCAAGGTATTCAAAGATTCAGGAGAAGCATCCCTGCAAAAAAGGCACCGCAGGAGGACAAGTCCTCACTTTTAACGACAAAACCGGCTCGTTAGAAAACCACACAGCCGGAGAATAGTACCGCCACGTCCCCATCGTGATGAAAATGAAGCCTCTTGCAGGAGAATGGGAAGACAAGACGACATGACGATTATCGCCTGACTAGGGTCGTGGGTGATACTGCTGCTCATCCGTACTATGTAAGTATTGACAAGAAAGTATGGCTAGAGGCTGGGAAATGAAACCTAGCTAACGTGCAGAGCCTGAGACATTGGGATCGGGATGAAAAATGAGTGAGTCTAGAAGATCTTGCCTGTTTTTTAGTAGAGCCCCGGTACGTGCACGGGCTAGATTCTGCGTAAGGGGGCAGATTTCAGACAGCTCTTATTACAGTAGGAAGAGGCTGTCCTGTTCTCTTGGCCTTTAGCGATACAGGGTGTTAAGTTGCTGCTGCTTAAGAATGCAGAGCCCATTCCACCTACAAGATTGGCTTCATACTTGGCGTCAGGTGATTTCCCACAGCCTGGTATATGGGTACGAGTACCCACGCCCACCCTAACTGGGCTTCGTATCGTGATTGCAATGACGTTTTGCTCAACACCAAGGTATTTCCTACCCTTTTTGCGTTCATCTGGTCCCGAAAGGCGACATCTCGATAGCGTTTCCGCCGTTTACGTTGCTCGGTCGCTCATGATGCACCCTTACTTCCTCTGTCTTGAGGATTCCGCTATAGTCCGGGGACGACGACTTTATTTGGATGATGTCCTCTGAGTCCCGCAGGGCCTCTTGGGAGTCCTTCCACGCCTTATTCGACGAGACGACAACAGACCTCTGGCTACAATGCCCATGGGAACCGTATATGTTTGTCTGCCGTGCTTCTGAGGCCATGTGACTACCCCACGGTTTTGCGGCGTACGGATTGCTTTGGTTGTACTTAGTTCGGTTGTGGCTTGACTTGAGCTCTTGATACAGCATCCTCCTGTTTTTCATCATGTCAGTCGGGCTGGTTTCCGTGTTGCATTACGGTGTTAGTCCAACTTACAGCATAGGAATGGATATAGCCATGATGGAAGCAGCGGGCTCCGTAAAGGTCCAAATGGTTAAATCGACGCGATCGTAAGTGATGTCGGGGCTCGTCATGTTGACGACCATGACTGCTTTGACAATACCGGTGGCTCCGGCACTGGAGGGAGCGTTAGCAAACTTGCCATCCAAGGCTTTCACTCGGGGTTTCTCACACGGCCCCCAAGCTCATGGCCACGGCAACCCCAACCATTTCGCGGCGACGTATCGAAGCGCCCATGATAATCTGCCATGGTAGGCCGGCCAAGACAAAGTCCAAAATGGCCGAATAGTCTGGTCGCACGAGGTTAACTCACGACGCATCTTGAAAGATACCATTCGGACCCTCGACTCACAAGCAGCGAATAATTGGAATTTCACCAATTTGTGCAGGTCCCAGCAGGTTCCTTGCACGTCTTTGTCCCACACTCGTTTCAAAGGCGTGCATTTGGCCAAGCCGAAGATCCAGACCAGGTTCATGGAAACATTGGTTGTTACAATGATGAAGACGAGCAGGTATTTCATCCAGGAGGCATCGGTGATCCTGTACAAGGTCAGAGCAAAGGATGATTTGCTCGTTGTGGTCGCTATGATGGCGAATATCGCGAAGAGGATGGTGAACAGGCTGATCGTCTTGAGGTCTTCTTTGCTAATGGTCTCCATGCGCTGGCCAAAACCGAGGCTCACAAGGTACGTTTGGATCGCCGCGGCGATGGTCAATGAAACCTATGGCAAAAAGCATGAGTATCCGGGTGACTTGGGTACGTCGGGGTCGGGCCCGTCGGAGACATACCCATGAGAGGATCAACACGTGGTCGTCCCACCACAAGCCCTTGGCTCGACAGAGCTTGCAGTATAAACGGAGAAAGAGCAGTATCGCCGCCGCGGCCGTCAGCGACCACAACGAAGCGAGAATCTGAGCGCCTCTGTCGTCCTGCCCCATGATAAGAGCCTTGCTCGCAGTTGGCCGTACCAAGAGCTTTGAAGTCGGGAAAATAGTGACGCTCGGAAGGGGTATAGGTGAGGATTGATGCTGGGATTCACCGCGGAGATCCCCCTTCCCGAACCGTTGTCATAATTCAGATGAAAGGCGTGAATCTTTGCATAGTACGTGCAATTCGTTTCAGGCTTTGCGGCAGAGATTATATCATATATATGGCACGGCGCGAGTCAGTGTTCCGCATTAGTTGTGCTGGTGGCTGTCTGTCCCAGGGGCCAGGTGCCGCCACCCTAATCTTCGCGCGAGGTTAGATCATCTAGCGCCAGCCGGTGGCATTGGACGACCATCACAAGCCGCAAAGGAGTACGGAGAGGCGAGTAATGTCCCTCCATCCAGGACTCTGCTAGTTCCAATTAGTTCCATCCCCAATGTGCGGGGGTCCCGGAAAGCTGAACCTACCCTGTCTGCCTGTGGCGGGGACCGTACGCAAATCTGAGCGCCCGAGGGGCGGGAGGAAGCTGAAACAAAATGGATTGGCGATGTCGCGCGTCTTTGTGGCCGGCCGGCCATGTCAAAGGGAATGCATATTGTGTCAATTGGGACTGGACTTTTGCGGTTGACGGAAACATGAAGCTAGGCCATGGCACGATTGCGTAGTGCGTGCGTACATATAAATTGCGCCTGACCACCCATGATCGCGCCAAGACCAAGAAAGCGTCCGCGAGGTTGCCCGTGCCTACCCTACACCCCCTACTTGCCTCTGGCGGCCCCTACCGGGGTGCTGGCCTCGCTTCGCTCGATTAGCCCAACTTACGTTACTTTTGTTAACATATACAAGGTGGAACTAGAAAGCAGTGTCTATCTGCCTCGGCATGCGAACAGTGACACCAACGTGTGGCTTGGTTCACGCTGGCATATGGACAATGATGAAAACTCCATATGCCAACTGAAGGTGCCCACCGCGTCTTTGTTGAATGATATACATGTGTAAAGCAATATACGCATGGAGAGTCATTCTCGTTTGGCAAAATTGTTGATCAGGCCGAAGCAGGCATCATTAGCATTGACAGTTGCTGGTGAGATCTCTCGCCCCACAGCCATTCCTGTGCGGAAAGGCCATAAAGGCGCGACTTCGTGCCCTCCCAAGATCAATCTGATCTATGGTACCTACATGGGCGTGCACAACAAAAAATACTCTCGAGACTTCTTCCTTGGGATACCCTACACACAGCCTCGTGTCTGCACTCTGTGGTTCAAGGCACCTGAGCCTCTGACTGAAGCATTCAACGGGACTCGGGCTGCTGCTGAGTATGGTTGGATGTGTAAGTTGTGTCTACCTGATTTACCATTATTGTATCATGTGTGTCATGTTGAAATTGCTTACAGAGTCACGTCCAAGGGCTAGCGCGACCCCAGGTACAACCTCATAAATGAAAACAAGTGTGACGTTCAGGTCAGACTAGCTACAGGGTAGGTAGATCTGAAGTTTGTTTACGTTATAAACCGAGTACACTAGGAGGTCGTTAACTTGAGCGGTCGGACAACACAGTCTATGTGCGAGATAGCAGATCTTGCGTAGACGATTGTATTTATAGCTGAGGAGCTGGTAGAGACTGAATATGGTGAAGCATGGCTTCTATATACTATGGGGATCATTGCGCGAGGTAAGTGATACTCATGGATCATGAGGATCATGAGATGAGCGCGGTGATCCGGATCATAGTGTTTCGTGCATGATCCGAAGTAATTGGTGAATAATAGTGGGCCATGTGTCATGTCACGTGCGGGCCGCATGACGGCAATGCGGTCGCGTGTTGGTTGGGTCGTAACAACAAGCCTATTGTCACTGTGTCTATCAACTGCCGTCTGCCTCTCTGGGGACTGCGCACGCGAAGACGCGCATCAACACTGACGACGAGTTCACATCCTGGCTCGCAAGCCAAGGTCTCAACGACGCTCGGATCGCCACCGTCTCAATCCTTTACGTGACGACCCTGCCGTTGATATCCCTGCATTTTAAAAAGGTCGCCCCAACTCCTGCCTCATTCGGTTCCCAGTTCAAGAGAGTCGCTGCCTTTTCCAGAGACTACCAGCAATAAGCCGGTAGGAGAGCCCTTGCCAACGCGTACGCTGCTGCAGGCATGCCCGTGTATACGTACACCTACCTACCTGTGGAACGTCATCGTCAACGGTCTCCCCAACCTTGTCTACGGAGCCCCTCACTTCCAAGAGGGAGCGTTCGTGTTCAACGTCTCTGGCCGAGGCTACTCACCAAGTCCGTTCGAGGGCATGCTTCAGAGCTATGTAGAGCTGGCGGATCTGATCACCGATCGTCTGGAAATTAGTGTGAAATTAAGTTAATGATTGTAGCGAAGCTAAACGGCAGGCAGAGGGTCGGGAAATTCCAGTTGTATTGTAGTAACCAGCACTCAACTAGTAGTCCCGACAGTAAAAGACCTCCTCGCACGCCTCTTCCAATTCGCCGCACCTTAGCTCAGCTATAGGAACAGGGCTTCTGATACTCTTTCGTGTTCCAGACTCTAGCTTTAGAGCTTAGAGACCAGGAAGTCAGCAGCCTCGGGCGCATCGGACCCGTAGCTAAGATGAGGAGCCAAAACAGCTGCAGCCAAGTTGCCATCGCAAACAGTGTCGCGGTTCAGCCCGCCGCAGAAGACCTTATACCTGTCGCGAGGAAAGTTGGGGATCTGACCATCATCCCTGCGGAATTGGGTGTCACCAAAGCAGACGGCGCCCTTGATCTTGTCCTTGATCTCCTGTTCGATATCCTCGACGCCGCGGTGAACGACGGCCGCTCCTTGACTAATAGGACGAGAAAATTAGCTGATGGCTATCTTAGTGGGAGGGAATAGGCGGGCAAAATTACCTATAGCCAGACACAACAATGTCAGCGTCGGGGCACTTGGTGTGGGCCAAACGAAGCATCGACTTCATTTCGTCCTCAGACTCCTGGTCAGTCCCACCAGGAAGGTAGTTGGGAGCCACAGCAGCATCGTAGTTGACACCCTGGACGGTCAAGTCGCGGCCATCCAGACGGTCCTCAAGCTCGCTGGCCAGGTCAGGGCCGACGATGGTGCCCATGTTCCCGACCTCTGTGGAGCCACGAGCGAAGATGAGCACAACATCACCGCAGCTCGACCCCCCGCGCGTAAGTCCGTTCTCCCTCGTGGGAAGAATCTGGCGAGCGACGAACTCCGGGTTCGCAGTGACGTCCTTTTTAGTGACGATGGGTGCAGGCACGGCGACACCAGCTGGAGCAGCGATGGCAGCAGACGCCAGGGCGAGGATTGACAAGAGTTGCATGGTGACTTTGGAGTTGAGCGAAAAGAGACGAGTTGAGTACGAAGACGTGAGGGCTGATGCTGAAGAGGCTAGGAAGAGTTGCGAAGGCTGGCTGTTGCTGCTGAGCTTCTCATCTCAAAGGCTGGAGGCGTTCGCGTCTTTATACTTTTCTTCTTGCATCCCCTTCTCAAAGTCTACCGCTTTAAGAATCTTACTTTCCGACTGTTGACACTGATTGCTTTTGAAGTGCTATGCCTAATTTGGGTCATGAAAGCGAAAGTCCACCGACTCCCCATCTCTCAAACTTTGCCAGATGCAGCATTCCACAATGCCTCACAGGAAACATACCTAGCTAGAGGCCGTGTCCCTGCACGCGACTACCTACTCACAAAGCGCCAGTACTAAAACAGATCGAGTAGCGAAGTAGATCGTGGGGAAATTTCCGCAGATGCAATGCCGAGGCCAGATGCCGAGGCAAGAAAGCCGCCGCGCTGTAACGCGACTCGAAACGCGACTCGAAACGGTGTGTATCATGCAGAAAATCCCATCTTCCCCTCTGCCTTAATGCTTGGTGAGGGGTTGATCAGACGGCGATAATACAATCATCCACCGATGCTAGACTTCTTGAAGAGATGTCTTTGTCCGAAAAGGGGTTTGAGTTGCGAATAGCTTCGGGGGACTATCATCCGAGCATGGAGCGGAAACGCGGGGAAAACGCGGGGGGTGGAGGAGGCTAGAGTCTCGGTCCTGCACGCGTTGATTGGAGCTCTGCCAGTAAGAACCGGCAAGACATGTGTCTAGGACGAAAACAGGATGGTCCATATTATTAGAATAGATTCATGGTTACGAATTATTGTCGCATTCGGCTGGGAACGGGCTCATTAAATAATCATCCTGCACGTCTCGCCTTCCGTCGAATGAGAGGCCGCGCTCGCCGCCTCCGATTTCCGAATCGGGCATCTCTGACTCTGGGTCTGACACGCGTGGTCCGTGGAGCAGACTCGACTGACAAACTACTATTCATCCATCCATCAATCCATCCATGATCCTTGGAGATCTTGGAGGGTTTACTCGTCAAAGTTTTCCGTCATTGGGCTCCAAGTCCTCATACACCCAGCCAGATGCAAAGGAGAAAACCAAGATGGTGTCCGTAGTCTCCCGGTCCACCTACTCATCCCTCCAACACCTAGGGCGCAAGAAAACGTCCTCTTCTTCGTCGTGGGCCGACTCATGCCGCGTCGCTAGAAAGAAGATGGTCGCGTAGATGCAGCAATACAAAAATTCTATCGAATCGTATAATGCTCATCGCGAGCCATCACACCGTCGCAGGCGCCTTTTCGTCGCTACATGTAGACGCGGCCTTTGGCCTAGCCGTGCCGTAATCCAAGCGCTCCCACCTCATAAAGACACCACACAATAGACAAATCGCACCACTGGCAATAACTATATAGAACTCATCCGCAATCACCTGCACAACAGCCTCGACACCGTGCACGCGCACCTCCGCGTCATCCTCGTACCAGACGCTGGACGACATACCAGCCAGAGCCTCGCGCACCTCGTGCGTGGTGAAGGCGCCGTCCTGGTTGATGGCGTCCTGGAGCAGATCGAAACCAGCATTTTGGTAGATGGCCCCCGCAACCGCGAGGATGGCGATGCCCGTCATCTGAGTGAGATTGCAGATTACGGAGCTGTCGACCCTGTCGCGCGTGTTCTTGTTGATGACGTTGGAGACGCCCTGGGAGTGTTGAAAGTGCATGCCCAGGCCGACGCCGATGAGGGCCTCGAGGCCCATGACCTGCGCCTCCGATGTGGACAGGTCAGAGATGGTGGCCGCCATGGCGGCCGCGCCCGCTGAGGTGAAAACCCCGGCCAGGATGAAGATAATCCTGTAGAAGCCGAGCCGGGGAAGGAGCACGCCGCCCGTGAGCAGGACGACGAAGATGAATACGATGACAAAGGGCAGGATGCGCTCCGTCTGCTGGAGGGCGTCATGACCTCGAGCAAAGGCAAAGTAGAGGGGGGTGTAGTAGAGTGTCACGGCGTAGGCAGCGCCTGCACAGCCAGCGGCCAACCACAGGGGGATGAGATCAAGCCGTCGCAGCATGTGCATGGGGAAAGCACGCTCTTCGCGGGTGGTGAAGATGCAAAAGTGCTGTTGCAAGGCCCAGCCGATGGTGGTCAGGATGGAAATCACCCAGAAGACAGTGGACGACGCTGAGCCCCAGTCCCATATCGGACCGGAGTGATCGCAATGGAGAGTAGGACTGGTGCGGCAGCGTTGAGAGCGACGCCCAGTGGATCGATCTTGATCACACGCTGCACGATGGATGTCTTGGGCGCGAGTGAGTGCGACTGCATGGAGAGCGAGGCTCCGACAAAGGCGGCACCGACGAGCGGGAGGTTGAAATAAAAGGCCCAGCGCCACGTAGCCGACTGGTCCTCGGCAAAGGCACTGCCAATGGGTCCGCCAACGACAAGGCCAGTAGCCCACATGGCAGAAATCAAGCCGAATACGCCAGTAGATTCCTCCGCTGTCGCAAACACCGCGATGAACGTCATATTGCTAGGCTCGTTAATGGGTGGGGGTTCATTTCTGTAACAGACTGGACACGCACATCTGCTGAATTACTGAACCACCGATGCCCATGATCACACGTCCGACAATGACCGTGGTAATGTTGGATGCTGCACCCGCCACCGCCGCACCCGCCGCGAAGATGGCCAGATGAATGAGGTAGATGATCTTGAGGTTGAAGCAGTAGATGATCTTGTGCGCGTAGGACAGCACGGCCATGTTGGCGAGGAAGTACGACAGGCCGACCCAGTGGAAGAGCTTAATATTCCCAAAAGCCGCATACATCTGGGTTTGGATGTTGGCCACGTTGCTGACATCGTAGCCTAGGGTGAAGATGGTGAGCACGACGCATTTGTAGAGGCAGACTGGACATACCGCTGATGGCACTCGTGAGCAGAAACACGGCCATGGCGCCCTTCCACTCCCACGGGGCCATGCCGGCCCTGGGATGCGCGATGTGAGTGTTTCTGACGGGACTGGGCCCTTGTGAGCTGGGCGCTCTCGTCATCGTAGACATATTGATGGTGTCCCTGATGGTCAACAAATAGGGGGCTAGAATACAAAAGGTACGAAGAATAGCAAAACAGATTGAATCCAGCCAAGAGATCAACTAGCTTTCTTCTAGTCTTTCAGACAATGCTATCGACCCTCACAACCTGCGTCGCAACAGCAAGACGAAAGAATTGTACGACGTGCTGCAGTGCAACGTGTGGCGGGCTCTTTTGTTAAAGGGCTACATGCTCGTCGGCGCCTCCTGTTTCCACCTCATGCATGTTTCGCCTTGTGAATATGGTATCTGCAGTCGTGATGATAGTTTCACTTGGGGGCCACAGAGTATTCTTTGCGTCATCCATTCCACTTGATCGCGGCGCGCGTGCATCGTCTGCGTCAGTTTACGCTGGATCATGCCGATTTGGAAACACGCGCCGACGAGGAGCGCCCGTGCGAATCCGTCGACAGCCAGTGAGTTGTGCATGTCAACACGCTGTGCCTCTAGAGCGCGTCCCTGCTCACCGATAAACGCCAAAGGGCGCCGGGCGCTACGTGCAAGTAGACATGCGGCAGTAAGTATTTCGGCGGATTGTCTTGTTTTACACATGTCATCTGCTGTGAGTTGGGGAGTGTTCCCTCGCCGGCTTGATGTCGTCTCGCGTTCGTGGGATCTTACTGGGGCACGGGCGCTTCTTCACCAGAATAACGTCCAGGTCCGTGACACAACTCATTGATGAGATTGCAGAGATGAGACGGGCCGCAAGTGCTTTCGCGATAGTAGCGCCTTTGGAAATGTTTTGAGTAACATGCTCGAGCAAAAGGGGCCATTGACCCGTCTGTGTCGTCCGAGTTCCATCTGGCGTCAGACTTCCAAGGTTGTGGCTCCTCTTCTATGGCGGGAACAACCACCGCCGTGTTACCCGGATATTGCTGCAAAATGATGCCAGCGAAAGCCTGGGTGGCACAAGCGGCGCAGGCATGGCATGGTCGTGCAGGCTGTGTGTAGATTGCGCGTCCCAAGGTTCATTTCACTGCGCTGATTGACACGTAGCTTCGCCGTCGACTCTGTGACCCAACGAGTCCGAGGTCCAGGACCCGAGCGCTGCCCTCGGACATCCAGTCGCACCGGCACAAGGCTCAGCTCAGGTAAGGCTCGGTGTTCCCAATGCTGGATGGAATCAGGCTGAGGCTAGGGAGCCCTGAGGCGTGTTTCGACAATGCCACCAGCCGCATCCTGTGCGAGGTGCTATACTTGGTGTTTGGCCTGGATGAGAAGTGGCCGGACTTTCCACAATCTGGGTATGTGGTACGTTGCAGCAAGGCGCGCGCCGCAAGACACGTGGCTGAGCGGCTTCCATCCCAAGACAGATGCAGCCACTGCCTCCCATCGTGACGTTCTCGTGATCAGATGGGAGAGCTGAATCTGATGAAACTCGTAATCTCCGGTATCAAGCATGCTGTGAACGACAAAGAAGGCGCCTCGCTCGTCTCATGTTCTCGTCTTCGCGTCATGTGCCCAACCACTGCCTTATCCGTCGCCTGCGGCGAAGATCAGTCGCTTCTGTGAAAGGACTGGACGGCCATCTGGCGGTTAGAGAACGGCGGAAACAGACCGTGTTTGACCAGCAATCTGCCTACCCGAGGGAGATTTGTTCCAGCCATGTTCTGCGCCATGTACGTCCACGCTCGCAGCTGTCTCAACTCGGTCGTAGTTCAACGTGGCATCGCCTTTTTACCCGTCGCCAATCTGATTGATTCATTGAACTGCATCCAGAAAGCGGGGGCAGCGCAGCATGTGAATTATGCACGGCATGGCATGGCCTCCACGCACGCACGCACGCACGCACGCACGCACGCAGGCGCGCACGCTGTCTCTCACGTTTCCGGATTCCGAATATGCGGAACCGTGTCCAGCGACTCGCTTTCATGCGGTGTAACATGACATATTACGTATTTCTGATCGCTGCTCAACGGGCTGATTGATCAATGTCGAGTTTTTTCCTTTCGAGAAAAAAAAAAAAGGGTCCTTTTCGGGTGCCCATCGTCGCACGATGCCATGTCGACAATCTACCTGGCGTGTCGGGCGTGACCCTTGTCGGGGCCAAACCAAACGCGGTCGCCAAAACCGGTTGTCGACGTCGAGGGGGCGCCACCAAACCGTTGAAAGCGGTCAATCGCCCAGCCGTTGTGCGGCATAACGTTGCATTGCAAGGACATTTGCTAATGCCTCTGGTTCTGGCAACGGGCTCAATGGCGAAATCAAGATTGCTGCTGCTGATGGTGGGCATGTGTGCGCTGTCACGAACCGAAAGGCCGGGTCAGGCAGTCGGGGGAGAGCGAGCGGGCGAGGCGCTCGTAGCCGGCGTTAACGAGGTCGCATGTCGCCCGACAGCTGCCGTTTCGATTTCTACACTGAGTCGCGTCATGTCGAATGCATGTGATTTTGATGCTGCTCGCGGCGACCAACACGCGCAATCGTTCACCTCGTGCGTGTGTCCGTGGTAGGTAGTAATTAGCATGCAACGTGGCTGATGCTACTTGAGGCCAACCGCGTGCCGATCCAAGACAAAGCTTGGGCTTTTTTGTAATTCCTCTCAGCTCATGTCGTGCTCGTGATCGTCATCAGCGTGACAGCGTCGCATCCATCAGAGGCCCAGCGCTCTCAGCTCAGCGGACGATCTTACAGGCAAACGCCCGAGAGCCAAGACAAGCCAGCACGCGCAGGCAACTAAGGTTAAAGTACCTGGTCCACTGCCCGTCCGGCACAGGCGCTAGTCATTGGCGCGCAGCCACTGTAGCGGAGGCCTGGGTGGAGACGGCGGAACGGAGAGGTGTCCAGCCGAGGCTACATATGTAGTTCATGGATTGGCAGCACTGGCTGCGGGTTCGATAATCGGTTCTTTGATGCTTCGATGCTTCGATGGAGGGAGGCTCCAGTCGTCATCGCCAGAGGATGCGCGGAGCTACGCTAAGGTACGAACAATTCAATTGAATGCGGTCTCTACCTTACTAAAGCCCCAATGGAGGTAGAGCACTAACAATGCCATGATGCCAAGTTAGGCGGTTGCACATATCAACACAAATCAGCTGTGAACGGTCGCAAGCCAGAACCCTGCACAATGACGACCCTTTGTGCGGGTGCCTCATGATGTGCCGTGGTGGTCGGCATCATGGACCACCGCCCACGGTCCCTTTGAGATTTGCCAGCTGCACTCAAAGGTTATCGGACCCAGAATAGGAGATGGGGGCGATAGAATAGCTACACGTAACACGACAGCCTACAGGCACCTCACGTCACGCCCAGCATTCGTCTCTGGCAACGACTCACGATCGGCATGACCGCGTTTCGCAGCGTTCCTCTTCCGTCCTTGGATGGGCTGGCTGGCTTTTCAACATACGTACTCCGTACAGACGGCCAAGCCATCAACGCCCACGATGACTGCATTGAGGCTTCTCAGACTCAGAGGCCCTGGCGGGATCATAGGTGCGTAGGGTTGCGACGCACTAACAATAATTATTTAAATGACGGACCCGGTCCCCGAGATCTAAGACATTTTGAGAAGGCGTTCCGTCCACACCTCTTGTGCGCAGCTAGAACTATTCCGTCCCTTGCTCCCCATTCCAGCCTAGGACCATTCTCCGTACGCTGCTCACCAACCAGCGGCCAGCTCTGATTTACAGCTGCCGTCTTGATCAACAAGCATCTTCTCGCTATTCCCGCTTCCGAAAACCCCAGCCGTTATATAACAATCATCAATCATCCACCTTCTCTCTGCACAGTCCACATCTCACCAGATAACACATACCTTCTTGAGTAATCGTCCATCCGGCCGAGGTTGACCAGCTTGACCCTCAGGGGAACTAAAAAGCAATCGAACTTGCAAAGTCCGGATCCACCTTCGCCAGTTCAACCCGCACCTGCCGCAGTGCCGCATCGCTCGCTCGCTCGCTCACTCTCCGAGACGTTTTGTTTGGCCACTCTTTCCCTTTTTCGACTCTTTCGTCCATCCACTTATTTCTCTTCTTCTCATCCGTCACCCGGCAGGCAGGTCTCACCTGGCAGGCACCATCTCATCTTCCTCTCTTCCATTGCGCGACATTGGGAGTCACGCCTTCCTAGCTTCCATACGGTCGTAGACACCACCACCACCACCAGCCTTGCTGTGCGCACCCGGGCCGGTTGGGGCCCAGCGGGCAAAAAAAAAAATCAATAATTACGCAGCAGCAACCATGACCGTCAGCAGCAGCAGCAGCATGGATCACCCGCAGCTGGCCACGACCAACAGCGATCTGCCGACCACAATCCTCGCGACCGTCGCCAGCACACACAACATTCTCCTCCTCGTCCTCTTCTTTTTCCTCGCCTACCTGCTCAAATGCATATACGCCCTTTTCATTTATCCTTACCATGTCTCACCACTTCGGCATCTGCCGACACCAAAGGTATGTCGTCTCCCGTCGCTTGACCCCCCTCCCGTCCTCGACGTTTCAGGCTAACGCTCACTGCTTCCGCCCACTAAAGGAGAACCACCACTGGCTGCTCGGACAGATGATCACACTCCTCTCGACGCCTTGGATGCCCTACCTCTACCGCGAATGGAGCCGCGACTGCCCCGACGCACCCTTTCTGCGCATCTTGAAGATTGGTCAATCCGAGACCCTCATCCCGAACACAATTACCGCCTACCGCGAGGTCCTCCAGACCAAGAATGACTGCTTTGTCAAGTCCGAGGAGTCGCGCAATGGTGCCGCCATGGTCATTGGCGACGGCCTCCCCTGGGCGCACGGCGACGACCACCGAGCGCGTCGCGCCGTGCTCAACAAGCTCTTTGCGCCGCAGCGCATGAAGGCCTGCGTCCCCAAAATTAAAGCCAAGGCCGAGCAGCTTTGCCGCACATTGGCCGCCAAGCAGTCCGTGCCTGGCGATGCCGTCACCGGTATGTGCGACCAACCAACCAACCAAACCGGCAATTCGATTGGCCGTGGGGGCCATTTCTTCAGGTACTAATCGTGCATCATAGTCGAAACCGAGCTTTGGAAAGCTGTACTCGACGTCGGTGGCATCAAGTCCATGGGCGTCGATCTCGACCACCTCGGCTCGGACGCCTCCCCTCTCCACGAGATCTTCAGCGCCACGATGCGCCCCAGCATTCGCGGCCACATTGAGCGATGGACGGTTACGCACCTCCCCTTCAAGCAATACTTGCCACTCGAAGCTTTCAGCGAGTTTGTTCGGAAATGCGCCACTGCACGCAGCGTCATAAGAAAACACGTACAAGCGCGGCGCCGAGCCGTCAACCGCGGGGAGAAGGCGAGGGACGATGCAGATGTGCTGCAGGCCATGGTGGAGGCGACGGGTCTGTGGGACGATGAGCAGGTTGTGGAATATGTGAGTTCCCGACGAGGACCATGCGGTCAGACAAGATCGGATGGACGCTAATGCGCGGGTACAGATTCTGAACTTTATGGTGCTCGGACATGACACCACGGCGTGCACGCTCGTCTGGGCTCTCGATACGCTGGCTCGTCGACAGGATATCCAGGACCGACTGCGGAAAGAGATCAACGAAATGGAGGAGCAGTCATGGGCAGAGATTGACCGCGCACATTTCCTGGAGAACTTTATGCGCGAAGTTCTTCGGGTGCATTGTCCAGGTATGTCCGGCACTGTTGAACTTAGGTCGGTGGCGGGTTGCTAATGAACATAGTCGGCTGGATTCCCATGGTCGCCGCCTGCGATGTTGAGATTTCCGGGGTCCTCGTCCCCAAGAACACGACGCTCAATCTGTGTCCGGCTATGGTGAACCTGAAGCCGGAGATTTGGGGCCCCGATGCAGAAGAGTTCGACCCCGACCGCTGGGATCGCCTCGAGGGCGAGGCAGGAAGTGCATACGCCTTTGCCACCTTCCACAACGGCCCCCGCGTGTGCATCGGCAAGGCACTCACGTTGATGGAGCTCAAAATGGTCATTGTCGAGCTCGTGTCGCAGTTCAAGATGGAGACGGACATGGAGCCACTCGGCCTCGAGACACCGAGCTTCACGCTGAAGCCCAAGCAGACACTACAGCTGCGCTTGTTTGATGCGTGAGTTGGTGCACATGGCTCCCAAGACTCCACATCCCTTTTTATATGATGTTATGTTGAAAAGGCATTGGGCAGCGGCGTGGCATATGTGGCTGGCTCCCTCCTTCCGGAGACCAGCAGAAGGCGCACTTTTGATAGATCTGGATACCTCGCATGTCGATTAATTAATTGGTACATATGCTCTCTGCGTGCCGGATCTTTGAAGTGTCTGCGTCCAAGCGTGCATGCAGGATCGATGCTTGATGCACATTGCAAACTGTCACAGCCCCCACCAACTACGAACTGCCGTACAGTGCCAGGTTAGTGCTTATTTGTGGCGTGAAACCGCTGCAATGCAGGTGATAGATCGGCATGTGATATGTGCATATATAGAGGGAGTCGAAAGGATCTTAGATGAGATCTGCGCGAGTCGCCCAGGTTAGGGTCGTGGACGATCAACCTTATCTTCACATGTGGACCACCACCCCCACGGCTATCCCGATGCGCGTACTGCGTACCACGATGAAGTCACTTCAATGCCCGAGGAATCACATGGGGCAGAGAGGGGCCATTCACCTTTGCGAAGTTAGTCACTTGCATCCTTTGCAGCCTTATGAATGCCTCCGCTGCTCCAATTGGAATCGCTGCCAGCCAGAAAACGCCCGGTGCCATGCTACGCTACCCAAATACCACCAAGTCCCATACGCATACTGTCCGCCCTCGCCTCACCAGTCATAGGCCCACCCGTTCTCATCCAGAAACCAGCTGCACGCCTCCTTGAGCACGCGGTTGGGCTTCAAATCGCTCTTGGCCAAGGGCTCCCTCGTCGTCGGGTCCGTGCCCGCCTTTTCGATAAACTTGGTAATCGACTCACGCTCATACGACCGCCCGGACGGCGTTATGACCGGGTCCAGCATGACATTGTAGGTAATATCGTCAATCAGCCACTCGGGCACCTCCCGCTTCACGTCATCCTTGGCCCGCGCCCTCTCAAACACGTCGCGCAGATCTGCCAGCCGCTTGTTGCCCTCCTCCCGCACGGCTGCGCGCTCCGCCTCGCTGCCGCCCGCGGCCTCGAGCACGTCCCGCTCAATCTCCCGCTCCAGCACGCCCACCATTTCCCTCTCGAACGCGCGAGCGCTGGCGCGGCGTCGGCGCTCCTTGACGTCCCACCGCTCCTTGCGGCAGACAAAGAGGTGTTCCTTGGTCATACGGAGGGACGTGTCGGCGCCCTGGGCGACGCACATTTCGTACGCGAGCAGGGCGTGCGTGCTCGCCTCGTCGACGTTGCCGAGGGCGAGGAGATTCTTGGACTTGTAGTAGTGCGCCTTGAGATGGTCTGGGTCGCGCGCGAGGACGGCGTCGCAGTCGGTGATGGAGGCGTCGTGGGAGGCGAGGAAGAAGCGGCACATGGCGCGGTTGGCGTAGGCGGCGGTCATGTTGGGATCATTGACGAGGCTGGGGCAGGTCGACTGTTAGCTTTCTTTCTCTTAGCTGTGGCCTGGCCTGGCCTGTGGACAACCGTACGCTTGCGAGTAGCATGCCTCGGCGGCGGTGTAGTTTCGACGGCGGAAATGTTCGTTGCCATCTTGCCTGAGGCGCTCGGCTCTCGCTCCGTTGTCGCCCATTGTGCGCAGCTGGCGATTCTAGGTAGTTTGTGTTTTGGTCGGGGGGAGGAGGCTCCGAGGGTCCTCTTATCCAGTGGTGACAAGATGGTGACAAGACGCGCTCAAGGTTGCGCGACTTTGCGCAGGAGCAAGTTCAAGAATCAGCGGTGCCTCATCTAGGGAGGTGCTTTCTCACAAGGGTCGGCTCGTGTGTTTACCTTGCTCATTGTGATTGTCGTTCTTCTACCAGACCTGAAATCGAGATGCGGGTTGTCCGTGGCGGGGACGCGACGCGACCGGGATTTGTAAGCCCCGCGCGGTGATTAGAATATTCCAGAAGATCAGAGTCTAAGTGAGTGTGTTTGGCGAATGACAAAATGCTTGGAAGGTCATGATAATGTTCGGCAGATTAGAGACTGAATTGGCATGATAAACCCAGGGCTAGTCTTTTCTTGACTGCTGGTGGACAGCAGCATTTTGACATGAAGGTCATTCACAGAGCAACTCCAGTCTGCAGATGAATAACAAACAACGGGTCGTACCAATTGGGCACATTTGAACAAGATACCACGATTCGCGGAGCCAGACACAGGACTCAAGAAGAGACAAACATACAAGCTACATCAAGAACTGTAATTTTGAGACAAGCGTCGCACTGCATAGACGTGACGGGCATTCGCACAACTACCGGGTAGCCTGGAGTTTGTACCTCTTCGACCGTAAAAAGGAGTTCAACGTCTATTATGCTACGAACCTTGCTGGTCTTGATGCATGAATTGATGTTCAAAAAGACAAACGCTGTTCAACAAATCTGTGCGCCACTCCCCTAACCTGTATTCAATGCCCCCCATTCTTCACCCCGCCGGGTCAATCGACTGGGGGTTCCAGAACAACTGGTCTGCGTCATACTCAGCCTTGACAGCCATAAGACGGTCGAGGCTGGTCAAAAAGTACTGCTGCTGCGCGACCTCACGCTCGAGTTCCGAGTCAATGTAGTTGGCATAACGACCCCAGTCGCCGGCGTCCATGTTGTCCTTAAGGCTGTCCATCATGCCGATGGTGAAAGCGATGGCGGCATCGTCGTTGCCAGGATCAAAGAAGGACGGGGAAGACGAGAACTGGAAAAGCCAGAGCTTGTCACGGTGCGCGTAGCTGCTGAATTGGCTCGAGGTGTTGGCGATGGCGCCCTGCGAGCCACCGTGGACGTCCATCTGGGCCCACCAGGGGAGCGCACCGTCGGCCAGGGCGACGTCGAACCAGTAGTCGACGAAGCCGGCAAAGGCCTCTGCGGGAATGTGCTTTGTCATCAAGCTGGAAAAGTAGGAATTAGCGTGCTAAAGAGTGGTCAGTCAGCCGGTCGTGCGTCCATGATGAATCGTGAATGTACCCCCAAAAACGAGTCGGTAATGTTGAGAGGATCGCCATATGTCCAGTCTTGAAGCATCTCGAGCCATGCACCTTGCCGCGCACGGGTGCCCCTCGACTGCCACTGGAGACCCAGGGGCGCCAGAAAGGGTTCGAGCGCCGCGCGGGCCTCGTTCTCGGGGCCATGGAAGACGACCTCGAGGTTGCTCGTTGCGCCCAGGCCGAGACGCATGTTGAGCTTCTTGTCCATACCGCCGTCCTCAACGACGTTCTGGAAGGCCATGAGCCCGGCGACGGCGTTGGCCTTTGTTCGGTCGGCGAGGTCCGTCTCGATCATGAACCAGGAAAACTGGTGGGCGACATCAAAAGTGTTGATCTCAAACTCGGTCACGATACCAAACGACGAGCCACCACCGCGGATGGCCCAGAACAGGTCGGTATTGTCGTACGCGGATGCATGGACAAGGGATCCGTCAGCAAGCACGACCATGACGCCAATGACTGCATCCAGGGCGAGGCCGTGCGTGTGGGAGCTGAAGCCAAAGCCACCGTGAACAATGTGCCCACCAGATCCGACACTGTGGTCCAAATGTGAGCCGGTTAAACCGAAGTTATGTAGAGAAGAGCAATATACCTAGGACAAGTCCCGTGCGAGAAGCCTCGCTTGCCCTGCTGGAAGAGCTCCAGCGCAGCATAACCCAGACGCGTGCCCGCCGTCACGGTGGCCGTGTTGTCCTCGCGCAGGTTGACCTCATGCCAGCGATCGAGCTGGATGACGAGTGACCCGTCCTGGCCCCCCAGACCCATGGAGGCCCAGCTGTGACCACCGCTCTTAGCAGCGACCTTGATCTCGCTCTGCACGGCACAGAGAACAGCGGCCTGGACCTCTTCAGCCGACGTCGGATAGACGATGGCGAGTGGAGTGACGGGCACACGTAGATTGTGCGGCTGAATGGCCGTTTCCCAGGTGGCGGAGCCCTCATCGACATAGGCCAGATTAGCCGCCTCGAGGCAGGCGTTTAGGCTCTCCTGACGCGCGCGCAAGAAGCGGCGGTCAAACGGCGAGGCGGCGACCAAGCTGGCCAGCAGCGGAAGCATCCATTTTGTGACCACCATATTGTCTGGAGTGCTGTCGTCGCCTGGGAGAGTCTGATGCGGAGGATGAGGACGCATCGCCACAGCTCCGGACGAGCGCTGTGATGGGCTCCTGATGTACATAAACTCGCCCTGCGCTGACAGCATGGCGCTGCTGCGGTCGATATTCCATTGCCTCGATGGGCGAGGGCATGGGTCCTCCTCCTCCTTCAAGGACTGCGTCTTGGGGCCGGCTGTACATCGCGACTGGATCCGCGCCTGGTGGTCAAAGTACGGGGTGTGATTGACGGGAGGTGGCGGCTTGACGGGAAGGATACCACGTTGCAGCGGCGGCACCAGAGTTCCGGACTGGCCCCGGTGGACAAGTCGTGACACGGCGGACTTGCCTCCGCGTTGACCAGAGGAGGATAGCGGTAAGCAGGCGTGGGCGATTCACGATAGAATCAAATGCTCGTTTGAAGCTCAACGCTGGGGCTGCTGCTGCTGCTGCAATGAATTGATCACTGCCGGTATGAGGCTAATCACGGGAATCAGCCGCACCCGACAGCCTGGTCTGTCTGCCCGCATGGATGCGCGTACATCCAGACTCGCGCCTCCTCCTAAGTGATACCTCTGTATGCTGATCTGCATCTCGTCTCTTGCGCCCCGCCCCGCGACTCCGATAGGGGGGGGAGCTCCTCATCTCGTCTTAGGCTGAAGTTTGAACTGTCGTGGCCCATGGGGTAGATCTTCAGAAGGGGCCTGGGTTTCTAGCGGAGCCAGTCGGAGAATTTGGATTGATACTACCATTTCCAGGGTGTAGACTAAACGCGATAGTCGCCCTCAAGGTCCCGTCCACCGGCGCGTTTGTTCGTCTACATCTCCTGGGGCATGCATCGTGCTCAGCTTGTTTGGACCTCTTCGAGGTTGTCCATGGCCGGGGCGCGTCGCTTCAGGTTCCAGGGGCGGATGTATTGACATTGACGCGCATTTCATCCTGGGGCCTGTTTGAGTACATCCATCGTGGTGCTCGTCAGTTCAGTATCACGACGTGCTCCTTGCAGTCATTCCCTAAGACTCCTGGCGGGGCAAAGTGATGAAATAGTTGTGTTTAGTTCATTTTACTGACTGGACAGTGGGGGTGAAAATACTCCTCAGACCATCGCTACGTCGTAGACACTTGTAGCCTGGCCCGTGAAGACAATTCTAAAATGTCGGCACTTCCGTACCTACCAAAAATAATAGCCTGATCGGCTGACAAGAGATTGAGCAGAAAGAAGGTCAAAAATATTGCCCAAACGGTGAATCGAACACCGGATCTTCTCATGTCGTAGTGTGTACGAGTGAGACGCTGCTGCGAGTTAGCGCTAATTCACTGGTGGAATTGATTTCTTGTGACTGACCTGTACCCCTAAGCCATTCGGGCTGCTGTTGTGGCAGTGGAACAAAGTTTACGCTTTATATTTAGCGTAGCCCGTACATCGCCCTTCAAAACGATGCTTTTCTTGACATCCCTTCGAAAGCACAGGCTTCTTCTGGATGACAAATTGATATATTATGATTTTGTGAATGAGATATCTAATCGAAATCTATTTCACTCCGAACAGAGTCATCACCTTGTAGGTTTCGAAGGGAAATAAGAGTCTGGATTAGTTGCAATTTTGGCAGGGTCAAACGCCCGATTAGACATCAATGACCTCCATTTTCTGGATAAGTGATTGACTATTACCCATGATGTGGTGTCCCTAGGGATCTAGTAGGCAGGGGCTTTCGTCGCACATGTTTGACAGCGAGGTGATCGAGGAACGTATCTCGGGCTACTCTCAGTAGTCCATCGAGGGTTGCTGTCGACCCAGACTTCCTTGTGGCATTTTGTGCAAACCATCTCCATTTCATGGGGGCAGCTCTGAACAATCCGAGACAGGGCGAGTAAAGTACCTCTCCCAGTTAGCCTTCGTCGGCGGAGGTAGCTGTAGCGGCTTCTGTCCGTTCATGACCACAGGGATGCTGTCGTCTGCTGGGATTGCCCACACATTCTCAGTGGGAGGTCGGCAGTCTTGCGAGCCGCGGCCGCCTCGTAGAAAGCGCAGAACATATCTTGAAGGGTCTAACTTTTTGAATCGTGCTTGTGGATCGTCCAGTATCATTTATTTGCAGGAGCCACATCGGCGTGGCATGATGTTGTTTGGGCTGGCCGCATACAGCACCAGGTCATCGATGATGCTCGCACGGAACTTGACTTTTTCGACATGTAAGAAGTATTTAACTGCAACACCAAGCGCAATTTCGAGGATGTCGTGTGTGGCAGTCCACTTTTTAGGTTTCTTGTTTCCCTGGCTTAGAAGAACATACGTTTTCATGAGCTTCTGGAATGAGTCGATAGGCTGCCGGTCAATCTTCAGCCCGTCTTGAGATCGAAGCCAGTCTTGTAGCTCGGAGGGGATGTCTGCCCATTCAGTGATTGCGGCATCATCAAGTGCCATCGGAGATCCCAAGCCAGTAATCACAAGGGCTTGGTCTTGTGTTTCACCGGTGCGCATAAGCGCTGTTGCAAGATGCTGCAAGGCATAGGTATTCTGTAGCAATTCCGATGGGCATGTGAGTAGCTGTTGGCGTGGCTCGGGCGTCTGATTGAATCATTTCAGCCTCTTTGTGTGGTAACTGTTGTTTGGTCAACATACCATTGCCCGGAGTGTTTTCTCTGGTCTTTCGTTCAAGACTTCTTCGGGTCCAGAAGCAAAATTCGATGAAGAATCGGGTCTTGCGAAGTTCTCGTACTTCCGGGACGCCCTGGCTGTGTTGGTATTATCACTGCCCTCGAGCACATTTTTGCCTGCAACGAACATGACTCCGCGAATGGCCTGTGCGTTATGGCGTATCTGCATTTTTCGTTGCAAGTTACCAGTTTTCCGTATGTCCCAGGCCGATGCGTTACCCGATAAAATTGCTGGTTTATGTCGATGCCAGAGAGCGTGGCTGCTACCCCCAGCACGAGATCTTGAGTTTTCGACAGAGCAAGCTGGCGGCCGTACAATATCCTCTGGGGATGATAAGCGAAGATCACAAACCGCCTGAATTGCCCAGTTGTTCCCGGAAAAGACGAGTCATCTCTTCCCCGCTCAAGGTAAATCGGGATGTCTTTGTACCTTCCCTATAGATTCAAAGGCACCAGATGGTACTTGTAAAGCATTCTTCCCCTGACTGGGCGCCCCCAACAGATTTCTACAACAGCGGACATTTCCTCTCGGAGTGATTTGAGGTAGTCTTCGTGTATATCAAGGATCTGTCGTGGGTAGAGTTTGAAGCCATCAAGAGCCTCCCGTCTTGACAAGTGATCGAACATTAGGCAGTTTTCCCGCAAAAAGCCAATGTCAATGAGCTGCTTGATGCAAACGTTCGAATTGTCATCATTGTCTCGGCTGTCCGCATTCGCAACGCTAAAAGAAGGACAGTGTAGATGGCAAGCGAGTGGTGCATCTAGGCTACCACTCGGTGGAAGCAAGTATCGCGGTTCTCGAGAGACACCCAAACGCTTCCAAGCTTGGACTTCACCCTCAGAAAATTTCTCGACAAGGTTCTCGATGATTCGAGATTGAGCTGGCCGCGTACGATTGCTTCGTCCTGTGCGATCAATTAGTGAGAATCATTCATGCCATGCACACCCTGGCGTCAACGCTACCTCTGTGTCGACTTTCCAAGTCGTTGGTTTGCGGTAAAAGCTTTTGGAGCCTCTCAGCATCGGCTTTGGCTCGACAACTCACCGGTGCCTCTAGCCACACATCCGCAAAAAGCCGAGTCTTGTTCAGGGCGGCAATGTCCCATACATTTACCATGATTCTCGGACAGAGATCGTAGCGGTGCTTGCGTCTCTTGCTAGAAGGCCTTCCTCATAGGCTGTTATGAGAGGAACAATTGATCACGGAGAAAGGCGCCGGATCTTCTGATGCAACGCAGGAACGAGTACCCTGTGTTGTATTCGTTGTCAAGCCCAAAAGGTAGTTGGGGCGAAGGAAGGGAAATCTGGCGCTCCGTTGCGCTTATTAGTCAACCAATACTCTAAGGCTTGGTTGTCTACTGCTTCAATGGGTGAGCCGAGTCTGCGGCCCACAGACTAGATTCAGCGGTGAGACGAAGGTGAAAGCAAGGTGACATGGAGTTCGAACCCCGAAGAATCAAGCCCTTGCGCCACCTACACGTATGCGGCCTATCCTAATCTAAGACAAAACGCCAGACTGCTCGCTCGAATTCCAAGATGCACCATGCTATGCCACTTTTCGCTCAAAAATCAACGACACCACGTAAAGACAGGTCTTGTCCATCCATCACATGAATGCACCACCGCGACTCTCGCCCCCCGGTCCCTGGTCCTCACTCGTCCTAGTATCCCTTCCATCATCGACCAGCCCGGCGCGCTCCTCCTCCGTGGGCGACTCTGCTTTCCGAAAGACACGATTAAAGGAGAACTGCCGCTTGGCACCGCCATGTGGCGGTGGGGTCGGCGGCTTGAGGCTGCCCCTGCTGGTGTTCGCCCGCGAGCTGCTGGCGCCTGCGCCCCGGTAGGCCGTGTCCTGCGCGTACAGGCTCGGCTGGTACGTTGTTCGAGGGGGCTCGAGTGACTTTTCCGATTGGGAGTTGAAGGACACATTATTCAGCGGGACAGACAATTGGCGGTCGCCCTGCTCTAGGCTCGGTCGGAACTCCTCCTCGTCATACGTGGGCATGGTGTTGGTGGTCCGCGCCCGCCCACGGCCGCGCATTAGGCTGCCTGCGATGCTGGAGAAGATGGTGCTGCGGTCGTCATGGTCATCGTGATGATCGTTGTCATCTTCGTCGTCAATATCCGGGAAGCGCGACATGCCCAAGGGGGGATGGACAGGGCTCCTGGGCAGATGCGGCGTGCTGGACGTGCGCGCGGTATCTGCCGTGATGGGTCTTCGGGATATCGTCGTCCGACGCCGGCGCAAACCGTCCCACTCGTACTCTGGCGGCTGTGCCTGCCCGTCCTCGTTGATGGGCTGCATCTGATCCAGCATCTTCTCCTCGTGTAGCCTGCGCAGCTCATCTGCCTCCATTCGTATGCGGGCATTCGAGATGCGACGTACAATGGCGGCGGTACCGCGGATGGCGTCGGCCTTGGGCTCGGTCTCGGGCTGCTCCTGCTCGGCAATGGTGTGTATTTGATCGAGGTCTCCCGTAAAGACAGCTGCGTCGGGCACATCCTTGGCTGCTTTTGACAGTTGAAGCAGTACGACGCCGGCACAGATTGTGAGGAAGCCCAAGAGCACGGTGACAATCTGCTCGGCCGTGCCTTTGAACCCCTTGAAAAGAATGGCCGACGTGATGATGGTGGTGCTGGTGAAGTAGACGTAGTAGGTGGGCGTGACGAGCGCGGCATTGAAGATGTTGAGGGCTTTCTGTGTGGGCTGTCAGCAGGGGGCCAGCATTTTCGCCTAGGACAAGGTGCGACCAACGTTGAGATAGACAATCTCGACCAGCAGCGTCGCTATCACGAAGACGAAGAGGATCCAGAAGAACCACTCCTTGTACTGGGGCTTGCCGCCTATCCAGGCGATCAGGGCGGCGCCCAGGCCCTGCGTGGCCACAACGCTCAAGCCGCCCACCCAGCTACATATCGAAATGTAGACGAGCATGTTCTTGGCGCCCCATTTGGGCGCCACCCAGAAGACGACGGCGACGGACCCGACGATGATGACGCCCGCGTACGTCAGGAACCACGGCGTGATGACAAACCCTTGCATCTCCTGGATGTCGCTGACGGCGGACGTGTGGGGGGCATTCATGACAATGACGACGGAGCCCACGACGCAGAGAAAGCACGACACTTTGCCCACCATACTGAGCCTCTCCTTGAGAAAGATGGCCGAGAGGATTGTGGTGATGACGACCGACAGCGCACCGAGCGACGTGACGAGGATGGCATCCGTAAAGGCGTACGCGACAAAGTTACAGATCTCGCCAAGGATCATGAGGCTCATGCCGCCCCACCAGTACGCATTGCGCAGGTAGCCGTAGCCCTCGCCGGCGACCTCGTTGTACTTGTCGTTGGCGCGCAAGAGGCCGATCTTTTTGAGGACAAAGGAGACGCCGATGAAGAGTCCCGAGGCGACGGCGAGGCCTATGCCGACGCCTTTGTAGAAGGACGGACGCTCGTTGGGATCGCCGCCCACGAGGCCGCCCCCGTCTGCGCGGGCGAGGAGCAGCAGGTGCTCCTCCATCTCTGCGAGGGGACGGATGCGTCGGGAGACGTCTGTGCGCAGGCGAGGGGAGTTCGGGAGGGGTTCGTGACAGGAACTGTTGCAAACTAGTTGTTCGTTCTACGTATACATGAGGTCTGTGGTGGGTGATACGGCGGTCGGACAGGATGCGATTGTCGTGGCTCGATTAGATAGTAGCCGTTTGCGTGGGAGCTCGACCAGATGGCGAGGTAGCGTTTTGCGTAGGATGATAAAGGTGAAGGGATGCGAGACGGTTAGAAGAAAATGGTGAATCGCAGGCTGAAGCCATCGTCCTGGTGCGCAATCGACATGGTTGGTTGGCCGGCCAGGAGCAAGGGGCCGGGTGGTCTGGAAACATTGAAGGTGGTGGATTCTCCTTTGGTGGAGTGCCATGCAGCCGCTGCAAGTTGAGTTACAGGTGGCCGGCCTACTGGGCCAGCGGCTACTGAACTGCCTGGCCGATGCACTGCTTTTCGCTCTTCTCACTGCATGGACATGTCGAGCAGACGTGCAGCGCGAGGCTGAGTGAGCAGACATTGTACCACGGCCTTTCTCCAAGTGCTACTTGTGTAGATCTGTACAATTCTCTTCACTCCTCTCGGTTCACGACCGACACCTTACAATGGTTCTGGTGCTAATTATAGCAAACGACAAAAATTGTATCGATAAGGGAGACTGCACAGTCGCCCCAGCAACACCCACCCCCCCCCCCCGCTGTGGCTGAGCGCCGCGAGTACCGTCGTGGGCTGTGGCTGTGAAAACAGTGAGATCATTGTTCAGCGTTTGTTCCATGACATCGAAGCCTCGACATCGGGGCGAGCAATAGGTGGGCACCCGGGTGCCCGAATAAGACTCCTTATGTAAGCGAGAACCCAGAAAAGCTGCCTGTGCACCAATTAGATACTGTCCTCAACGACACCTGCCAACAACCGACACCTTCCTTGGGAGCATCCAAGCGAGCGCTCTACTTCCAACGCACGATGAGCCACCAACTATTGCCCGAAGGCCTCTCTATTGATATGAGCGAATCTCCGACCGGGGGCGTATCTATTGACAACACCTTGCCCCCCGAGAACGACTATTCGACCCGCGAAGCTCTTATCCAGGCCGCCAATGCATGGGCAGCCGCCAGAGGCTACGCCTTTGTGAGCACGAAGTCGAAGACAACACCGAGCGGCCGGCGGATTGTATATATTGGCTGTGATCGAGGAAAACAAAGGCCTGAACCATTGGCTACACGCGTGCGGAATACGGCATCTAAGCGCACAGGATGCGACTTCTCGATCCTCGCCAAAGAGAGCCTAGATAAGTCGGTCTGGCGCCTCACGCATCGCGATGCCCAGTATAGGCGTCATAACCACGGCCCAAGCATCGATATTACCGCCCACCCAGTCCATCGCCAATCATCAGATGCCGATAGATCTACTATCAACAACCTCGCGAGCGCTGGAGTGCAGCCGAGGGATATTCGGACCAACCTACGCACGCACTCTAATACAACAGCGACTCAGCAAGATATCTACAACTGTATTGTGCAAAGCAAGCGAGACCTCAAAGAAGGGCAAAGCACTATATACGCCCTTGCCAACGAGCTTGATACAGAGGGCTTCTGGAATCGTATCCGGTTCGATGATGATGGCCGAGTCTCCGCTGTGATATTTGCACATCCGGAGTCGCTGGGGTACCTCAGCTTATACCCAGATACGCTTATCCTTGATTGTACGTATAAGACTAACAAATACGGGATGCCCCTTCTCGATATGGTCGGCGTTGATGCCTGCCAACGATCTTTCTCTATCGCCTTTGCCTTCCTTAGCGGGGAAGAGGAAGTGGACTATATCTGGGCGCTGGATCGGCTGCGCTCGATATACGAGACTTGCGGCGCTAGGCTTCCGAGCGTTATCCTCACCGATCGCTGCCTTGCCTGTATGAATGCTGTGTCTTCTTGCTTCCCAGTCGCGGCACCTCTTATGCCTCTAGCATGCGAATAAGGCAGTCCTTGGCTATTGCCTGCCGAGCTTTAGGGAAGAAGAAGATATTGCCGGAACTAAGGGCCAACCTACATAGAAAAATTTCTCCAGCATATGGCATGAGCTGATCGCCTCAATATCTAACGAAATCTTTAAGCAGAGGCTCCAGGCCCTCAAGAACCTTTAGGCTATGTCACACCTTTACGCTATGTCACATACTCGAGAATTTGGCTATATCATGGAGGTCTGGCTCGGCCCATATAAGGAAAGGCTTGTCAAGGCCTGGGTCGATAAACACACGCATTTCGATAATATAGTCACATCCCGCAGCGAGGGCATTCAACAGCTAATCAAGATCCATCTCGGCACGAGTCAGCTGGATCTCTTTGATGCCTGGACGGCGATCAAGCGCGCAACTATTAATCAAATAGCCTCGTTTCGAGATAATCAATCTAAGCAACGACTTTGTATACCAAACGAACTTGATAGGAGGTTATATGCTATCGTGCATGGCTGGATCTCCTATGAGGCGTTGTGGAAGGTCGAGGGCCAGAGGAAGTTGCTTATATAAGGCAAGGAACTTCCTGCCTATACAGGCAGGTTCACATCGTCACGCGGCCTGCCTTACGCTCATACACTCAAGCCTCTTATTAACGAACAACAGCCCCTCCTACTAAGCCAATTTCACGCACACTGGCACCTTCAGCGTGAAATAAGGCCATAAATCCTTCTTGAGCCACGACAGCAATTTGATCGGGCCGTGGCTCGATCAACGCTGCTATAGACAAGCACTCGCCGCGACCCAAGCGCATTTGAGGCTATCGAGGCAGCATCTACACCGAAACGCCCCAGGGCATCGCCTATGTGCTCGGCGTGTGGCAAGGTTGGCCACACGAAGGTATCACAGCTATGTCGCTTACGCTATGCTCATATTATGCCATCGTCAACGCCGGGGCCAGCGTCGGTATCAACCCTATCACAGCCTCATCGCGACCTCACCACGCCGCGGCCGCCAGCAATGTTACTGACATCTTCAACAGAGTTCATGCTGGAGCCAGCATTAGGACTTGAACCGGCGCTAGAACCACAGCCAGAGCTCACGCCGGAACCACAGCCAGAGCCCGCGCCAAAGCCACAATTCCGCTACGATCATCCATATGCTATATACGAACGATATGTTGCTCATCGAGAGGCCTGGTATAAAATGCTACCGCGAGGCAGCTTGAAGACCAACCAGCAATATCGGAAGGCGTTGGGCCTGCCATTGCGCTTCAATAAGAAGGCATATGAATATTGTCTTGATTATAAGCGGATGGGTAAGCAATATACCGTGAGACGGCCACCTAGGGACTGGACTAAGGAGGAACAAATAGCTTACTTAGATTGGGAAGAGAGGCGCGTTGAGTTTCAGGTTGCTACTAATATGGCCGAGGAAGCAGCCAGTGGGAGATCTATTCATAGACGAGGGATGCAGGATTTCTGGGATACGGCGGAGAGGGATGTTGATACACAACAAGCGTTATACGAGGCATCACGCTTGAATTAAGAGGAAAGCACGCTCTACAACAGCTTCGCCAATATCATCGCCAACAGCATCTTCAACAGTATCGCCAGCAGCATCGCCAATAGCCTTATATATCAAACTGATTCCTCGCACTTGAGACCTTTGCTTTGGCCCTCAGCCTGTTCTTAGTAACCTACTACCTAAATACCGACCTAGATTCCCCTCCTTGTTTATATCCTAGATGCCCTTATATATCAGTATTACGATTAATTCAGTGACTTGGTATTTAGGCTGAAAAACGATATATCTTTGGCGTAGGTAGTGTGGGCCAGCACACCATCTATGCTGAAGCCAGGTAGCTGGCCCCGCCTGCGTTCGTCGGATGCTTGAAGTTGTTAGAGATGTGGCCATTCGTGGTTATTAACCCGGCCCGGTTTGTTGACTCTTGGGAGTCTTTTCTGAACTTATATCTTGCGATAGTTCTTGGTGTTGGCTTTGATCCGTCTCTCCGTCGTAAGACGCACTGGCTAGGTCTAGTAGATCTAGGTTCGCATCGGAGTAAAGTTATAAGTTGATATAAAGAGCGAAGATTCGCCCTCTTTTTTTTTAGTTCTATTGGGACTTATGTGCGTGCCTTATTGTGATGCTGTGAGCGAGGGGGCCGTGATAATAATGCACGCTTCCCTATGTGGTTATTACGAACGACAACGCCATGCGATCGAGCCCGAGCAGGAATTTCGTAGAATAAGAGGTTATGACTTCGCATTGATTGAAGATCTCAAGATACTGGTTTTTTAATAATAACCGCTATTAAGGTGGGAGACAATAGGTTAAAGTGATATACGTTGTTGATAGGTGCCGGCCATGCTGAGGCGAGCAATAGGTGCGCGCCCGGACGCGCAGCACGTGACACTTATTTGCGCGCCCCATGCTGGTGATTGCTTACATAAGGAATCTTATTTCTTATGCGGGTACCCGGGTGCCCACCTATTGCTCGCCCGACATCGGACAGGGGCACATGTTGCGATCTTGGAAGTGAAGTGAGCTTGAAGTATAATTAGTGGGGGGAAACAGACGCTCCCTCGGCAACGAGCCAGGTATCATTTCATCGCATCAATGCGCTGTGCCTCGTTCCACCACAAATACGAGGCTGGCCTGATCATCGAGGCACCATTCATTGATCTTCATCAGCAGACCCGACGCAACTTGGTCTGCCCCGCCGCGACGTGGAGCTGAGACAACGGGAGGCTTGAGTCTTGAGCTAGTTTACCGTCTAGCGCTACGTCGCCCATGTCTCGTTCCTAGACAGCCGGATCTCAACCTCAAGGCAAGGGGCACGCGGCGCGGACTTGGCCTCCTCATTGTCAAGAGGGGAAGAGATATTCGCAGTCAGACCTCAGATGGTGCAGCGCCCACAGGCTGATGCGACCGACGACATGAATCACCTCGCGCCTCTGAAACCCCTGGAACACGAGTATCGTCATGTCCCAAGCTTGCCCAGGTCTGCCCCTTTCACGGCAGACATCATGTGTTCTGGATACAACTAAATCCAGGCACCGTTCAACCTTGTCCTGAGGCTGTCGAACCAGAGCGCCATCACCACTCGGTTCGCATCTCGACGCACTGCAACTGGGAAAATTCGGCCCCACTGGAGTGCGCTGGTGTCGACTTTGTGGGAAGCTCGGTGGCCGTATGACTTCATGTGGCCGTCTCCCACGCGATGCTGGGCTTGACATTGGCGAAGACCCGCAAATCTGCGAGGCTCGGTTGCAGTATCTCGTCGTATGACAGGCGGAAGCAGTAGAAGCTTGGTAATAACGGAAGACATTTCACTTTGCATATTGCAAGTCTCACCTTGCCAGGCGATTGCCGGCCTATCGATGGACCGTCTCCATGCACGTCTTGCCAATGGCGTATCCGCCTCTTGGAGGCGTGTTCTTATATCTAGTCGGGTGATGGTTCCTCGTATTAGCGAACGGTTCCGCTCGCTCACATGGACTGCTTTTGTCTGTCTCTTCGCAGCTCGCAGAAAACTACGCTTCTTCTCACTTCCTGCCTATACACCCATGCCTCCATAATGATGGGGAAAAGACAACGGATCACACTGCTTGCTTTGGCAACCGCCTTTCTGGCAACGCCGGTCGTCACACAGCGACCCCAGCTCGGGGCTGTTCCCTACGGTGTCGAGATCCGATCCTGCACACGGCCGAACATGGTGGCCCTGACCTTCGACGACGGTCCCTCTCACCTGACACCGGACCTTTTGGATCTCCTCGACGAACAAGGCGTGATGGCGACATTCTTCCTGAACGGCAACAATATGGGCGAAGGGCCCATCACCGACCAGAGTCTCGGGCATGGCTCTGTCATCAGGCGCATATACCAGTCCGGCCACCAGATTGGCAGCCACACCTGGAGCCATACAGACTTCAACACGATCTCGGACGACCAGCGTTGGGACGAGCTCGTGGAGCTGGATGCTGCTTTGCTGGGCATCATCGGGGTATACCCGACGTACTTTCGGGCGCCGTACGGACTGTGCATGAGGGCTGCAAGGCTATGATCAACGAGTTTGGGTATCATCTGGTACGAGACAGCGTCCGCACACTCACAGTAAGAACCGCTGGATAATCATCTAGATCAAATGGGACCTTGACACCAACGACTGGAAGCAAGACGAGCAGGCGTCCAGGGACACGTTTTCACAGACCCTCGAATGGCAAAATTCGGCCATTGTCCTGGCCCACGACATCCACGAAATGACTGTCTACAGTCTCGCCGCGTACATGATCTCCACGGCCAGGGCCAAGGGCTTTTCTCTCGTCACCGTGGGAGAATGTCTCGGCGACCCGCGGGGGAACTGGTACAGGACTGGCGGCTCCTCTTCGAGGACAAACACCAAAAATTTCCAGAAGCAGCGGCAAAATCTCCAAGAGGGGTCTTCGTCAGCGACGCCAGTGTCACCGGACATGGTCACTTGGGCAAGCTCGAGTGATCTCAGCGCCAGTGTCGGCCCATCCGTGTCCGCGGCAGCAGAGGATAGTGACGCATCGAGAGTCACGCAGCCGAGCAGTGCAGAAAACGCAGAGGACGTTGACAATGAGAATGGTGCGGCGGGTCAAATGGCGCACTTGGTGTTGGCTTTTGCAGCTGTCGTGGTTCCTGTCATCTTGATGCACGACTAAGTTGGTGTCACGTGGTCGAGCAGCCAGGACTCGGGTCATTTCATGTATACCTTTCTCGCGACCACATAAGACTGCTAAAATTAGCAAGACATATTATGAAGGCATGCGCACAAGAAAACTGTATTATTATCAAGCTCTTTAAGGTCAATCGGTGATCATCACACTGATCCGTCCCGCCAGTGAAGCGCGGCAGGGATCGTAATCCTGCTGACGAGACGACAGAATGACAGCCTCACACCTGCGAGCATCATCTTACCATATGTGCATTGCGAATATGACCGGCCCCCATGCTCACTCGGGCTCGCGGCAATGCCCTTGGCGCGCGTCTGGAAGATTGCGCTTTCGCGCACTCGGCCCTAGGCTCTCCATCTACGGATCCGACAGGTCAGAATCGGTCCCTGAAGGATGGGGATTCCCAACGCAGTGAAGTGGTATTAATTGGGATCTCGTCCTGGGAGGGGGGTTTCCCGTTCAGGTGATTTTTCGACTCCTCTTTCCTTGATTTCGGGACATCGTCCGTCCTTAGATCATTCTGTCGCCGCAACGCATGCCTCACTGACACGACGAGCGCGGCTGCAGAGTAGCGACGACAGCACAGAGGGCAACAAGAGATCCCCGTCGACAGGACTCCGCAGTCCGATCAGCAGCACGATGAGCGGCGAGGACCGGAAGACCGAGCTTCTCTCTTGCGTTACGTCGTTTTTCCGCACGGCGCTCATATGGACCTCTTGTGACGAATCGGATCTGTCATGCTGGTGTGCAGATGCCAATCGGGAAACGCTGGCCAAAGGCATCACCGAATGCTTCAACGAGAACGAAAACTGGGACGAGGGCGACATTAGGCGTACGTGAAGGCACCTGGATCCGCAGAGGTGTTCTAGCGGCTAACGAGACACTCAAGGCTTGATGAGCTCCTATCAAACAGTCTGCGATATTGCAGGCGGCATCGTCGCCAGACAGCCCACGCCGATTTTATCAGTTGGCGATACCACCAAGACAGACAGTCCTCGCCCAACGGGCAGCCTAAAGTCAGGCGAGGGGGATCTCATCGCCGTACCACCACCAGCCCCTTCTAACAATGAGATTCCACTAGCGGCAAAGATTGGCATGGCTGTCGGATTTCCTGTGCTCGGCTTGCTTTGTGCCATCCTCGTCTGTCTCTACATCCGCGAGAGGAGACGAAGGAAAGGACTTGAATGGACCACTACATCTACTGCGACAACGACGCCAAGGAAGGATAAGCGCTCATCGCTAGGCTCGAAGCGAACCACGGGGACGACGATGAGTCTCGCCGGCGCAAGTCACCACCACGCCGGACGACATGATAGTGTCAGAGGGACACAAGGCAGTCACTCAGACATGAGGCGCTCGGACAGTGGCGTCTGGCGGCCGAGCAGGAGTGAGCAGGATGTTATCAGCCCGAGCTCGGGGGAGAGCGGCCAGGGGAAGAAGAGCTTGGGGCGCGTGTTGGAGGAGCCGCCCCGGCCGAGCTATTTCCAGGAGCTGCCGTCGTGACAGGCAAGAGTGCGCAATGGTGCACGGATACAAGATAAATGCTTATACGGGATCCCTTTTATGGACTTATGAGGTGTTTTGATTAGGTCAGCATGCAATAAGGAGCGCAATATTTCATCATTGGCCAGTTTCTTCATTTGTTGTTCTGGGTTATGATCTGAAGTGAACACGAGCTTCACCCATCTAGACGTGCTGTAAGCTGTCAGTGCGTCAGAACTGAAAACAAGCATGACATGTTGTCTGTTAAAGTTTCACCATCTGGCGCGGACCGCACGCGAAGCGCAGAAACGTGGGGAAAGGACTTGGAACTGCCGCCAGCGTACATGTATATCCGCGCGATCCTCCGCCGTGTAAACCTTCAGTTGCGCTGGGGCTCGTTGCTCGCTTGCAGTAGTCCATACCTACGTACCAATTGCAGAACAGGTAAAGTCTAAGAATAAAGCATAAATCGTCAGCCACAGCTTTACACATGTGTCATGATGGTGAACATTAATTGCCCCGACCTGTGAAGAACGTCTCCCAACCTTGAATCGCCTGCTGTTCAAGCAATATAACCATCATCTTCCTACGCCAGCATCCCACCCTCTGCGCATGGATAGCAAAGCCAACATGAATTTCCCATACCAAAAGACCAGTACGTACCACATAGCCGTCGACGGCCATCTCTTCTGTCCCGTGGTCGGTGGGCCGAGTCGAACTATCAAGACGAAGAGCCAGGCCGGCAACGCGGGCAAGACAAAGCCGCACACACAAGCAAATGAATCCTCCGAGAACTGGGACCGAAAGTCGATTTCGGAACTTGTGGCCACTTCAACGCCAGCATATGCCGGTCAACCCTTCGGTATGCCTAGACCGCTATAGGGACGAGGTAACCCGGATCATGTCTCGGCTGCGACGAGAGTCAACAATGGAGGTTGGGGCGTGAGGAAGTCTCACTTAAGCGAGTGGTTTTGAGGAGACCAGATGCGAAGGAGAATCAATACCCAACGTGGAGCGATCATTTAGTTTCAATCATCAAATACCATTGCGGCACACGTGAATATGCTAAAATGCGGGTTGATACTGTTGCACGAACTCAAAGACCCTAGGATAAACATCACGCCCCCAGTTGCTCAAGCCATCATAGCGACAGCACCAGCCACAATGGCACCCGCCATCCACCAGGGCGCAAGGGCGCTGGCTGCGTTGCCGCCGTCGTCATCGTCGTTATTGTCATCACTGTCGTCGTTGTTGTTGTCACTATTGTCGTCGTTGGACTGCCCAGTCTCGCGGGCAGCTGTGAACGTGGTAGTAAGCTGCGCGGTATCCGTGGGACGCGTCGCCGTCACGGTGATGGCGGCAACAGTCTCGGTGGCAGAGGCCATGTAGCTGGTGGACGAGAAGCCACAAGTACGCACAATGGCGTTGATGTCTGCGGTTTGTCAGCGTGGATCGACATTGGATCAGAGGGGCTGCTCACCCTCCCAGGCGTCATCGTAGTCATCGTCATCATCATCATCGTCGTCGTCGTCGTCGTCTGTATCGTCACCGTCGTCATTGTTGTTGTTCCTGCTGCTCTCGCGCTCCTGTCTCACGCAGTCCTGGCACTGCGCAGCAACAGAATTGACCTCAAAGCTGTCATTGGAGCAGAAGCACTGCGCCTCGAGCTGGTCCTCCTCGCGATCATTGTCGTCGCCGGGGAGGTCGACCTCGCAACTACGGGACAGGTCGGCAATGGGGCGGCAAATATCCTGACAGGCGCGTGGGGCGTCATTGAGGTCAAAGTCCATGTCGGCGCGCGCGAGCAGGACGAGGGGCGCAATGGCGAGCAGGGAGGCGTGGTGGTGCATGATGGCGGTTGGAGATGAGTATGATGGGTTAGATGAGATGGACTGAATGTTGGCAGATGGGATTGACTGATGATGGGCAGATGAAAAGCGATTCGTTCGGGGCGTAGGACGTTACTTATAAAGCTCGCATGAGTCGTGACACTGTTTGAAGCTGCTGGTGAGGATGCACGATCGTCTCGCCCATGACGTACTTGTACATCGGTACCGCCACAATGCACGCCGGGAAGATCCCAGCCCCAGCCAGCCCCAGGGAATAATAGTCCGATGCCGAGAATCAGTATTCCCCGCAACCCACATCGTCTCCGTCCACGTGTGAGGACGCGAAAGCGCAATCAAGGGTGTCACACCGTTCTCAACTTGCAAGACATGACTCTACCAATCGAACAAGCGCTCCATTGAACTCGCGGCCCCCCGTGCTTGCATGGCTGCTCAGCCTGCTCGGGCGGATCTTGAATTATGAAGGTTAACTTCCCCTCCCCGGCCGATCAGCGATTCAGCATGAGGCGCAGCCAGCCAGCCAGCCAGCCAGCCAGCCAGCCAATAGTCACTGGGCGCAAGGGGCTAATCAGCCGCAGTTTTAACTTAAAGTTTGACGTGGCATGGCATCGCCCTGATCTTGCATGCCCTGCATGGATTGCGGGTTGTTGCACGGCACGCTGCCAAGACACCAGAGGCTCGTTTCTAAATTAAACAACCCGATGATGAAGCTGGTGACGCGGCCCTGGGCGGACACGAGGTGGCTTGAATCAGAAGGTGAAGCTGCAGAGTACGTACAGTACCTAGAGAGGCTGTGAGAGCAGAACAAACCGATGAGACGCCAAAATGAACTGTATACTTCTATCGTGGCTACCAGCCGCTGCTAGACTATCTATAATTGCATACCATACCTTATGCATCTATCAGTCCATGGCTTCGACATCCAGCCTGTCGACCGAGGTTCTATGAGGTCGTCGTCCTCTACGCAACATGACCAGGAAAATGGAAATGTTGATCAACACAGGTCTTGACAGATCCCTTGACAGAGCCCAAGAAACGGGTTTTGGCCCCCTTTGACAAGCGCAAGCCGCAGACGCGATGTCAGTCCTGCGCCCAGGGGAAGATCAAGGTATAGGAGAAACCCCCATGGAGTATTTGATCTTGTCGAGGTTGACTTACTTACCTGAAATACGCAGTAGCAAGGTCTCTTTCCACGTGCCTACTTTGCGCGCACGAAGAAATGATGCCGGCCGCCTGTGCAGCCAGAGTCAACCTCCAGCGTCAAGTTTGTCGCTGCTTCAGCGCAGACTCGAGCCCCCTGACTCGTCAACGCTGGTAGCACAGTCTCGGCTTGCTATCTCGCATCTTGACGAGTCCGTGGACGCCATCTACATGAGATACTTTGCCTCGTTTATGGACGGCTGTCGGATCATAGTGGGACTCGGCTGCGACCTCGGCCTCAGACCTGCTACCACCCATGGACGTGTCTCAGCCGTTGCGGAACATGTCTATAGCCATTGGAGCGCTGCAGTCTAGCACGAGGGCTTCAATTCGCTCAGCTCACAGACAAGATGAACCGCGAGTGTTGGCGTTCAGGTTCTACGCTGAGGCTATACAATCCTTGAAACACCGCCTCGGAGAGCAGATGACGTGCTCTGGAGCACATTTCTCCTGGGGATGATTGACGTACTTCACTTGTTCTTGTTCTGGTCTACCAATTTTTCCTGCGGAACAAACTGACTGATGAAAAGCTCCTATCAGAGACGTCGGGTCAGCCGTGGGCAACACATATGCCCTACGGCACATCAAGGCTCTTCCAGCTAGCCGGACCCAACGCTGTGCCAGGCACGGACCTCGGGCGCAGGCTGTTCGATGCTTTCTGTGTACTCGAGTCTAAAAGAGTGTTGTTGTTCGGAATGACACCTTTCTCTCGCGCTACGAGTGGCTGCTGGCCCAGAAGCCCTACGCAAAACTCACCCTGCCCTTTGGACTCTGGCTTCCGAGGGCGTTTAGCTGCTCCACGAGCTGCATCTTCACATTGAAGACATCACCATCTCCCAGAATGGGGCAAGACGAGCCGTTCAACGAGCTCGCCAAGTGCTTCCTCCACGCCATGGTGCTGTTCCATTGCAGGGACTTCACTCTCTACACTTGCTTCGACAATCTGCCGATTCCTTTTCCGTCGTCTGATGGGGTGAGGGAGTACGCCTCGATGGCTCTGGCGACATGCAGAAACATCACCGCCGACGAAACGTCCTCGGCGATCCCCGGCATCATGCTACTCTTCCCTCTTCTAACGGTGCGTGTCCATTAATCGGATCGACAAACACGACTAGAAGTGTTACGGCTTCTAGCAAGGATCTATCAACAGGTGTACATCGTTGCTGATAGGATCAGGGTGTATTTGGAAGAGTGCTGGGCTTTCGAATATGGCATGGGGAGATGAGCTTGCAGGGCCAAATGAGGGATGATATTATCTATCGACATTTGGGAGTAGAGAAGAAAGAGAGTACACAGCCCACTACGTAGAGGCTAACTGGTCCAGTGGATGAAGAGAAAGAAGCAGCTCCTGAATCAGCCTGTATTACCAGCCGATTGACCACTTAATCCGTGGCCTTTGTGTTTAAGAAATCTGTGATGACGCTGGTGCGAAGGGCAGGCGAGAAATAGTCGTCCCCAACCAGCATACCCGTGTTTTCTACGTACACGGTCGTGAGGATCACGCCTTGATACATAATACTCCACTGCAAAACCACAAGCTATGTCAGTACCGTTCAAACACCGCAAGATGATACATGAATGATAAGGGAGACCTACAGCCGCGACGGGATACGTCAAGAACTTCCTGTCCACCAGGCCGCTGTAGACAGCGCCCGACTGAAAAAGAACGTCCTCAGGGAAGATGGAAAAGTTGGGTTTGATAAAGTCCCTCCAGATATCGATCGTGGTCGAGTCGCCCGCGAGGGTGGTGACCGTGTTGTCGACGAGGCCCTCATCTGTGACGTTGGCGTAGTTGAACACGGACGAGACAAGGGTTCCGTCATAGCGAAGTCGACCTGGACGACACCCCTGGATGCCGAGTTTGTGATGAGCCTCGCCGCGATGTTGGACACATTCTCATCCCTTGTCGTTGTGTCGGAGAGAGAGCCACTACAATGGCGAGGAGTTACCACTTGTGCTGGACGAAGCTCGCGGTGAACTCGGGCTTGACCAGCGGCGGCTCTGGCTGCTTTGATCCGGCAGCTTACTGGTTCATCGAATCCGGGAATGTCTTGCAGCCCCCGGCAACCACAGTGCCGGCGAGGAGGAGAGCTGTTGAAGGTGTTCGAGAGGCGGGTGAGGAGGATGAACAGGAGCCCGAACAGCAGAGAACGTCTGTTTTTATATCCACGCAGACACGCGTGCATTTAACTGCTCAAAATACCATCGTCGCCTCTGCCGTTTCTGCCACGCCATCAAATCTCTCCTCTTCCAGTCCCTCGGTGAGCACTTAGATCACAGCGCTCGATTGTTGCCCGATTAGGAAAGAAGCTACGGGTCTTGCGGGTCGTGATGAGGGTCATGTCGCGGGGTCGCTTTTGCTTGCCCCATGGCAAGCTACCCGTATTCGCTCTTCATTCACTCTTCTGTGGACAATATCATTTCACGTTATAAAGCATGAGTGAGATGAAAAGTCTGTTCAGCGGTACAGCTTTGTGTTCTAAGGACAGTAAGAAAATGTTCCCTGCTGTCCCTGAAGATTGCGCCAAGTCACTTGTCAAAGAAGCAGTATCACAACCACAAAAGAAGAGAAGACTGCAAGACATAAAGTGGAGGCTTTTATTTAATCGTTTTGAAATCCCAGACCATAAACTTTCTTCCCTACTTCCCAATGTTCTGTACCCCTTGACACCCATCCCGACGACACGTGCCACGTTACGCCCACCAACGATGACAGACCTGGCTGGTACACCACCGGGCCCAGCCATCGCCGTCACACTACTGCTCACAGCGAGTTCCGTAGCCGCCTATCACATTCTCATCTTCTACAAGCTTTTCTCAAACGGGGCAGATCCTCATCAAGAAGACACCCAGGGAGCCACAAATCCTGAAGACGCTATTTTCGATGATCCTGTCCTGGCCAAGGCGTTTGCTCAGGACCTCCACCACGAGTTGAGCACTCTGGCCACGAAGCATGTCAAGCTACAGATCCAGAAGAACAAGACAGTTTCCACAGCAAAGCTGTATGAAGCCAGAACCATACGGCTCGCGGCGTATCTAAAACACACCAAAGAGAAGTACAAATCTCTCAAGAAGGCATCGGCAGCCAGCACTGGTCCACGCACAGATGACTCGCAGTATCTACTTGAACTGATGGACTATGTAGAGAATATACGAGAGAACTACGACACGCTCCTGCAAGCGTATACAGTTCTGAGGCAGGCTGCACGACAAATTCAAGAGGAGAACGCAACCGTTCGAGAAGCACTCCCCTCCTCCACCAATGATTTGACGAGCACTGCCCCGTCATTATTGGAAGAAATTAAAAACCAAATCATGGCGAGGCTCAAGACTGAGAATGAGGCATACATCGCGCAGATCCAGAAGCTGACAGCAGAAAAACAGGAGTGGAAGGAAGAACGAACTGCTCTTCGTGAGGCTATGGATTCTATGCTCCATGACAGTACCCTCTCCCACGTTGGTGATGAAGCGTACTACGCAGACGAGAGCTGGCTCTCTGATGGCCAGAATGGCTCTACGTCGCATGACGGGAACTTGGCGACTGAATTGCAGGATGCCATCGGCAACGAATGGACGAGTGAGGACGGACTCAGAGAAACGGACTAGTAATACCACAGACATGAATCTGAATAGCAGAGTAGGCAGTCGAACATTCTAACTCCTCAGTATTTACATCCTCTATACCTTGCTGCGCCTGCTCTTGCACTTGGACGGATCCTTGAACGTGGAGCCAATCTCGCCCCACTTGATGTTGCTGTAGGTGACCTCGGGCCTGGGCTCGACCTTGACAATCTCGTCGGGGTGGCCCTCGGTCGGGTTGCAAGGCCCGGCCTCCCCGCCGTCCAGCCACTGCATGTTGCCGCCGCGGTCCCACCAGATGCTCATGGCCAGCACCATACCACGGGTCATGGCCTCGCCCATGCCGGCTGTGGCACCGAGGCGCAAGAAGTGCTCGGCGTAGGTGGCCTCGCAGAGCTCGTCGTTGAGGTAGTCGATCTGGGGGAGCGAGGGGCGAACGACCTCGCCGTTGTCGATCAGACGGCCGTCCTGAATGTACATGCGGTGGAAGCCGGTCAGGATGCCGTTCTCGTCAGCCGGGTACTGCGAGATGACGGTAAAGGGCCGCGTCGTGTCCACCTCGAGACCGAGGCCGTAGTGCTCCTCGTTGTCGAATCGCCAGGCGTTGTAGGCGCACCCGGGCTTGTCGCAGATGCCGTCCGCCTCGCACTCGGCACCCTCGCACTCGACGAGGCCCGTGACGTTGCAGGGGTGGGGGGCCACGTGCATGGCGCGCGAGTTGGCCTCGAAGATGTCCATTTCGTTGCAGCAGGCCCCGTAGCCCTCCAGGTTGGGCTCGCCACCGATAAAGGGGGTAGTGTAGCATTGGGCGTCGCAGTAGCCGGTGCCCCAGTATGCACCAGCCTGGTTCAACTCGGACAGACCGCCATCGGCAGGCATTTCGGATAGATAGAGCGCGCCATTCATGCCGCAGGGAAGATTCGAAACGTCGACGTCGAACGTGAACTCCTTGCCAGTGAGGCTCAGCATCTCGTACGTCTCCTTGTCCTCGCTCAGCAGGTAGACGCGGGGCGACAGCTCAGCGCCGTTGTCACCCAGCAGCTCCATCCTCATGGAAGCGCCTTCGGTGAACACGCCAACCTTGGTGTAGTCCTCGACACCCTGCATGATGCAGTTCTGTTGACATGTTTCGGCGTCGGGGCAAGCAGTGGCGTTGGGCGGGTTGCCCCAGCTGCCGCAGTTGTACTCGGGCGCGTCGACTTGATACACGGGGTGGGCGAGCGAGTCGAGCACGACATATGTGTTCTTCTGGAGGCAGCCTCCGTCTTTTGTGCACTCCCATGTTGTGAGTCCGGGGTGATTCTCTGGCTTGTCGCCAGGGGACTGAGCGGCGGCGAGGCCAACGAGAGCTGAGGCGAGAAACAGAGCCATGGTGATAATGAGCTTTCTTGCTTGCTGGGTCGTCCTCGGAGTATAGTCCGTAGTGTATGAACTCTTTCTTTATATCTTCCCTATACCGCAGACTTCCCCTCATGAACCCCCTATCCGTGGCACAACACCCCAGTGTCTGGCATGGCCAAACGGCATGCGTCCGCAGAAACTGCAGCAGAGAACATCCGAACATCGGCATGCCGGCCCTCGCACCGACATATCTCCATGTTCAACGGCAGTGGCCTATCGTGGGGCGCCATGGGGTATCGACGCAGTGATCCTGGGCAGTCAGGGGTCGAAAACTTAAAATGGGTGCCCTAAACGGGAAACGGAGGTGCAATCCTCCGTAGAAGCACAAAGAGTCCCTGGTTAATACAATCTCCGAAACGCAGGCTAAGTTGCATGCAGCAAGTGCGGAGAAAATGGAGATGCTGGGTAGCATTGCCATCCAGGCACAGGAAGCCGCAGGCATTTCCGGCTCAATCGCCATGCCGGTTGATGTGTTGCAGTCGGCGCCTGTCCCGACATACGAATAGCCGCCTCTTCATTTGCCTACCGGTGGCCCATCGTCGTTGAACCCCGCGAGCCGGCCACATGCCCTTCGATCTCTGATCTGGTTTGATTGCGGTGCTCTCCAGCGCAGCTCGTCAGGGCAGCAGCGGAGCATCCCCGATCTATGTATGGTGCGTACCCCATCGTTGGCGGTGATGAGCTGAGCGTTTCGCGTGTATTTACGCTCTTTCTGATAAAAGCTTGTCCGAGTAGAGTGCATGAGCCGCAGTCTCCGCGCCAGATCCAGCGTTAGCCCCCGAATGCTTAATTCAACTTCAGCGCCTGTAGCGGACCTGGCCCAATCATGCTACAACAGATCGCTTTACATGCGTGCCCACATGGCACCTTGCGAATGTTGCCAGGTGAGCCCGCCCCGTGGTGAGGGTGTCTGGGCGTCGCTGGTGTCCAGCGCAGGTCATCCATTCCGTGTGTGCCTGGAAGTTGGAACTGGCCAGGTGGCAACATGCAGCCCAGCGCATAAGCAAGCCTGAGGACTGAAGAATGCCAAGGATATTGGCACCAATACTTTCCAAGGTATTCTCGCATGCACGCCTAGTGTGGTTGCGGTCCGCGGTAACGTCTTCCGATCACTCAGTGTGCGTATCACTAAGCCGACAATGTTCCTTTGTGATCCACCAATCGATATACGCATTGCCTCATGACGTTGATGTATACGGATCTGAGCTTTGGGTTCAAAAGATCAGCCATGCGCAGAAATACAGAAAGATGTTGTCGTTCTGCCGCTTCTTAACGTGACCCCTGGTCCCTAGTGTACTCACTCACTTCAACCCGTCACCTCCCGTCTTCTCCCCTCGCAGAATCTGCTCGACGTCGGCGCGACCAAACATTTCCCTCTCCATCCTCTTCGTCCGCTCCTTTTCTCTTTTCACTTCGCGCTTCAGCTCCTTGTTGGTCAGTTTGACCTCCTTCTCCTTCTTCTCCACAGCTGGCACCACAGCGCCGACGCCGAGCGTGTCCTCCTTGAGAGCGACCTTAATGGGGAATCGCCGTCCTTCGCCCTGCGACCCAAGGCCGACACGAGCATCGGGATCCCACCCCTGGGACCGGAGGGTTTGCAAGCCCATCCGGGACCGGTCGAGGTGGGATGGCGGGTGCGAGTGTTGTAGCGAGACCTGATGGGCCAGAGTCTGCTCATGACTTTTTGGATCCCCCTTGATCTCCAAACCGCACGTCTCACATATTGACATGGTGCCCTGCTCGAGTTTATGGCCCGCGAGGCCTTTGCCAGCCGTCTCACCGCCGGAGCTAGAGGTCATGACGACGCTGGCGTAGAGGTCGCTGATTGCCGTGCCCCTCTCGCGTGTCATTTGTGAAGATGCAGAGGTGTCATCGTCTTCTGTAGCACGGACAAATTCAACCTTTTGACGTTTGAGACCGCTGCCAAAGGCCCGTTTGCGGTGCAACGGGAGCTCATCACGGTCGTAGTCGTCGCGATCGTGTTCGTCGTCATCAGCTTTGTAGGGTCGTCGCATCGCCATTGTGACGCTCTATGGAGGTGTCGACTTCAAGGCATGATGTTGCGCGTCCTCGTCATCGAGACGTAGTCCGCGAGTATTAGAGGTGCCACGATGAGGGTGTGAAGATGAGGCAATCAAAAGACTGCATTCGTCTTGCAGAGGGCGACAGCGCGCGGGGCAGATGGGGGTGCGGTGCAGGGTGGCCACATCGTTGTCAGCACTAACTTAAGTTACGTTAGTTAACTTAGACTAAGTTAGTTAAGTTAAATTGCATAAGGCATCAAATCGGCTTCGCTTTCGCCAAAACACGGCTATCTACGTCCAAGTTATGTACTTGTTTCTGTTTCAACCATCACAAACGTTCATGATCAAGTCTCTCTCCTCACTCTGTTCTTGGTCGTTCCACGCGCCCGCGCCCTCTGAACAAGCTCGTCATTCAAGCCTTGACGCCAATCGCATCCCTCGGCAAACTCGCACATCTTGCACTTGAATGCTTCTTCGATGGTAACGCCTCTCGCTTTCCGCTCACCATGCCACCACTGCATGTACTTTGCCAAATATTCATCCAATGCATAGTTTGACAATGGGAAATCGTGCACGTCGAGCTGCCGCCCGTCGTCACGATGGAGATACTGTACGCGCAGCATGGTTCCCAGTGACTCTGCCCCCTGAGGGAACGTGGTGCGGACCTCTTCTTCCACTAAAGACAGGAGCTCTCGCAAGGAGTTGTACTTGACCAGATCAGGTTCCGACTGCGGTGCCTCCCCAAAATCTCCGGCTCTGGTTCCGTGGGATGGATCAGAAAGCTCTGGTATCGACACGCTCGAAGCGTCTACGAACACTTCGTCGTGCAGACTTCCAATCTGCGCGAGAAAGGTGTCCGTGAATTGGTCGTCCGGGTCCAACCCGAATCGCCGAAACACTTGGAAGAAGTCCAACTTGCCAGAGGCAATCTGTGATAGAAACCGATGGTATAGCGACAACTGAATCTTTGCGGGACGAAGTTGCGCGTTCGAGACCGGTTGCAGAGAACCTCTCGTTTTCACATCCGCAAGATACATCTTCTTGTGGTCCCCGCTTGTCCTGCTCGGGAAGTAATCCAATACTTTCCTCTGCGAGGGCAGTAGTTGGGATTCTTGACTTGACAGCTCCTCTTCGAAAGCGGGGTCGGGGTGATCATAGGAGATGCTGTCAATCACGCCGCTGACGAGCTTGTTCTCGTCGACCATGCCCCAGACCTCCAGCTCCCGTGTCAAGCCGGTCTCTCGCAGTGTTCGCAATCCTTGCACAAAGTTCCACAGCTTGAGGGCGAATCCGTCCTCTTTAGTCAGAATCTCCACTTTGACGGCCGTGTGCACCTCATCTTCGAGCTTCCGGTGCACTTTGCTACCCTTTTTCATGGCCGCTGTCCTTGTGCGTCTTCCGAATGGGAGTCTTGTCAAGGTGTACTCATATTGCAGTTCACACCATGCGCCACTCGTCAGGTCGCTCACAGAGAGCGGCTTTCGTGGGAAACAGCGGAACTTTTGCAGGGGGGATCGCTCGTCGCCAGGTTCGGGAGCAGCCGTCTTGTGGAAGAAGGTGGACGCAGTGGGGAGGTCTTTCGAGGCCGACTCGACGCGCTCGAGGGCACTGGCTACTAATCGCTTCGTCAGTCAGTCCAACTCTCACTCTGGACAGAGCAAGGGTGCGTACAGTTTGGGTATGTAACCTCTTCCTGGAGCGACACGGGTGTAGGGAGGCTGTCCACGCCCTGTGTGACCAGAGGCGCATCGTGACCCTTGACGGGGACGGCATCGATCTGATCCAAAGCTAGAAGCGACAGCTCGTCGTCCGTTGTGAAGTCGTAGCCAAACTCGTCGTCACTGTGAGATTGGGCGGCCATATTTGCCGCCACGGTTGTGATGAATCATGATGCCTGCGTTGGCGCGCGTTCGGAGGGGGTGCCGCAGTCTTATCAAGGGTCCAGCCAGGTGACGTGCCGTGCCGAGGGGAAGGATACGCGACGCGGAGTCACGTGTACCAGGCACCGACAAGTAAAGTGCTAGGCACCCGTCAGCCACCGGCATCTCAAATATGTACTTGCAGTGTGCACAGTTGACGATATTATTACTTGGCATCCGTGTCCGTACTTTTCAGGCATTTGATTTACTACACTCAGAGGCACAAACCAAAGCCTCCCTGCGTGACAACCGGCAGCACCAGATTTGTCCTGGCCTTGGTGGTCTTGTTACTGGCCAAGTTTGTCCATGTTATTAGTGGTCAGGCGGCACAGCCACGTCCCTTCAGCTGTCCATGTTTCAGGTCACCTCAGCTTGAAGCGCTCGCCGACCGATAATATGCTGCCTAGCTGCATTTAGGGGCTTGTTGAGGCCAGCGCGATACGAAGTCGTGTCAAACACTATCGTGGCTGTTAGTGCTGACATCTGGGTAGGCAACAATTGTCTACGGATACAAAGGCTTCCTTTGCCCACCGAACGTCCTCTTGATAGGTGTGTGCACGTGTGTGACAACTCGACACTTTTTGCAATGGAGTCCATATTGCGACACAGAGGCGCCAATCCTCGTTCCAAACAAACTCCGCCAGGAGATGGCGCGACTGGCACGTCGTCTTTCATGGCCTTGCCCACCGAAATTCACCTCGCCATCTCCCAGCAGCTCATCTACCCTGACGCTTTGTCGTTGAAGCACGTCAACCGATATTTCTACAGCTTCGTGGACACTGGCACGAAACTCAAGGTCGATTGGTTGATTTCTAGGCGCATGCTGCACCTAGAATGTCCCGCAAAAAGATGCGACATGCGAAGTGACATTCGGTTCTGCCGCGGGAGCGTGCCGTAAGTCCGACTTCGATCGTTGCTAGCTATAGTCCTTGGATTGACTTTCACAGCCTTCTCATGAAGCGACGGAGAGAGCACATTGAGTGCGAGTCGCGCCCCGGCCTGGGATGTCTCGTGTACGGTACCAAAAGATGTACGAACAAGACAAAGATGACTTGGTGGCGACGCGTGCTTGGTACGAAATTCACGGTCGAGCTATGGTGGCTTGTCCTGACAATGGTCCCGGTCGTATGTTGCTGGGTGTGGATTTTGGAGTTCTTGAGAACTTAGCGAGCATGCTTCACTTGCAGATCGGTGCATATTGCATAATTAATATTAATATTATCCAGTGAAGAATCAAGAATCATCATTGCACGAACAGCATGGTGGCTCGAATTGGCGATAAGATAGATACCTCAGTCAACTAAGATCGATCAGCCGCGCGATGACCTCACTCTCTTAGAACTCACTTTGCACAACCTGTCCAGCTTGCTAAACCTTATCACAGGCAGCACAGGAATCTTTGCGCAGTGCATGTATGTAAGGTAGTTGAATAAGAGCTCTTCAAGACATCTTCCTCGGAACAAACTTCGTATGAACCCAGCGTTGGCGCATTCCTCAGACGGCTCGCATGACTTCCAGGGGTTTGATGGCCGAAGCTCCAGGACCCCGCCATGCCTTTCTCGGGACACATGCAACGCCAAACCTCCGACCTCGAGCCATTGAACACGACATCATCGCCAGCCCCATTACCGTGGCACCCTCTACCGTTGCGTGTCGCCTCTGCTTCGACGAGACTGTGATTCATCCCTGCGCCAGTCTAGAACATCAGGCAGCGACTGCCGACTCGTGACCGGCCGCTAGGCCACCACCGCCCACCATGCCCCTGTCCGTCATTGAGGAGCAGCGCAACAGTAAGCAAGAATAGTGTCGCAAGTCAAGTCCCAACTAATCAGAACGGCAGTCATCCTTCAAGAGATCAAGAATATCACAAGAGGCGACGTACTGCCACCCGAGCCCCCTGTTCCGACCTCGACTGACCGCCTCGACAGTGGAAATGCCTGATTGTCGACACGAACTCCAAAAAGATTGTCGACAACTGCGTGAACGAAGATGCCATCCTCAATATTAACATCGCGAGTCCGTACTTTCTCCTACTTGTCCCTACAGAACTCAAGGCTAACCAGCAAGACATTGAGCGGATCGAGGATCGTCGCGAGCAAAACCCCGACATGGACGCCATCTACATCCTCTCCCCCGAACCGCACATTGTCGACTGTCTCCTGCACGACTTCAGCACACGCAAATACCGGTCTGCATTTCTTGTCTGGACAAACCTGCTGCCTGCGGAGTTGAGGCGCAAGATTGACGAGTTTCCGGGTGTGCGACAGCTACGATCCAGTACCAAAACGCTCTTCATCGACTTCTACCCCCGCGAGTCGCATCTAATCACCTTCCGGGATCCGTGGAGTTTCCCTGTTTTATACCACAGAGAATGCGACTCGCTCGTCGCCGCTCATCTCAAGACGACGGCGCAGAGAATTGCCGGGATATGTATAACGCTCTGCGAGTACCCCAAGGTGCGCTACTACAAACCTCGAGAACCCACCTGGGAGTCAGCGGTGTTGTGCTCCCATCTGGCGAACTTTGTGCAGCAGGAGCTCGACATGTACGCGCAATGGAACAAGAATTTCCCTCCGCCGTCGACCCGACCACAGGGCACCTTGCTCATTACCGACCGCGCCATGGACACCATATCACCCCTCGTGCACGAGTTTACATACCAAGCCATGGCCCATGATCTCCTGTCGATAAAGGAGGGCGAAAAGGTCACATACCATACCACAATCAACCAGGGGACGCCAGAGGCGGAGGAGAAGGACATGGAATTGAGCGACAAGGACAAGATCTGGGTAGAGAACCGGCATCGCCACATGAAGGACACCATTGATAAATTGATGGGCGACTTTCGCCGATTCCTGGAAGACAATCCGCATTTCGCGAACGACGCGGACACCACCAATCTCAACGCAATCAGGGACATGCTGGCGGGCCTTCCGCAGTTTCAGGAGATGAAGGAGGCGTACTCACTGCACCTAACCATGGCGCAAGAATGCATGAACATCTTTCAGCACCAGAAGCTGCCTGATGTCGCCTCATCGGAACAGACCATGGCCACCGGGCTGGATGAGGACTACCGCAAACCGAAAAACGTTCTCGACGCCGTGGTGCGGTTGTTAGACGATGAGGCCATCAAGCCCGCGGACCGACTCCGTCTCATCATCCTCTACGTCCTGTACCGCGACGGCGTCGTCCTGGAAGACATCAAGCGCCTTCTCGCGCACGCATCACTGCCACAGTCCGACATCAGCCCCTTCTCCGCTCTCGAATTCCTCGGTGGCCGTGCCATCCGCCGCGAGCTCAAAGATATTAAACCTCCTCGACACATACTCTTCCCCAAAGACCCTCGCAACGCCCCGCAAAACGAGGAGTACTCGCTTTCCAGACACGACCCCGTTCTCAAATCAGTGCTGGAGAACCTCACAAAGGGAACTCTCGACAGCGTCGACTTCCCCTATGTCAAACCGCCCATCGATCCCAATGAAGACCTCCTGCTCGCCCAGGGCGCCTCGCTCCGCGCTGGTGGGCCTCGTCCCAACTGGGCCGCCGCCGGTCGTCGCCAAACCGACACCAACCGCCAACGTATCCTCGTCTTCTTCGCAGGCGGCGCCACCTACTCCGAGGCCCGCGTGGCCTACGAGGTCTCCCACGAGAGGAACAAGGACATCATCCTTGCCACCTCACACATGCTCACGCCATCCCTCTACATCAGACAACTCGGCGATCTCTGCCGCGGACGGCGACAGCTCGACCTCCCCGCCGACAGACCCAAGCCACGCGCCCCGGCACACGTTTTCGAACGTCCAGCGCCACCACCTCAGCAGCTACAACCACACGCCTCGCTCCCAGCGGCTCCTCATCCAGGCGCCATGAGGCCACCTCCGCAACAACAACCCGCGCCTAGCCCACGGGGTCCCAGTCCCAACCACCCACCTCGCGTCCCCCCGCCTCCCACGCAACAGATGGACAACTTGTCTATGGGAGGCGGTCCCGAGAACGGTACGGGAGGTAAACTGCACAAGGAGAAGAAGAGGCGTAATTTCCTAGGTATGAAGAAATAGGAATCTTTGTCCAGTCTGAACCAGTCCGCCATCAACAGCGCATCGAGCGCGAGCCTGCAGCAGGAAAGCTCGTCTGTAGGCGGCAGTCTACGGGGCAGCATAGGCGCGAGAAGAAAGACGGGGAGTCCGATAAGGAAGCAGGATTGAGGCGGAAGTAGTTGCATGGAGCGCGGAGTTTTGCGCTTTTCTTTTGAAGTATTCAGATCACTAGGGATTAGTTGAATCGCGCCCCAATGTACATATCAGTCAGGGTGTATATAAGGGCATACATCGAGCACTTGACAAGGGTAATTGTCCAAGGTAGAGTCCATCGAAAGTGGGCTTATTCATCGGCTTGCTACCAATTTTGAAGCTAGCGTGTTTAAAACCCCAAATGCAGCGGCACCAACATTGATTTGTTTTTCGGATACCAAAAGTATCTTGCTCAAAAACATAGTCTCCCTGTCAATGCTGGGTCTCCCATGTACAGCAAACCAGCCATAGGCCCACGAGCAAGTGTGCTCCAAGCTGCATTGATAACAATGTCGCTATCGACTCTGGCAACGGCGGTTAGTCCCTAACCCCTGAAGTTACCGCCCCGACCCCCATTTGGCGGGGGCATTCCACGCTCATACAGCCCGCCAGCAAACTCGGGTCCAGGTGGTCCATTAAACCCACCCATACCTGGTGGCATGAAGCCATGGGGCGGACCGTTAAAAAACCCGGGCGGGGGAGGTCCCATTCCACGCGGCGGCATGTTGCCCAGGTGTTCTGGGTGTGGTGGCATTGGCCTCATGTTAGGAGGAAACATGCCAGCCATGGCAGGAGGGAGAGGTCCATTGCGTCCCGGTATGGCTGGTCCGCCAGGGCCGCCGCCCACCAGGCCGGGAGGCGCAATCATGTGACGTTGCTGCTGAGTCTGTTGTTGGGGAGGCGGAGGCGGCGGCGGCGGCTGCTGAGACGCTTGATGCTGCTGAAGGTGTGGCGGCAGAGGCCCGCCAGGGCCGCTAATGAAGCCTGGCGGGGGACCCTGCTCAAGTCTGTCCAGCCCAGGCGGTGGCTGCGGTCGTTGCAAGATCTGGGTTGGCGGCGGAGGCCCTCGGTATTCGCTGTCGCCTCCTCGGAAGCTCTCATCCATGCCAAAGCCTGGTGGCGGACCTGGACGCATTCGAGGGCCCTGAGGTCCGCGACCGTCTGGTCCAAACTCGGTTTCGCGATCGTGAGGGTGGGGCATGGGGCCTGGTCCGTTTTGCTTGTTGGCCTGCTGTGCTGCGCGCAGCATCGCCGAATCCGTGCGCGGACCATCTGACCCTGCGCGCATCAGGTTCATAAGAAACTCGGTGTTACTGTTGCTCCTTTGAGGAACGTCGGCTCGGCTGGAGCTCTGGCTAGAGACTCGTTGATGCTGTTGCTGGCCACTCAGGTCCTGCAACAGCTGCTCAGGGCGGGCGTTTTGTTGCGGTCGAGGTGCGTGGATATCGGTTGTGTGATGCTGGAGTGGGGGCCGCCCCAGCAGACCACCTTCCTGGAAAGGCGAGCGCATAGCTCCCTTTGGCCCGTTGTCGCCAGGAGTGACTTGCTGCTGGAGTTGCGGTTGCGGTGGCGCGGTAAACGGCGAAACACCGCCAGGGGAGCTGCTCATCGTCTGTTTCTGTAGCTTGGACAACAATAGTTGGAAAGCCTGTTTCTCCTCGTTGGTGTTCTGGCCCGGCGTGCTCGACATGCCTGCCAAGGCACCAAGCAGTCCATTCATACCAGAGGGCGGAGGTGGAGGCGCAGCTGCAGCAGATGTGGCTGGCTCGGTCTTGGGAGCTTCCTGGTTGAAGAAGGATGTGAATCGTGACGACTTGCCCGAAGGTTTGGCCGCAGACGGCTTTGACTCGCCACCGTCCTGGTCTGACGGACTGCCGAAAGCAGCAAAGAACTTGTCTGGCCCAGGGGCGACGGCTGGCGATGGCCGTACAGGAGGTTTTGCCTTTTCCTGGGCCGGCTCAGAAAGGGGAGCCGATGCTGGCCCCGCAGAAGTCGTAGTGGCTTCACCCTTTGACTTCTTCATGTCAGCCAGCCACTTTTTGAAGTCTTCTTGCGTCCTGGCTTCAGCTTGGGGGGCTGCCGGCTCGTCAAACCATTCAGGTTCGCGTTCGCCTCGCTGGTCGCGACCTCCACCCCACCTTCGATCCTGTCGATGATCTGTTCGCGAAGAGACGTGATCTTCTACAGCCTCAGCTTCGGGATCACGCTCTCTCCAGCTCTTGGCCCGATCCATTCGTTCGCGCTTTTCGGGCACGCGACTCTCGCTGTTCTCAGTCTTGTGACGCGCGAGGCCATTGCGAGGTCGGCCATCCTCTTCGCCGTCCTTATTATCCCTGTTGGTACCCTCATATAGACGGACTGAGCGCTCTTCGCGGTCACGTGGTGTCCTCTTCTCGTCCCGAAAACTGCCACCCATGCGGCCCTGGAGGAACTTCTCGGCGCCGTCTGCCCCGAAGCTTTTCCTAGGCTTCACGGTACTCCAGCCCTCGCTGTCCTGGTCACCCCCCTCGCGACGCCGCAGGGAGTTGGTGTTACGCCCGTCGCGGAAGCGTTCGGCATCTGCGTCGCCAACGCGGTTTCTCAAATTAGCAAAGCGCCCCGTGCCGTCGCTGTCACGAATAATCCTGTCATTGTCTGATAACTTGTTTCGACCGGCGGAGGTGAAGGATGTGCGGGGAGGCCCAAAGACAATATCGTCAGGGTCTGCGTCATGTTAGCCTAGCTGTTGACCGAGCGTCCGCACGGGTACCGACTGTTTGCGCTGTTTCGAGAGACATGACGGTTCGATTCAGGTCGGCGGTTGGTTTGGTCAATCAGTGTACCATCTGTCAGAGTGTTCTTGTCGAATCGACCCATTTGCAATTGTTGACTGCGCGTAGACTGGCTCGGCTGACGACTCTGCTGTTGCTGCTCGTTGGACCTGGCGTTGTCAATTGTAGTTCGCGGGGCGGAAGGAGAAAACTCACCCCATCCACTCCTCCAGCGGAGGCAGATTATCTGGACGGGTGCATAGCGGTGAGTTCTGCAAAGAGAGCAAGAAATCTAGCTCGTATTTGATGACCATGTTGGCTGGCTGGACGCGCAAGGCGCATCCACTGCTGGTGGCCGCCGATGACCACTCGCAAAGGGTCGGTCTGGTATCGAAGTCGAACTATCCGCAAAGAATGGCTAAGCTGGCACGTATGATTGTTGTGGAAAGAAGATACTGCTTGAAGCTTGTGGTTAGGCAGCGGTGGGCGATAATTGTGCACTTCAATCGCTCGCCTTTCGGTGGGACAAAAATCCCTTGTGAACTGTACCGGAAATAGGTGATGTCACAGGCACAGAGGATGGATTGGTAGGATCGCGCAGGATACTGAGGAGATGATGTTGCTGTCGTTGTGAGGGGAGAGTGCGCTGCCAGCGGACAATGACGATCGCTGAGTGCTTGTAGTGGAGGGCAAAACCACTGCGCAAGCCCAAGGAAGACTAGGCAGCCTGAGTGGTTGGGCCTTCTTCTGCGTTGGCTCACGTTAGGCGGCCTCAACGCTGGTGGTTGCCGCGCACTATGATATGTCTGGCGGTATCCGGCAGGTTCAAGGTCATTGAATATGGTTTGCACTAATTGGGGAGGTTTTGAATCGTAATGGCCAGTTTGCTCGTTGCTTTCCACGAAAGCAAATGTTTGATCTGGGAGATGAGCGCCACCGTGCTAAATTACAGTGCATAAGATGATTGCACTGTACGCCACCTAATGGCTCCCGAGAGCCCCTGAGCACCTGTCTCTGTCGCCTTAGATGATATCGTTGCTGAGGCAGACAAGAGACTTGCCAAGGGACTATATGATATGCAGACATATTATCCTTACCTCTTCCGTGCCTTTTTCAACTCAAAGAGCGGTACAAAATGGGAAAAGACTGATGACAAGCTCGGTATAGAGAGCAACGATAGATCAGGATGCCATAGAGACTTTGGAACGCCTGTTGAAGTAGGTAGTTGTCAGACAATCCGTACGTGTATTCATGTTGTGTATTCTCGACAAGTTTCTGCCCCTGAAAGATCTGCTGTTCTGAGTTTTTTAGGTCGTCCGTGCACGCATCGCCGCTTGCAATAATGTGCAGCAGGGTAGGTGACAGGTACTTGATCGTGGCAACTTGCTTAGCGAGGCTAAGAAGCTTTGTTTGGGTAGTAACAAGGCTGTGGATGTAGACGATGCGTTTCTTCGCCTCCTCCGTTTGCCTTGCAATACTCATAAGAACATCAGCTATGCTCGGAAGAGTAGTAGCGCTGAAATCAACATTGCCGCCGTCAAAGATCGTAGGCTTCGATTGTGAGAGGTCGAAGATGAAGTTGTTCTCGAGTCCCTAGTCAAGGAAGGCGATGTTGTAAACACACGTGTAGGTCAGAGGAGTCGACTTGGACTTCTCAATAGGGAAATTCTGAACCTTGACCTTGTTGACAAACACAGGAAGTTGGTGAACACTAGGGACATGGAGGTTGGAGCCGAACTCGGAGGGGATGAAGCGGTGAACACCAGCAGCGACCGCCGCTTCGATAAACTTCATGTGAGCGGTGACAGCGAGAGTTGTGACAGTACAAACGACGAGATCCTGGCCCTGGATGGCGGCCGTGAGAGACGCAAGGGAAGAATAGTCGGCCCCAACGACATCGGTACCAGCGGGGAATTCTGAAGTAGAACCGGCGCGCTTAAGGATGCGAATGCTAAGTTTTCGGACTCGAAAGACTTCTTCAAGACAACGGAGCCGAGAACACCGGACCCACCAGCAATAACAATGTTCTTGAAAGCAGCCATTGTAAGTAGTGTTGTTTTGCATATTGAGGAGTTGAGAGATGGATCAACCTCAAGCTTACGAACGGAAGTTTATATGAATCGACAACTCCACTCACCTCCGCCGGTCTTGGCTCAACAATAATCTAGATTATAAACTCTGAGCACAGACATTGCAAGGCTTGTTATGTAAAAGGCCGGTCGATCACTCATCGTGTAACGGTTGTGCTAGACCACTGTACCATAGGGTAAAAGATTGATCACCAATCGCAACTACCGTGGCAGACAACAGTTCTTTTGAGTCCTGTCAGTTAACCAGAACTAGTTTGCCGCCGGCGCAAGTACTGCACCGAGTTTTATACGCAATTGATTTCAAAGCAATTGTGGCGAATCAGGAAGACGTTAGGAGACAAAGATAACGCAACGACCTCAGGGGACGAGAAAGAAACACCTGTAGGTACTAGGTAGTCTGCAATCAGGATCTTCCAGATGTGTCACCGCGAGGCTCTAAATTACACCATGACTGCCTACTAGTATTTGACTACCCGCCTTGCCACGCAACCCCTCACCTTGGCTCACTTCCTCGCGGCGGCGACCTCCTCGTCGAGCTTCATGATGTTGGGCACGGGTCCCAGGGGCGTGATGCTCAAAGGGTTGATCTGCTTGTGGCTTCGCGTGTAGTGCCATTTGATGTGCTCAAACTGCGTCGTCTCGCCAAAGCCTTCGACCTTCCAGTACAGGTTGCGCATCCACTGGTGTATCGCCGGGTAGCCGGAGCGAACGTCCCGCAGGTTGCACTTGAAGTGCTGCACATACACGGGATCGAAGCGGATAATGGTCACGTAGAGGCGGATGTCAACCTCGGTGAGCGTCTCGCCGAACCAGTAGGGCCCGTCTGACGAGGCGAGCTGGGCCTCGGCGCGGTCGAGCGCCTCAAAGAGTGCCTTGACGTTGCGCTCGTAGGCCTCAGCCGTGGTGGCAAAGCCGGACTTGTATACGCCGTTGTTGATGAGATCGTAGATCCAACTGTGCGCCTCGTCAATATCCTTGCGAAGATTCGAGGGGTAGAGATCGATCTTGCGATGTTTCTCGTCAATCAAGTCGTTGAACTAGCCTGTTAGTATTTCATGTAAATGTGGTGGGATAATAACTTGACATACTTCGGTGCCCAGCATCCTCAAGATCTCACTGCTCTCGTTGCTCACAATCCTCTTGGTCTTGGTATCGTACAGCACGGGCACTGTGAAACGGGCGTCGTACTCAGGCTCGCTCTCAAAGTAGACGTGCCTCAGGTGAGTGTAGCCCTCGTGCCCTTCGATGGGATCCGGCACGACGTTATCACCGGGCGTCTCGCTCTTCGGGTCATCCTTGCTGGCAAACCTCCAGCCGCCCTCGCCTAGATGCCAGTGCACGACGGAGAACGAGATTATGTCTTCGAGTCCCTTGAGCTTGCGCGCAATGAGAGTACGATGGGCCCACGGGCAGGCGTAGGACACATAGAGGTGATACCTGCCCTTCTCAGGAGGGTATCTGGCACCGGCTTCACGTGAGATGGAGTCGCGGAACGCGCTGACCTGGCGTTTGAATTCGCCAGACTTGTCGCCCTTGGGAACCCAGTCTGTGATGCTCGACTAAGCAACGTCATTGAAAGCCCTTCATAGATCAGGCACTTGGCTCACCATGGCAGGTCTCGTTGATGAGAAGCGTCTAGCTTGAGTGGAAGTGGTGAATGGAGTGTGAAGATACCGGACAACAGGTGTTGTGCAAATGCGTGAGACTGAGCTGGCTGGTAGAAGAAAACGCGTTGCTGATTGCATTGAGCTCAATGGTAGTCTACCCTGTTCTCAGCGACAATTCGAGAGACTGGTTCTTTATAGCACCCACAGGAAGCTTCAGCTGCAAGCGCTCGAAGCTGAGTGAAACCATGACGAGGGCATTACTATTAGACCACTTCTTGTCATTATTAGGAAGCACCGGCAGGCCCCATGATTGGCCCTTCCATTTGTCAACCGTTTGTCAGACTTATCAACGCCTTTAGGATCACCCCGCTTGTACGCTAGCCTCCTTCGGTCGGTCGCCACATTTTCCATTCTTTGATATGACGTGGAGGACATAGTAATCACTGGGAACAACGTCCACAGCTTGTTCAACATCACTCGACCCAACTATTAAGTAGAAAGACAGTAGTCCACGCAGTGTTGAGACCTATATTGCAATCTTAATTTTTTACGTCCCCAACCTTATGTTGAGTCTGCTGTCATAATCATTTCTACGTACAGGTGGCCGGTCTCTCCGTCTAGCGCACCAACTTGACCTTCAGATCGGGCATCCACTCGATATCTTCATCGTCCGCATCATCGGCAATGAGACCAATCACCAGCTCCGACTCATGGGCCGGAATGTCCCCCTTTGTGACCCTCTTGTACAGGTCGCTCACAGTGAGCTTCTGGCGCTCTTCCTTCTCCTTGGGGTCTCGGCTGTAGTTGGACCACAGCAAGGCGCGACCGCAGAACATGGACGAGGGATAAATGCCCTTGAGGCGGAACCAGTCCAGCAAGTCGTTGACCACCATATCTTCCACCTCAAATGACTCCCAGACCTTGTCCAGTGTGCACTTGACCTTCTCGCCCTGGAAACCTCCAGTGGCAGGGTCGCGGACAGGCTTGCCATCGGCACCCAACGTGGGCTGAAGGCCAGTGTACGTGAATTTGCCGCTGGCAATAGGCTCACTGAAGCCGATGAACGGCAAGGCTAAGTTGATGAACCCATTCTTGTACTGCTCAATGTCGTCCTTGCCATCAATCACCTTGTACAGCTCAAGCGTGACCAGCCCGGTGACCAGAGCTGTGGTGGTGGCAATGGCGGGGATAATCTTGCCAGCGATCAGCTTGGTCTGATGGCGGTCCGCAGGCTTGATCCTGTAGTTCTCGGCGCGCAGGTTGCTGCAGCAGGTGATGAAGTCGATGTGGTGGTTCGAGTCATCGTCCTTCTCAAAGTCCACCGGGTACACTTCGAAGCCAGCAAGCGAAGTCCGAGCAGGGATCTTCGAGACGATCTTCTCAATCTCGGCCTCGTCGCTCTCTTCTGCGGTTACAGGCTAGCAAGGTTAGCACATGTCCGGGTGGATTGTTTCTGCCACGCCCTTACCTCGTTATCGTCCACCTGAATCTTTATGTTAGATGCAGGAGTATAATCAGGGACGATGATATCAGACAACTCCCGAACGTAGTCATCGTCAGAGAGCTCAGGAGCCTTGATGTTGTAGTTGAAAGCGTGCAGATTGGCAGCTGCCTTGATGAAGCCCAGGTGAGTCTCGTTGCTGGGGTCAAACTTCAGCGGAGTAGGTGCACGCTTCGGTCCAGACCAGAACTGAGCACCCGTCGAGGTGGTAGCATCCTTGGGGAAGTTGTGCAGCAGCTGTTGAATTTTGTTAGAGAATTCGGTCTCGAACTGGCGACGAGCCCACGAGATGCAGTCAGTAAAGCTGCGCGGTCGGTCGGTGGTGAGGTAGCTGCGGATCGTCTCTAGAGTCTCCCTCTGGTTGTCACCCTGCTTCAAGAGCGTCTGGATATACTTGGGTTGAGTCAAGTACAGGTTGACAGTCTGAGGGGCTGTGACAAAAGCCTTCTCGAACATGTACTCCTTAGCCCATGCAATGGTGTGGTCAATGCTGTTCGGGAAACTGCGAATCGTGCACATGGGAATCGACTCCTCCATTGGGTCCCGAGTGGTAGCGCTGGCATAAGGCTCGGTGACGTGGGGAATCACCACCTGCGTGTTGCCCTTAGCTCCCAAGGTACCACTCTCCAAAAGAGGCTTGCGGAACAGAACACAGCGGCTATCCACATAGCGCCTGGCCTCAACGTTGTCGAGGGCGTTCGTCACGCCATCCAGCTTCTGCCAGAAAGTCTCCTGAAAAATGTGCTCGGTGTCAGGTCCGACCTTGTCCTGGTGCGTCACAACGTGCCCATACAGCTCTGGGTTCATGCGCTCGACGGCGGCGGCGGCACGGTCACTCTTCATCTTGCCGACGTCAGCAGAGCGGAAGAGGAATTGACGGTTCAAGTTGCTCTTCTCGATGGAGTCCATGTCGGTCACCCAGAGGTGTCCATTGGGCCCCGTACCCAGTCCCATAAGAGCCCAATTCTTGAGCATCTCACAACCAATGGCACCGGCGCCCACCAGAAATTGCTTCACGTTGGCAATCTTCTCTTGGAACTCGGACCCGAAAACTGCAATCTGCCCATCATACCGGCTCCCCACTGGTTGACAGAGCTCAGGCGTGCGCTTGACCGAAGTCGGGAGCGACTCGAGCGAATCAAAATACAGCCACTGCTGGACGGGGTGGAACTTGCCAGAAACGGCCTTGAGAACCTCTTGCGCAGCAATACCTCCGAAGAAGGCAGCCATAGGGCTGAGATCACCCATGGCCTGGTAGCTGAGCTCCTTGAGAATCTTTTCGTCCAGTTCCGTCTCCAGTCCCTGGTCGGCAGCGAACTTCTTTGCAGCTTCCGACAGCACCAGCACATCTTCGTCGTTCATGGGCCTTGGTAGGCGCCCTGTGGAGTGTTGGAAAGCATGGAGCGCCTGGAAGCCAAGGTGAAGGATCTGCGGGCGGTCGAACTTGGCAAAGTCGGACATGATGAACTCGGGCTCCTTCAATGCCTGCGTGATCGACTTGAAGTTCATGATTTTGGGCATCTTGACCTGGTGATACCGCCCACCGCGCTGATATTGCCCCAGGCTGCTCACGTCACCAATGGAGAAGGTGTAAGGCCCCTTGACCGTGATTTTCATGGGGTCACAGCCGTTCAGAGCCTCCATGCCCTCGACTTCTGAAAAGGTCACATAGTCGCCATCTTCAAGACCATGGCGCTTATCGTCCAGCGAGGACACTAGGCCTTCTTCGTTGATGCCAGCGATAATTCCGGTCAGGGGGTTCTCGCCAGTAGGATCCATGCAGGTAAATTCCTTGCCAAAATCGCAGAAGAGAGAGCCGAAAAGACCAAATGTATCCGCAATGACCACGTGAATGCCTTTGCTGTGGCAATAGTCTCCGATGCTTTGTTGCAGATGAATAGGAACACCTGTAAGCACAACAACCTGGTATTGGTCGAACTGGGAGTTATCCTCGAGACTCGATGAGGGGTGGACGCGAATCGGGGTATATGCGTTCAGCTCGGCTACTCGGGGAACGGTGACGGCATCTCTGGGCTTGCCAACATCTTCTGGCGTGAGGAAGAACTGCGATGACAGATCAGGCAGGGTCACCGGCGAGGGGTCGCAAAGGGACAAGCTCTTGACGCCGGCCAGAGCAATGTTCTTTGCGATTTCCACACCCAAGCCCTTGAGACCGACAATCAGGATGTTCGAGGCACCCATGCGTTTCATCGCTTCATGGCCCAGGACGTAGAGCTGCCGGCTGTAGAGGCTCTCGTCGATCTCAGAGTGGCCGACCACCGACCTATCGACCTGGACGGTAGTGGATGGGTCAACGTCGGTCATCTTGGCGTCCTGTGATGGGTGCCGTCAGTATCATGGGAGAGCCCTCGCGGGGTAACAAGGAGTTTTACAGTCATGGTTTTCTTTGTAGGAGAAGTGTTCTCGCCGTTAGAAAGCTTCCGCTTTCCCAGCGTCAGGGTCGCCTTCGCAGAGGGTGAAATTTTGAGTACTCGCTGTGCTGGTTGACCTGGAGTGATCTAGGCCACCAGACTCGTCGAGCTTTAACCCCACCAAGAGGCTCGGAAAGCAAGTGACGTATGACAGAAAGCCAAAGGCTGTCGCAGTGGATGGAGGCAAGACGGTCGTGCGGTTGATGCTCCGTATGTTGGTAAAGGAATCGCAGGAGCTTGGAGCAGTGAAGTGAAGAATCCAGCAAGTGGAAGGTCAACGTTTCGCTGTGAGACTGCGGGCAGGTTGGATGTCGAGGCAAGCTGCGCTGCCATTTGTCATGACGACGCAGGGCCAGGTGTGAGGTTGGCAGTGACGCGCTTTCATTGGCTCATTGATAATTACTAATGAGGGGCAGCGGGAGCTGATTGAAGCCTTACCTGCGCTGAGCAATTGCAGGTGGGGGCACTCGTTCCTGCTGTGGATGGAAGCTTCCATCTAATTCTGTGTAAATGCATATCGGCATTGCTGCATGGGTTGTACAACGTTAATAAGGGGCTAAGTCAAAACAATTGACTGATGAGGCAGCTCCCTCCGAGTAGCACCAATTCGGTAGTAATTTTACACTATCACGCTGTCTACAGGTATCTCGCAACGCACCTCAAAGCCTTGGCTTGAAGATCTCGCCCCGCTCGTCCTTAAATGTGGCGAGATTGTTCCTCTTGCTGTCGCCGCCGTGGCTCACTTCGACCGGCGCGTCAAAAACAGTGCTGTCGGCCTTGGCTTGTCTCTCGCTCGCGTCGACATACTTCCTCTCGCCCTCGCCAAGATAGAGCTGTCTCGGTCTCCAAATCTTGACGCCAGATGGGTTGAGCATTTGCTGTCTCCAGTGCGCCAGCCAGCCAACGCAGCGAGGCACGGCAAAAAGAACCGGATAAAAGCTGCAGCTGTCAGTCTGGGCTCGTGCAGTATTAAGAAGTTTGACTTACTCTAGAGGGAAACCCATGGCTTGGTAGATGAGGCCCGAGTAAAAGTCCACATTAGGGTACAAGTTGCGGCTGCGCATAAACTCGCTCTCCCTCGCATACTGCGCCAACGTCAAGGCCGTATCAAGAAGCTTGTTACGTCCCGTCACAGCGAACACCTCCTCGGCCAGCTCGCGGATCGCCGTGGAGCGAGGGTCGACGTTCTTGTACACGCGGTGTCCGAACCCCACCAGGACGCGCTCGCGTTTTTCAACCTTGGCCATGAAATCGGGCACGTTCTCGGGCGACCCGATCTCCATGAGCATGCGGATAGCACTTTCAGATGCACCACCGTGCGAAGGCCCGTAGAGAGCGGCGCAGCCAGCCGAGACGACGCTGTAGGGATCCACCAGAGAGCTGCCAACTTGCAGAACTGTCGCCGTGGAGCAGTTCACCTCGTGGTCAGCATGGATGATGAAGAGGGCGTCCAGCGCCTTCTCTAGAACAGGGTGGGGTCGGTACTCGTGTCCGGACAGGTTGTCGAGCAGGTACAGAAAGTTTCCCGTGTACGAAAGCCCTTGTGCTGGTCGGTTAAAGGGCCGTCCTTGACGCATTCGATACGACGCAGCGGCAAGGGTGGGCGCCTTTCCAATGATGCGCAGGATTTGCTTGTCCAGGATCTTGAGTGACTCCAGGTCACCCGACGCCGCGTTTGTGAAGAGCTTTTGGCCTTGGAGTGACGGGTTAGCCTCGGGGGCAAAAGCGCCCATTGTCGCGAACGCCGATGTCAACATTGACATGGGATGGGAGTCGTAGCGGAATGACTTGAACATGGCTTCAATGTCACTGTGGATGTATGTGTGGTGCATAATCTCGTCGGACCATTGGCTGTACTGCGAGGTCGTCGGGAGCTCTCCGTACATCAGCAGAAAGGCAGACTCCAGGAAGTTGCTCTTCTTGACGAGCTGTTCGATGGGATAGCCGCGGTACCGCAAAATGCCCTCCTGCCCGTTGATGTATGTGATCCGACTTTGGACAACAGCCGTGTTCATGTATGCCGGATCATATACCCTGAGCCCTTGCTCTGTCTCGTCCTCTGGGCGGTCATTGTTCGTCCCAGCTTCAGCCTTGATCTTCTTGATGTCTGTGGCAAGCACGCTGTTGTGAGTGATGGGCAGCTCATAGGTCTTTCCGGTGCGGTTGTCAGTAACCGTCAAAGACGGGTGGGCGAGCTTTCTGATCGCCATCTCCGAAGCAATTTGACACTGCGGATGAGTATACCAGGTTTCTGCAGAGCAAAATCAGTCTCAGACAGCTCACTTCAAAAGTCATGAATGACCTGTAAGCCGGTCACCCGTGAAACTGGCCGAGGCCAATAGGAGCTCCGCAAAGTACCGAGGTAGAGCAAGCATCCTTTATTCGAAGCGGACTATTATTAATCCGCATCATTTTCCTACAGGTGTGCTCCGTAGCTGCCATGTGACAAAGGATTGATGGTTCATAAACTTATTCAGATAGATCCTGCCTTGACCAAACATGTGAAACTATCAATTGAGTGAAATAATCATATTCTTGCAGATACCAACACTTGAGTCTTTGATACCGCAAAATGGTCACCATTTTGCTCAGCGAACGTCCTCGGTCGAACATGATCTGACGTCAGATGTCCATGCGGCGTAGGGTAACCAGATTATGTCCAAATCCAGCGCTTTGTGTCAATTCCCGGAATCCAAACCTGCTTGATCACAGTTATCTCGCACCCATTGACGCCCACTGCCTTGTCTTTTCGCGTTCCTCGCGCCGTGCCGTGACAATGTCGGCCTCGCTTCTCCGGTCACGCTTCGCGGCACAGACCACCGGCGTCCTCGCAGCCCGCCAACGGATCGCAAACGAACAGCGCCGAAATGCTTCGTCGTCCTCGCGCTTCACTGGCAGCAGCGCAAAGACCATCGTTTACGGCACTGCACTCGCGGCTTCGACCTTGTTCGCCTACTTCTACACCACCGATACCCGCGCTTTCGTGCACCGATGGGTTGTCCCGCCAATGATACGCATCATCTTCCCTGATGCGGAGGACGCACACCACGCCGGCACCGCTGCGTTAAAGTCTCTCTACGCGCTGAACTTGCATCCGCGGGAACGGGTCAAGGAGGCGGAAGAGCTCAAGGCGGAGGTATTTGGGACGGAGGTTAAGAACCCTATTGGTATCTCGGCTGGCCTCGACAAGGATGGTGAGATTCCAGATGTGCTGTTTGACCTGGGCGCAGGCATTGTCGAGGTGGGAGGCTGCACACCTCTTCCACAGGGCGGGAATCCGAAGCCAAGAGTGTTCAGGGTACCGGGGCTCGATGGCATGGTCAACCGTTATGGGCTGAACTCGCGAGGCGCAGATGACATGGCTATCCGACTACGCGACCGTCTGCGACGCTTCGCTCGCAGCATCGGCGTCACCGAGACGGATGTGCTCAACGACAATGCTGGCGTGCCACCTGGCAGTCTGAAAAGTGGGCGTCTCTTGGCCGTCCAGATTGCTAAGAACAAGGACACTGATGGCAGCAACGAGAAGGCTGTGGCGGACGATCACGTGTATTGCGTCAAGCGTCTGGCGCCGTATGCTGACATACTCGTTGTCAACGTCAGCTCACCCAACACCCCCGGCTTGCGCGATCTCCAAGCCACCGGGCCCTTGTCCCGCCTGCTCAGTGCGGTGGTCGACGAGGCCAGCAGGACAAGCCGCAGAAACAAGCCCAAAGTGATGGTCAAGGTCTCGCCCGACGAGGACGACGACGATCAGGTTTCGGGCATTGTTGCAGCCGTGTCCAACAGCGGCGTTGATGGCATCATTGTCGGCAACACGACCAAGCGCCGGACAGGTCTCGCCCCCCAAGGCGCCCGACTGACTGCGCGCGAGCAGAAGGCACTGGCTGAGGACGGTGGCTACTCTGGCCCTGCCATGTTTGAGCGCACACTGCGCCTCGTCGGAAAGTACCGGCAGCACCTGCAGTCGTCCGCGCTCAAGGAGGGCGACGAGCAAAAGACACTCTTCGCGACGGGCGGCATCACCAATGGGCACCAGGCGCTTCAGGTCCTCAACGCAGGCGCGAGTGTTGCCATGGTGTACACGGGCATGGTGTATGGCGGCTCGGGCACTGTCACAAGGATCAAGGGCGAGATGAGGGACGAGATACGCGCGGGCAAGGCGTAAGGGGCATTCAGCGATGCTGTTAGCGAGCAGCGTGTCTCCGCTAGTATAGCGTCCTGCATACTTGAATTAAGCACAATAGCAACAAGACCTTTCTCTCCCGACACCGACGCAACGAAGCCCGCTCACAGATGAAGAGGGATGTGTAGTTGTTCATGATCGCCGCCGGGGAAGCCTTGCATTCTTGTTCATTTTGCCTGCCACGACATGGCTCTCGCCGAATCGATTAGGGCTTTGGTCCATGGTCCATGGAGCCCAATCACATGGACTTGTAGGCTGTTGGTACAGCTGGACCTGATTTGGCTTTTCCCCGGCTTACTGCGGCTCAGTTGATGAATTACACAAAGTGCGCACACTCAGAGAGATGCTAGTGTTGGCTTGAACAAGGCGCATACAGACAGATTGGTCAGACCAATGGAAAGATACACGATGTGTTGAGTAATCATTCAGACTTTATGGGATAAATTGAACAGCTCATGAACCGAGGAATGTTCTATTGCCTATGTGCGAGGATGCTCACTCTTCCTTGCCGCCAAGATACCGGTACACAACCGAGAAATCCCGGCCAGCACACTCCTCCTTCTTCTCGGCGTCCTCATACACTTCAAAGGCCTTGTCGGCAAGCTTCATCTCTGCACCAGCCTCCTTCGCGGCGACCATGGCGAGACGCAAATCCTTCTTCATCAAGGAAATCCCGAAGCCACCGCGGTAGTCACGGCCAGCAGGCGCGGTCTCAACGACACCCTTTACGGGGTTGTTGATCTCGCTGGGCCAGCAACGACCTGTGCTGACATTGATGACGCCAGCCAGTTTCTTGGGGTCGAGACCCCATTTCATGCCAAGGTTCATCGCTTCGGCGGTGGCAATGTTGTTGAGGGCCAGCAAGTAGTTGTTTGCCAGCTTGGCCGACAAGCCCGCGCCTTGTTCACCGCAGTGCAGGACCTTTCTGCCCATGTGCAGCAATGTGGATTCGACGCGCGGGATTAGTTTTTCGGCAGCGCCCAGCATGAAGGTCAACGTCCCAGCTGTGGCGCCGACGACGCCGCCGGACATGGGCGCGTCCACAAACTGACCCTGCCCTGCTGCAGAAACAGCCTTGGCCACCTCATGGGACGTCGAAGGATCGATGGTCGAGCAGTCGATGAACACACGGTCTTTGGTGGGCAGTGAAGCCACGAGGATGGAGTCGAACACGCCCTTGACATGTTGAGGCTCGGGAAGGCAAGTAACGACAGTATCCTGCGCAAGTCAGTTGAGTACTTGCCATCTGATGCATCAAAGAGATATTATGCGTGTTCGAATTTCAGAGGATTGGCTATAATTGTAATAATCACGGGAGAGCCAGAGCTGTCTAGACTCTGGCCCCAACTTAGATCATAGATAGAACAATATTGTTCATCATTTGGAGACATTGACACGGAAGGAAAGCTTTTTGTACTCACAGCATCCTTTGACGCGTCGAAAGCGCTCGCTGCGAGCTCCACAGCAGCCCCTTGCGAGGCCGCCTTCATCTCGGCCTCAAGGCCCTGCATTGACTGCGGGTTCACATCGAAGATAGATATCCTGTCACCAGGCTGCAACTTTGACTGCAAGTTCTTAGCCATTTGGTAGCCCTACACGAGTTAGCCGGGTTCGTCTCAGGTATAAGAAGTAGTCTCACCATCTGGCCCAAGCCGACAAAGGCATAGTTGTCCAGTCTCCTCGTCGTGCTAGCAAAGCCTCTTCGCTGCACAAACGAGCGCGACACAGCAGCAGCAAGAACTCTCATCGTGATAACGACGGATGGCGAGCAATTTCCATTGTAATAGGGCAAAGCAGGAGATTGCTTTTGTCACGAGGGATGGTAGGCGAGGTAGCATCCCCCATGGATGCGGGGAGGCGTCACCTTACCGATTGAGCCGACCATTGCCGCGACCAGAAGCGTGGCTGACGGAAAACCAGGGCAGCCTGCGAGGGGAAGGATTGGCAGTCAATGGATGGAATGAGGAGGATGGCGCGTGGAGAGCAACCCGAAGTGATTTTTTGCCGTGCGGAGAAGTGGCGCACGTGACTCGGGGGGCTTGCACTGAACAGTCTGCCGCGTCGTAGCGAAGCGGTGAGCCGGTGTCACGTGGTTTCGATGTGTGAAGCCGCGATGCGATGTCAACGTACGAGGACCACGTCAAAAGTTCTCGGTCGGCGCTAGTCACACTAAATATGCATGTCGTTCCAAATAGCTACTTCTGGTGTAAATTCAGTGGCTCAGTTCCCTGCCCCTCGACGTACTCATTTCCACCCTCTACTGCAACAAGCTTCTGAATATGCCGTGGAATGCGCTCAATTCACCGCTGTATCTGCTCTTATGGGAGGTCTCGCCAAGCTATCTGCTCTTGTGGGAGGTCTTGCCAGTCTTCTTCGTGAATCTACATTAGCCTACCTAGCGTTTTGCCGTCACGGATCCCTGTCTTGTTCACGCCTTGCTCAACTTCCCACATCGCCCTCGCATCCGGCTCAAGCGATTCATTCAAGGCCGCGAGCTCTTTCTCAGAGGCTTGTTTCTCACGAGCAGTCTCTAGGCACCAATAATAGCAGGCTTCGTTCTTATCATGCGAAAAGCAGCCCTAAAACATAAACTCCAAAGAACCTTTCCGTCGCTCACGAATACAGCTGTCATTCACCTTCTCTTCAGGTGTTCGCCATAACCGATAGCGACCGCGGCGATGCACAGAGGTCTTGTCAGACCAGATCACCTTCTTCCATTCTCCCAAGGTCCAGTTCTTCCTCTCGAGGCACCACTCAAGCCGCTCTCTCCTCATCTTCTACGTCAGACCAGGCTTCCTCGTCGGCTCCGTCTTTCGGAAGCCAGCCTCCCGTAGTATTCGAAGGACCGTCCGTTCCGAGATATCGATGCCAATGTGGCTAAGATCGCCGGCGATATCAGCGCACGTTTTCTCCCTTCTATAGCGATCGCGGCGTACAAGATTATTAACCTCTTCTCGAGCAAGAGCCTGCTTAGACGGGCGGCCACATCGATGAGCATCGGCGAGGAGGGAGTCTGTGAGGACGATCGGCCGGACAGCAGGGTCGAAGCCTCTCGCGATAGCTCGGGCAAAAATATCATTGATTGTGTTCTTCGGCATGCCCGTGAGGGCGACGACCTCGGCGGTAGTCTTTTGCGTAGCTTTAAGGCTTACAATCATAGCCCTCGTGGCAATATCGGTGTGCGGCATCTTCACGAGTGGCTTCAAAGGAAATAAGACAGTGGGATAAGCCATACGACACCTCATTCGATTGAGGGGTATAACAAAAGAAGATTCACACCAATCTTCAGTGTGGAATTTCCCGGGCCTGCTTAATCCCTGACCCTGCTGTGTCTTGGCGACCGAAAACTTTTGGCGCCCTCCGTACGTAGTGACAACTCATTTACCACTTAACAGTGCGTTTGTCATGCGTTGCAATTAGTAGTTGGTCAATTTGTCATTCAGCTGCGTTTTAGTAACTATCGTACGGCTATTGACGCCTGACTTCATGCCGGATGGCTCCAATTCTTGAGGCCTGCCTTCTCTTCTTCGTCAAAGTCGGCCTATGTGTGAATCGATCTTTGGGAGTGTAGCGCAGATGAAGGTTAATGTGACAAGAAGAAAACCAAGTTCAACGCACAGTTCTCCACAGCTGTTCCAATGCCAGCCTACCCAGGAGAAAAACGAGGAGTAAAACAGAAAGGGGGTATGTCCAAATACAATGTGAAGTCATTGATGCGAGAAAAGGGGTGGACCGTGATGAACATAAAGTCCAATCTGATCCGTGCAGTGTCAGTGAAACAAGATAAAGCCAAGCCGCGCCGTCCCAAGCTCCTTTTGAAATAAGCTCCTCCTCTGGATATTACACGTTCGATATTATATTATAGGAAATTGGTGAGCCATGGCACCACAGCACTGTCAAAGTTAGCTTACACCACGCCTAGCCAGGGGGATGACTTATAACTTACCCAACCATCAGAGTACCAGCAATACCCAAGAGGGCGCGGTTCTTGGCCTTCTCTGCTTTCAACTCGGTTGCCGTCTTAGCCTTCTTCGACCGCGGCTCGATAGCGAGCTCCTCTGCGTCCTTCTTCTCGTCCTCCTTATCGCCAAGGGAGATATCTTGCGCCTTGCGCTTGCTCTTCTTGCTCGACTTCTTCTCTTCGGACTCCTCCGTCGACACCTGATCTGCGGGCTCCTTATGCGCTTGAACCATCTCCTTAGCCGAGTTGATCATATCGGCAATCTCTTCCGCGCTTGGCGGCTTGCCAACATTAGGCAAGGGGATGTCGACTTCGGTGCTGATAAGCTTGGACTCGGCACCCTTGCGACCCTTGGTGATCTCTTCCTTAACTTCGACCGAAACCTTGGGGTCCTCCTCGCGGGGCTCGAGCACGACTTGAGGTTCGAATTCGGTCGTCTTCAGGACGACATCGCTGCCATTGACTCGGCTCTCATCGTCTTCCTCCTTAGAGACTTCGATGATATGGGCCTTGGCCTTTGTGCTACGCTTGCGTGGGGACGCAGTCGAGCGCTTGGATACGCTCTTGGTGGGGCTCACGGAGCGACGCGACCTCGAAGACCTGCTGGGCGTGGGAGGCACGAGCGACGGCTTGGAGGACTCGAATCGAGGCGGCATGGCCATCTTAGCCGGCGACTCGCCGTTGCTGCCAGCAGTAGTGATGGGGGTGTTGTCCAGAAGAGCCTGGATCCAAGGGGTGATGTTGTACTCTGCCGCCAGCTCAAGGGCTTGCTCCTCTGGAATCCAAATGTTACCGGCTGTCTCCTCTGGGCTGGTGGTAGGCAGCGACTTGATGTATTTGCGCTCCGCTTCCTCGTCTGCAACCTCCGCGTAGGGGAACGTAGCCTTGAACATCCCGGTAGCGGACACGTAACCGTCAGCGCTTCGACGCATGAGGAAGTAGCTGTTCGGGCTCGACTTGAATATGCCAGAAACGATGCCCTTGGGTAGAGGGGCGCGCAAGTGCGCGTAGTCGAACGCGGCCCCGAGAGTGTTCGACCAGTCGCCCTCCTCGTTGGCATCCACCATCTTAGAGGTCAGCTTGGTGCGGCCGAGGCGGCGACGCGAGACCAGCTCCGTGTCTGTGGGCCGAGTCAGCAAAATGTCACTTTCCAAGGCAACGAACGACTCGGCGACATACATGGGACCTGATGTTCCGCGTCGGTCATCAGAGGGTTCGCCTTGGCGGGAAGGGTGCGCGCCGCAGGACTCATGGTGAATACGCTCGATCCCTTGATCGTGGATGCGCGAAGGAATCTAAAGGACCGGCGCGTGTTAGCTTCAACGCATGTCGCAGACGCCGGCGTCAAGAGGAGGGTGCGTACAGTGGATAGTGCTCGTCGCGGTCGCTGGATTCAGTAAAGAACAGCGTATGTTGTGTGGCGGGCGCGGGCGCAATTGAGGTGATCGCGAGTGAGAATGATGGGTAATATCGTTCGCGCAGAAGACGGGGATAGCCACTGATTGGGGGTCAAGGAGGGAAGAAAGTCGTGTTCGCGCTGATCGGGGGGTGGAGAGAAATGCGAAATGAGCTGGCACCGCGAACTGATTGCGGTAGGGGGGACCTCTACAGCAGTGGATCACACGCGTGGAAAAAGGTACTCCTCTATCTCTTGGCTTTCTCAACGCGCAGGTCGTAGCGCTTAGCCCCTTTGGGATGCGCTTCAGTTGGCCAGATTCCCTCTTTGGGCTTCCCCAGGATGACTCGCGCCCGCTGCTCCCGTCCTGCCGCCGACGCAGGTGACTGGGTTTATTGCTTTTGGACTTTTTCATAACTACTTATACGTATGTATTATATGGTCGTTCACCGTGTGTATTGTGCACCGCCCTTCGCAAGGGTCGTGTGGTTCGCCGCAGGAGAACCCAACATTGCCGGCGTGGTGTGTTGCCGCCGTCTCACCTCCCTCTTCGCTGACGAATGGCGGACTCGGAAACATTGGTGTGTTGTATGTACGTAGTAACAGGACGAGGGCCCGGGCTGTCACGAATGAGCCACTGTTTGCTCTGTCGGGCTGTTCTTGACCACCTTGAAAGACGGGACTAGGTATTGGATGCGGCACGACCGTTCGATGGGTGAATGATTGTTGTGGGCTGTCTCCTGGGTCGCGTTTATGACTTTTTACTTCATAATCTGTCTAGCCCCCAGTAACGCGTCGTTTGGAACATACAATTAATTGCAGGCGCTTTTATCAAAAGACGTCGCAACTGGAGCCCTTAGCTTGGCAACCAGCTGTCTCGATGGTTTATCTCTAGATAGAGAAATTCTGAACCGTCATCCTGCGATATTTATATTCTGTATTCAATCTGAAGAACAGGAAGGCTTTGTGAAATTAATGACAGTCAGAAAGGATGTAGGGTAAGCGGACAGAGGGGATAGATCAATCCCACACAAGTACACATCTTGCCTCGAGCATCAAGTATAGTAGATATCGCTTGAGATGTATGAACTCGAGACGGCACCTGTGACAGGTCGGTCACGCACGCGTTATTATTACATGTATCGACCACGTTCTAGGTCTCCAACAAATTTGACTTCTCTTGGTCGCCCCTCACCCATCCCCTGACCGAGGAGGCGGTGTCAGAGTCAGACCCCACCAGCTTCCAATTGCCCCTCCATTGGACCATCATTATCACCACTGCCCTGAGCCTCGTCTACACCTGTTTGCTTGCCACTAGGAGCTTCCACTGTCTTTTTGAACTGAACTGTTTGGCTTGCGCGCAGATTATCAAACCACCAATTTCCACCATGACCTCCAACCCGCAACACGAGGATGATACGATGCCCGAGGAGACGCAGGGCTACAAGCTCTCCCAGCCAAAGCAGAGCTTGGCTGAGTATCAGCAAATGGGTAAGTGTGCCTCCCTGCCTAGAGTAGCTGCTTTTCAGCCCGTGAGCTTCCTGGTCGTGTTTACGACCTTACATGCTCTGTTTCCACATCCAGTCTACATCTGCCAGGCACCATGCTGACAACCAACCCGCACAGACGCCGGCGACGAGTCTCTCCAGCGCTACAAGGAATCTCTCGGTCTCGGTGGTGGCAAGGACATCTCCGACCCCAACGATCCCCGTGTGTGCATCATCCAGTCTCTTACCCTCGACGCCCCCGGCCGCGACCCCGTCACCATCGACCTGTCAGCCCCTGGCAGCGAGGCCACCCTCAAGGACAAGCCCTTCAAGATCAAGGAGGGTTCCAAGTTCACCATGAGCGCAAAGTTCAAGGTTCAGCACGAGATTCTAAGCGGCTTGACCTACGTCCAGGTCGTCAAGAGGAAGGGGATTAAGGTTTCGAAAGACTCGGAGATGATTGGGAGCTACGCGCCCAACACGGATAAGCAAACCACATACACTAAGAAATGTAAGTCTGGAACATTGCTTTGAGAAGCTCAAAATTGCAAGGCTGACGCCCTACAGTCCAGGAGGAGGAAGCACCTTCTGGCATGCTCGCGCGTGGTCACTATAATGCCATTTCTAGCTTTGTCGACGACGACAAGAAGACGCATCTTCAGTTCGAGTGGAGCTTTGACATTGCCAAGGACTGGTAGAGTCTTGAAGGGAAAACATATCCGTATGATGAGTAACGACTGTATGGTGGCGTGAACCTATTGCGGGTGGCAGCGTTCTTTTTGTGAACTGCACTTTATATCCTAAGTCAAGCCAGAATGAAGCAGCAACAGTCTCTTTTGCTATGCTGCACAAGTCTATCGCTCTGTCAAAACCGGCAGGCAGTTCATTCTCGGCTCTGTGTCATGCATCGTCGTGATACTGCGTCGCTATGTTCTATAGAAAATAGTCGGGTAGCGCATTCCCGTCGGCCGCTCTTTCGCCTGCTTGCTGCAGGTCTTTGTGTGCATCGTTCTCTGGGGCCGCTGCGAACACGTTGAAGAATCTTTGGCCCTGTAGGCCGACTTCTAGCACTGAAGCCATGTTGCCGCAGCGGTAGCAGTAGTTGGGTGCGCTCCAAACGGTGCTTAATCGATCATCGTAAAGTATTTGGAAGCCTTCTTGGCAAAGCTGATGCGCTCGGAGGATATGGCCCATTCCGTTGACAGCAAGAAACTTCTTAACCACTTGCGCGCCAAATGTGTAGCCTGCTCCGCGTGGCGATAATGAGAACTCGTCTCGCTCGGGATCTGGGTCGGACCAGACCAGGTCGGCCATAGGTCCCTCGTGGGGTATCTCGCGAAATCGGTCGATGATCTTGATCTGGTCGATGGAGTGTATAGAAGGAGAGAGGCCTGCCTCGTTAGCCTGACTGCGCAGTCTGCTACCGCGTAGCCTTACCTCCGTGCACACAAAAAATCTGATTATCAATCACCACGCTCAGCGTTAAGAAATCGAACATGTCCGTGAAGTAGTGCCAGACATTGGCGTTGCCGTATTTTCGCGAGCATTCTGTATAGAAGCCATAGGATTGTGTAACGCCTCGAGATTCGTGGTTTCCTCGGATCAGATGTACGCGGTTCGGATATCGTAGTTTCAGGCACACGAGTAGTGATATCGTCTCGACGCTGAACATGCCCCGGTCGACATAGTCGCCTCCATGTGTCAGTCGCAGGTAGCAATCGAATCAAAGAGTACATACCCAAGAAGAGGTAATTTGTATCAGGGCAGTATCCGCCTATGCGAAAAATCTCGATGAGGTCGAAGAACTGTCCGTGTATGTCGCCCACCACTGTTATCGGGGCCGCCACGTGCACAACGTTACTCTCGCGCATTAATAGCTCTTTAGTTTTTGCGCATATAGCTTCGATGACGGACTCAGCTAGCAGTTCCTTTTTGTACAAGCGCGCGATGCACTCGTCGAGGTCGACGGAGGCTACACATCGTCAGTGTCTCCTCAAGCATCGCAGCGCAGGCAGAGCTCACAGGGTAAGCCGGGCATCTTGCGCGGCAGTCGATTGGAGGTGAATAATTCGGATGCGGGAAAGCACCTGCGCGCCGGCTAGGTGGTTGTCATTAAGGCTGGTCGAGGCTTTGTCTACTCCAGGCAATGGGCGGATCTGGAGAGGCGCGTGTCGGATGTACCAACATGATCGTATTGCCGCAAGTCTCGTCCTTACATGGATGCCGTTGAGCTGGCTTCGATCGTTGGAGGGATGTTGAAGAGGCTTCCAAAGATAAGCGCGTATGTGGTGGTGCTGGTTGGAGGGTATGGGGTCCAAGCGTTGCAAGTTGGAGCTTGGGCTGTCTTGTTGGTGGTGTTGGCACTTGGCAGGTAAGGTACCAGTGCGAGGCTGATCAGCGATCACAACCATCTTCTCCTGTGACTCGGGAGACATGACGCAAATATGCCGCGAAAACAATACTTATGATAGTGCTGAAATTGCTTTTCTTATGTTCATCCTCCGAGCATTGCTGTGACCATTGCTGTCTCATTATTTCTCAACTGCTTTAGGAGCTCTGTACGCTCAGTCAGTCCCTTACGGATGTCCTACAAAGCCTGTTCTACATCTACAAAGACGTCATGCAGTATTGATAGGTATATTGCACCTCGATTCAGATAGCCACGCAGCGACACTACTGTGACTCCGTGCTCATTAATACTAAGTTTCGCTGGTTCGGCAGCACTGTGATGAACGGCGGTCGGTTAAATCTCGGTGCATTGAGACACAGCTTTGGATCTCATCGCCGGTAGCGGTCCGTGCACCATCACGTGGAACCGTAACACTCCAACAGGACGACTTCTCAAGAAGCGACGCGACTCGCGCCAAACTGAAGGCAGACTCCATAAGGAGTAACGCTCCTAGGACGACACTTTCTTTCATGCCTATCGTGTACAATTGTCGATGAGGCTTTCTTTCGACGGTATCTGGAGGACCGGGACTGGGGCCGGAAGCACTACCAAGGGCGATCGTTGAGTACAGATTGAAGATCTGTCCAACAACCTGGTCTCATGCATCGCAATCTTCGCGCACTTATGAGATAAAAATTTCGCAAGAGATGAGATGAGTGCAATCGTACTCAACATGTCAGCCACTTGTTAAGCCCGTGAACTGAGCCTCACGCCGAGTTCAAGCTCATCTCACTTGTCGCATCACTTATATCTTCCCCCCAGACCTCCAAACGCCTCGAGAGATTCAATTGCCGCGCAAACATGTCTGCTCCAGCTCCAGGGAGTGCGCATCGCCCGGACGAGCCCAGATGCTATAACTGCGGAATCATCGGGCATTGGGCTGTCGCGTGTCCTGAGCCAACGCGCCAAACACCAGCGTGAGCACTGCCTCCATCTCTTCAGCAATCAAATGCGCCGGAACTGACATTTCTCTCAGTGGATTGGAGGCATGGCGAAGCGCCGCACCTTCGCAGCATAACAACCGCAGAGATAACCGCGGCAGCAGCAGCAAGACCTCCAAGGCACCCATCATCACGAGATATGCGCCTCCACCGACAGCATATGCTCCCCAGCAGCATTACTATCAGCCGCCGCCAGGTCAATACCCTGGCTTGCCGGCTGCTGCACCTCCTCCAGCTCCGCCACAGTATCCCCCGGTGTCGCAGTATCCTGCGGCACCGCCTCAGCACTATCCGCAATACCATCCGGCGCCAGTACATTACCCGCCGAGGCAGCATCCTCCACCCTCGCATCTCCCTCACCAAGGCACTACAGGGTATGGCACGAGTCTACCACCGCCTCCACCGCCATCTCACTCCCCGACACCACCTTACCCAATCTATTCATCGTACGCGCCTCCCCCGCCCAGCTCGCTGCCAGCGCTATTACCACCTCCGCAGGGGTCACCTCCAAGGGCAGGGCCGCCCCCGAGCCATAGCCCCCCCTCAAGGAGTTGGAGGACACCCCAGCCCCAGCCATCACGGGGACGCGATTCATACCAAGGATCGCCTCCGTCGCGGAACCGAGCAAGCCCCTGGACAGGTGACAAGCGATCCAGGGAACCATCTAGGGGGCTACCCACGCCGCACTCCTCGAGCTCGACTCTGCCCTCACTTCCGCCTCGGCCTATACATGGATTGCCGCCCAAGCCTCCGGTGTCTTTACCAGATCGCAACGAAATTCCAAGGGACCATAATCTAACCAGGAGATGGGACGAGCCCGTCAGAGCCAGCCAAGGCATTCAGGAGCAACGGCACAATGAACAGGCCAGTTCGAAATCGCAAAAGAAGAAGAAGAGTAATCGCAACAAGAATCGTAGGAAGAGCAAGCATCAGACTGCGCAAGCAGGCAAAGCCACGGCACCACCCAAGGACGATGGCCAAGTGGGAGGCGAGCACGATGTTGAAGATGACAAATCTGAGCACTCTGAGCAGGACTCTGAGGCACCCGAAGATACCAATGATACAGCTGTCCCAGCCAAAGACGAGGATGTGGTTGAAGCTCCAGCTGAAGCCCCTCGGGGAACTGAGCTAGTGGAGCCGGTCAACGAGGAAAACGTCAAGGAGGTGAAGACCGCGTCGGAAGACCAAGAAAAGGCGGAACGCTCCCTGACACCAGAAGAGGAAATGAGTGATTGGGCATGGGAGGAGAAGATGGTTTTCACCGAGTCGCAAATCGTTCACGAGTCTGACCCTGTCGGGAAGCCATTACCGGTGGAATATACCGAAGATGTCCTCTTGCCCCCGAAATGGGATGCGAAATGTCTCGTTTCCGATTTCTTTACCCATGATAACATTGAGGACTTCTCACGGCCAGTCCACGAGACGAAACATTGGGTTCTTCTTCAGTTTGACCCGGCCTTTGCATGGGATGGCAGACTGCCAAGTGGCGATGCGTTCCCTCGACCGCCTCTTCCCGGCGCGATAAGCTCTGACGGGGCGCATGAGGCCCTTGACGTGCCACTGGCCACTGTGGAAGAAGACGAGCCACTCGGTGGCATTTCACCGAAGCGAAAGCGCTCCGAAGAACCACCTCAGTATACCAAACGCCGTGACAGCCGCACCGAGGCGAGCAGAGAGCGTCCATCCTTGCCGAGGCAACGAGACTCTTATCGTCCTGATCCAGGTCGAAGAGTGTCTGGTTCCCAGAGACGAGACCCAAGCCCCGGTCGCCAGAGGTCGGACATGGGCCGCCGCTCCCCAACGCCGCGAAGATCACCATCTGTCGCGTCGACGAGGTCCTCGAGGCTCAACTCGTTGGAACGCGAACTGCTGGGCATCGACGGTGACGACAAGGAGCCAAGTGACGATGAGAAGGAGCCTGAAAGGGCTCGGCAGAACAAACGTCGACGTGTTCAAAGACTGGACGCTGCGTATAGGTGAGATTTAATCCTCATGGGGCTCCGAATCATTCTGGCTAACCAAGAACACAGTCGACGCTGGTAAACTCACGGTTTGAGATCTTTTATCTTGCTACTTCATCTTCTTTCCATATTGTGTACTTATTGTTTCCTATCCTTCACGACCTTTTCGCTGGTTCAGGCGACATCTGGGTATCATGGCATGGCGTTTTCTGATCCTAACAACCCCTCGACGTCCTTTTCTTTTCATGTTTCCCAGTTATTATCAGACTCGCCTCGCTGAGGCGCTTTGAATCTGCTGCCAATGGCTGTCCCCGCCTGGCATTACATAGAATTCTATTTTCTCTTCCACAACTTTCAACATCGGCCTCTTGTCTACTATTCCTTCCATGCCGGAGGCGCTTTCACGTCCAGTGGCATAGGTCTCAGGTCTACCTGGCCTCAACATTATTCAGAGTTTCGCACCCCTTCTCTAGACAAGCCAGCCATGCCATGATCGCACCTATTTTTGTCTTCGCTGATAGCCTACACTCCGCCGCGCCGATCCTAAGAGCCATGCTAGTCGTCCCGAGCCCTGACCCCTATGTACGACTGACGGAAGCTTGCAATGACCATGCACAGCGAAGGTTCTCCTCACTACCTCAATTAAAGGCATGAACGCTGCTCTGAGTGGAGTTGCTCTATCATTCTTCCGACATTCGGTACAGTATTCAGATTCTTCTCTCATCCTTTTCTTGATCCCCGCCCCACAACACCAAGCTGAGTACCAAGACAGAACCTTTTGATCGCTATGCAAAACCAAGACGCGCGCACGCTAAATAAATAGAACATATAAAGGAAAAAATATCAAATGCAAAGTGTAAAACCCTAGACAACGAGCATGTTGAAACCCAGCCCCTTGAGATCCCTCAGCCAGTTCACATTCTCGGATTGAGGCGATGCGTCCTGCAAATGCCAGGTCGCTTTGAGCATCTCGATCGCCGTGAAAATATAGCCCCAGCGAAACCGTGACCAGATAGACATGAGCCTCTTCAGAATCCACGTCCTCTTCTCCGGATCTCTCGTCTCCGCACCTGCAAACAAGAGTGGCCAGCTGGTCGCTTTGAAGTAAGGGTCATCCTCGGGCATCTCGGCCAGATGCGACAAGATATCTTCCACCAAAAAGTTGGCGTCGACCGATCGGACCGATCGGACGAGAGGCAGGGCCTGTATGATGTAGAGACACGCTGCCGAGCGGTGGGCACTCGCAATGTGCACGCGGCTCTCAATGTCGGTCACATTGGGCAAAGCCTCGAGGGCCGCTGCCCAGGCATTAATGTCGAACTCGAGAAGCTGATCGATGAGGGAGAGTGCCTCGCCAGCTGCCGGTAAATTCCAGTCTGTTGTCGCAGGCACACTCTCGTTGTACGATAACTGGGATGCCAGCAGGATGATCTGCAGAATCTCGGGCGGACATGACAGGTAGGTGATGACCTCGACTCGTTTCATAATGGGCAAGATCTCGAGAGCATATCGAGCGATGCGGGTCGCCAAACTGCCACCTGAAATCGTGGAACCGAGGATGTGATAGATGAAGCAATCGGCAATCACAGTGTCGCGCAGCATCCGGCTGGACGACGCCGACATGGAATCTTTCGAAAGCAGCGCCATGATGCTGGAGGCGCCTTCCAGGTGCGTACGCCACCCGCCATTCCCAGACTCTTCCAGATCCATCAGATCAAACTTGATGAAGAAATGCAAGGAAGCCAGGACCACTTCGTTCCCAGCGGGGTCCAGGGTGTCGAGAACCTCACGTAGATGGCCCATGGCCCGCTGCTTGGCCGTGAGCGCATCGATGAGCGCCTTGCGAGACACGAGGTCAGTTGACCGCAGCTGTGCGAGATAGCCACCAGGGTCGGTAAGCTCACTCGGGATATCTGTGACAGGTCGGAAGATGTTTGACCAGTGGAGCGCAGATGTCGCGATGAGGATCTGAAGCAGGACTGGATGTTGCTTTGTCAGGGGCAGGAGCTCGCGGAAGGGGTTGTTGTTCGGCTGATCGCGGGCCACAAGGTCCTGGCATACACGATCGGCAACTGGAAAATGTCAGTGCCTTATTGGTAGACATGAAGCGTGTCCCCTGTGCAGAGGAAAACAGCACAGACTATAGCTAGAGGCCATGGAAGTGCTTGCACCTGTCTGCAGGACAATGGCAGGCATGAGAAACAAGGCAAGAAACTCACAGTGAGACAGATAATACCTGGAATCCCTATCCAGATCCTGAAATAGGGGATCCGTCAAAGCCATGGAAGTGCCAGCCATCGGTCTACTCGCAAACGTTGGCTTGGGCGTCAAAGGTGGCGTGTTGTCCACAGGAAACGGCCTCGACGGCAGAAACTGATGCATCTGCGTCTGCACCGGAGACTGTCCATTGTGTTTCGGAGACTGCTGGACAGGCGCGATTGTTGGCGGTTGAAATGCTACGAAGCCTTGCGGAGGGTTTGGCGTGGTGGATGTGGACGAAGTCGCGGACGCATTCGCGCGGCGACCAGCTTGTGAAGACTGTATCACACCATTCCCATCGATCCCCTGGGTCCAGGTGAAGATCTTCCCATAGCCAAGACACTCCTGACCGGACGCAGCGCACTTGTGACAAGTTGGCTAGACATGGGCTGTCAGCACGTCATCCTATGTAGGTAGGTTTGCCATGATGCGGCTCCGTACCCAAGAACGGTCGCAGCGAAGACGTCTTCGCCGACAGTTGTGGCACGGCTTGCCGTTGCTTTGCATTAGAGTGGCGGGTGAGGCCTGGGCGGTGGTCACAGTGCGATGTTCATTTCGAGGCGGGTCGGTGGTCGAGGTCGCGACAAGTCGTTGTTGCGGGAGGCCCACGGTGGGCGGCGGACTGCTTGGCGATGATGCAGGGAGCGGGACAGCAGATGCGCCTGCGAAGATGGAGGGGACTGGAGGGGAAGGAGAGCAGGAGGAGGAGGACCCCTGATGACGCTTCAGGCAAGGTACTTTGGGAAACGTTACCAGGAAAAAAAAAAACCCCCATCGGCAATAAGAACAAGGAGGCTAAGCAGCTAACGAGGACTGGAGCTTCGGGAGTGGAATGGAGGGGGCGGCGGTGCCTCGACGACCACGGGACTGCATTCACTGCACCGGGTGGCTTTTGCGTGTCACCAGTAATTGACGACGTATCGGTCAACGAGCATAGAGTCCAGGCCTTCTCACGACGCCAAATCCAGCACAAGTGGCCGACGTGACGAGCAGCCCAGATCATCAGCCAGTGACCGCCTTTCACGGTGACATGTGGTCACAGCGTGAAGGAAGAAGTGGGACTGATTAGGAAATACTTAAAAGATCCAGCCCTCCAAGAATGAAGCAGAGAAGGATCGCATGATCTCAGTGTGCGCGCATCGTTCGTGGACTGTTGGCTCATGTCTTCTCTCTTCCGGAGTGGAGGCTCCGCGCCCGCGATGAAGAATCGCTGTCTGGGCGAGATCAAGATGGCATTCATCAGCTTCTTCGGCGTTTGGGAGGAATGATCGTTGGAGAAACAGCTCCACCATAATTCATGGGGTACTCGAATGCCGAATCCGGAAAACATCGAGCAAGCTGTGCGTTATTTGGTGGTCTCTGGCCCGCTGAAAGCTTGTTCTCGTAACAACGACGGACAGACAGATGCAGGGCGGAAGCCTGAGCGTCTGGTGTGTCGGCGCTGGCGAGATGCTGACTCAGCGAATAGCAGTCGAAGTCGTAATGGCGACTGGGACCTGCATGAACTGCACTTGTCAAACTGCGCCAATCTGCTTAGCTTGGCTTGGCTTGTCAATAGGTAATCCTCGTTGCTACAAAGTGGTTTGAGAATCGGATCGGATCGATTAAAGCTTGATGCTGGTTGCGGGGGTGCCTCTAGGCTCCGAGTCCTGACTCAGGGCGAGGCAACTCACGAAGCTGATTCATGTTCGCAATCCGCCCACAGGCCTTCACCGAGCTGCATCTTGTGTGAAGCGCTCTCGTCTGCACCTGGCTCAATGTAGACTGGTCATGTCAGAACTCCTCTACGTGGAAGGGTCTAGAGCGCCTTCCTGACCGCAGCCTGCACCGCAGATGAGCTCTAGGCCCCATGGCAAGAGGGGAAACAATTAGAGGCTTGTCACGAGGCCCTCTTTGCCTGGGGCTGGGGCCGAGTCAGGATGAGCCAACATGGCCTGTCACATCAATTAGGGCGCGAGCCCACGTCCAGGGCTTCCGCACGGAGCTTCCACGCGATGAAGAGTGGTTGCGTATCCAAGCAAGTGCCTAATCACATATCGTAGTTCCTGTAAATCGTAGCTCTGAGATGCGTGAGACACAGTGAGTTTTGAAAAATACGATCTCGGCCTGGTGTTGCAAAAAGCCTCATAATGAGGAAAATATCATCAAACTAGTATGTACAGCCCTCTTAGCTCAGAGGTAGAGCGCATCACTAGTAATGATGAGGTCATTGGTTCAATTCCAGTAGTGGGCATTGTTTTTGTTCATTTTTGGCATCATCTTGATTATATTTCCCAAATGCACAAACTCGCAGCTTTGTCGCTCATGGCATTAGCGATGTCAATGCGAGATGTGGTGGTTTTATCGAGTGCGGACGAGTAGGACTACGGGCTTCACGATACCGTGAGGGGGGCAGGTGAGCACGCGGTGTTAGAAATTTTTGTTCGCGTAATAAATATGAGTTTAATAATCCGAACGAGCTGATAAAGTAATGTGCGAGCCTTCGAATCTTGAGTTACCTCAAGATAATATCTCACACGCATTTCTAGAAACAAGCCACGTAGAGTATGAACACCAGCCTGATGCGTCCATCCCACACCTATGTGTGGCCCTCTTCCGCCGTCAATTACAATTAAATCAGGGCAAAAAGATTAATTAACATTACATCAAAAAGGAACATGCCCACTGCTGGAATTGAACCAACGACCTCATCATTACTAGTGATGCGCTCTACCTCTGAGCTAAGAGGGCTGTGACTACACCAACTTGTCACGGCTGGCACAATCATTCCCTTGATGTTTTGTAGGGTCAATGTTCAATATTCAAAACACTAATTCTAAACTTCGTTGCTCAGAACACAGGCTTTCCATCTGGATTGGATGACACATCGGCCCTCTCCGGGTCCAAGTGGTCATCCGACGAATTGTACGCAACCCTCACGTCCTCTAGTTCAGCCTGCGAGACCTCCATCCACGTCTTGCTCGTGGCCGGGACAGGGAAGACCTTGCATAGAGCCCAGTACACCACGAACGAGACGATGAAGCCGCCGAAAAAATTGACGTTGTAAATATACCTCGCGACAGGAGGGACGTCGTTGCCAACGGCGCCGGCAAACCCGACAACGTTGATGAGGATGCCAGCAATGTACGCGGCGTAGGCGCGTGGGTTGATGCCATAGGTGAAGTAATACGGGCCCAGCTTGCGGCCATCGTACAGCTCCTTGATCTCGATGTACCCCTTGCGGACAACATAGTAGTCCGAGACGAGAACACCGGCGACAGATGAGAGGAAGACAGAGTAAGCGCTCAGGTAGGTCGTGAACTGATTGCTGGTTTCCAGCAGATGCCATGGCATCATGATGAGACCAACGGCCGCGCAGATGTAGCCTCCGCGGCGGATATTGATGAATCGAGGCAAGAGGGCTGTCATATCAGTGCCAGCCGAGACCGAGTTGGCGGCAATGTTGGTGCCCAGCTGCGCCAGCGCAAAGGCCAGCGCGATGACGAAGACACCAAAGCGCTCGCCTGAGCCGCCGTCTTCGATGAACTTCTCCAGAATTTCCAGAGGGTCCCAGATGATCTCGTTGTAGATGACCTCGGCGGCGGACGAGACGAGGATGCCGATGAGCGAGGTGATGGCAAAGGATACGGGGATGGAGAAGAGCTGACTCCACTTGGCATCCTTGGGGGTCCTTGCGAAACGGGCGAAATCAGGCGCGTTGACAATCAAGGCCGCGAAGTTAGCGACGGAGCTCATGATGCCGAGGATTACCTCCCATGCCAGATCGCTGCCGTATATTGAGTTGCTGCGTCTGACCACGGGGCCGATGCCCCCGGCTTTGACAATCGCCCAGATGAGGAACGCGAGACCAGCGGGTGGCACGACGATGGATTTGGCAGTGAACAGGTGGCGGATCTTGTGGACAGGAGGCCAAATCGCCGGCAGCGAGAGGAGCCAGAAGATGAAGAAGGACACCCAGTCGGCCGTCGTCGTCGAGGTGAAGGCGGGACTGGGGATATCGCGGTTCCAGGACTTCCAGATGGCGTGGATCATCACATAGACGCATCGTCCGCCGATCCAACTTTGTACGCCGTACCAGATGCATGCCATGGCAGCTCTGTTGAAGACGGGCCAGAGGCTGCCCCAGATCCCAAACGATGATCGAGCTGCGACAGGGAGGGATATCGCATAGCTGCAACTGTTAGGGAACATTGTCCGTCCTCTTCGTGTCTGGCACTTACTGGGCCCCAATCCTTGCATTGATTACCACAAAGGCAGCGGCAATGGTGTATCCAGCCCACACACAGAGCCAACTCTGCCACCAACTCAAACCATTCACGATCATGGAAGAAGAGATCATCCAGGTGTTGAGGTTGTACGAGTCAGCAATCCAGAAGAAAATGTAGTTCTTCCACCGCCATTGCCTGCGTGCGGCTTCGACAGGTTTCAGATCATGGTTCGTCAGCTACACGTACATGTGTCAGCAGTCCGCTCGCTGGGCACGTGTGCATGCCAAGAGTGTTGATTTACCATAAGCTGTGTGCTGGTCAGGCCAGTCTCGGACTCGACAGCAATTTTGCTGACCAGGTGCTTGACCCGCGAGCCGCTGGCATATGCGGCACCCGACATTGTGTCCGGTTGTTGTGACTTGACGTCGTGTTACGCGGGGGGCGGTACAAAGGACTTCTTGAGGCTGCGTGTAAGTGGTCAATTGCCGAATGCGGTAATTCCACGAGAGTGTGTTCGTTCGACTTTGCGGGGGGACGGAGAGTCCCGAGCAGAAAGAAAGAAACTCGGACAAGACACGGGCAGCGCAATAACCGACGGGAAAAAGGGAAAAAGAGGTTTGTGTTGCTGTTCCAGAAACTTTCTGGATCGCCAAATGATATAGTGAATATCTTTGCGATCCCTCAGCTTCCAGTCTCAGCAGCGTCGTAGCAATGACGTGTGCTTCTGCCAAGATGCCTGCAGCACCACGCAAAGGCTGACAGACGACGGTGGAGTAGCGCCCAATAACGTCCGTAGAAGCTTCCACCGATGAGGGAGAAGAGCCGGAGGAATTGCGCCGAATACACTCGGATCATAGATCGCCTGACGTTGTGGTCCAAGTGAGCACAACCAACGACTAGATGAGGAGGGGGCACGCCTTGCTGAAATACATCTTCAACGACCAGGTTGAAAGTGAGGGAATCTTTATCAAATCAATTCACTATCGCCAACTGCAACTCGTGATACGCATGTCCCCCACATGGCCCTGCAAAAAACGTAGAAGTTCTGCTGCTCCTGGTGTGATAAGCCTTGGTCTGGCTCTGGGGGAGCCAATGGCAATACGAGCCGGGCCTGTCTTATCTTGATAGCTGCCGTGATTGCGGATCGCGACCCTTGCCAGGCAGACGCGGGGAATAAGGAATTACTCGATCACATCGAGTCAACACTGCCGGTATATGATCTACAATCTCCCCAACATCGTCGTGGAGGCCGCGCAGTGGCTGGACTTTGATAAAGCTGGCTCCTGTCGTGGCACTAAACTTTGGGTGTTAATGGCAGTTTGCTACAATTGGATTCCACGAGGGTTCATCAACTATGTTGAACCCTCCTTTGCTCCTCGATAACGAGTCCTTGTGAAATATATGCCAGTGTTCTGGCTGTAGTAACGATGAGAAGAGGCGCGTTCCTGAGCAGCGGCATTCTGAGCCAGTGGGCAAAGTGGAGATAACCTCAGGGTCTCACACTTTTCCTTAAACGCAGTCGCACAGATGCAAGTGGCCAGCAGTTTGTGGCTCGCTGTAGAAATTGACGTTGAATCATGCAATGCAGCATGAACAGTCTTTCATCGTTGGAATTTCATCATCTTCGCAATTTTCACCTCTACATATCACACATCAAAAGAGCACATTTGACCTCAAAAAATCTTCAGCTGTAGTGATGGATTGCTGGACTAGGGTAGGCTACGTCCAGCAAGGGCGGTCGCCCGGCGCACAGCCATATGCTAGTAGCGGTCAGCGCCACTTTTGTGCCCCTCCCTCCTCCCTCCACCCTTCCTCACTCGCCAGCTCCAGTCCTTCCTTCTTGAAGCTTGCAGACGCGCCTGGGAATTTTCGCGCTGTGCTTCCATGTACCCTCCTCCACGCTCGTGGCTCAAAGTAAACACTGCGATCACTTCCGCCCACTATGGAGGACGAGCTCATCCAGATCTTGTCCAACACGCAGCAAGCGGATGCCGGCATCCGCAAGGCTGCTGAGCTCGAGCTGAAGCGCAACAACCTCAATCCCGCCTTCCCGCAGGCTCTCGCCAACATCGCCTCGCACGCTTCGGTTGACACCAAGGTCCGCCAGTCCGCCCTTTCTACCCTGCGTCTGTTCATCGAGGAGAACTGGGCCCCAGACCCCGACAATGAGGCGCCTCAAGTTCCCATCCAGCCCGAGGCCCGGATTCAGCTGCGGGAAAGTCTGCTCAAGCTCGCCATCATTGGCGACGAGGATCGGAGGATCAAGATCGCTGCTAGCTACGCCGTTGGCAAAATTGCCATGAATGACTTCCCCGAACATTGGCCAGACCTCCTCCAGAAGACGCTCGCCGTCATCCCTGCCGGCTCCGACACGCAGCTCTACGGCGCCCTACGAGTTCTCGGCGACCTCATTGAGGAGAATCTTAGCGAGGACCAGTTTTTCTCCATGGCCCGCGACATTGCCCAGACGCTGACCGAAACCGCCCTCAACGAGAATCGACGACCGGCCCTACGCGCGCTCGCCATCTCCATCTTCCGCTCCTGCTTCGAAATGATGGATATGATCAAGGACGAACACGGCAAGGAAGTCAAGGCATTTGCAGAGGAGCTTCTGAAGCAGTGGAACCCATTCTTCATCACCGTGCTCAAGACGCGGCTACCAGAGGCGGATCTCAGCGGTGGCCAGCAACCCGAGGCGTGGAACGATCTCATCACCCTGAAGCTGCAGGTGGCCAAGACCCTTATTAGGATCCGCCGCGTCTTCCCGTCTCTGCTGCTTCCACAGAGTACTGCCCTGTTCTCAGCCGTGTGGGAGGAATTGAATCTGCTTCAGGACGCTCACTCGCTGCTGTACATTGACAACGACGCCCAGGGCCGCCTGGAAAATGCCGACCAGCTGCCGTACACCCTCGACTTCCTCATTCTGGAAGAGCTCGACTTTCTGAACCAGTGCTTCCGAGCCGAGCCTGTCCGAGCCGAACTCGATGTGCAGCTCAAGGCGCATGCCTCTGGCGCGGACGTGCCGTGGATGATCGAGATTGTGCGCATGCTGGTCTCGTACGCGAGGATATCGCGCGAAGAGGAGGAGCTCTGGGACATTGACTGCTCGCTTTTCTTGGCGGAGGAGACGTCGGTCTCGGCAAATTACACCGCCCGCGTCGCGGCCAGTGATCTGCTCATCAAGATGGGTGAGTGGTTCGACCAAAAGACTGTGGAGGCCCTTTTCGCCTTCACCAAGACTCTATTCCCCGGCGACGGATCAGCTTCTTCGTGGAGGAACCAGGAATCTGCACTGTTCCTCTTCGTCATGCTGGAGAGTGACCGACAAGACCTTGAAAAGGGTCTCCCAGCTCCGATCTCCGCTTCGTACCTTGAACTAGTCGACTTTGCCATTGACCGTCACGAGGAACCTCTTCTCCGTGCCAGAGGCTATCTTGTCGCTGGGATGCTGTGCCGCGCCATCGAGCTGCCGGATGTGTTGCTGGATCGCACCATCGCCTCCATTGTGCAAGAGGAGGCCGAGGTTGTTCAGGTCTCCTGCATCAAGGCAGTCGAGGGTTTGATTAATGCTGAAAAGGTCACAGTCGACAAGCAGATCCCCATCATCAAGGCCATAGAGCAGTACATGAGCGGCAAGGATCCCGAGGAGATGGAGTCGGCAGACGAGCTCCTCGTCACGCTCAGCGAGGCGCTTCGTGCCGCCACCCGTCTGGACTGCCGCGTCGCTCTGTCCAGCGATGTACCCTCGATCGACTTGCTTTTCCTCCTGGCCAGGACCGGTGCCAGCAACTTCCAGGTTACTATGATGATCTCGGAAGCCTTGGAGGAGATTGTGCGAAGTCTGTCAGGAGCCGAGGCCTACGCCGCGCTGTGCAGCAAGGTCTTGCCCACGCTGATGGGTGCTTTCGATGTGTCTAGGATCACGGACGATAGCCCTCTCGTCACCGTCGCCGTCGAGCTGCTGGAGGTTCTGACGCAGCATGCCTGCGAGCCTCTGCCTCCCGGCTTTGTCTCCGCCGTGTTCCCCAAGCTCACCCAGGTGCTGATGGAGTCGAACGAGGGAGACGTGCTGCGGCCGGCGGCTGAAAGCGCGAAATGGGTCCTGCAGCACGACCACCAGCAAGTATTCGAGTTTGCCGATGAGAGTGGGCGATCGGGCCTCGAGGTTTGCCTGCACGTTATTGACCGTCTGCTCGGACCTACGATCGAAGATAACTCCGCCACGGAGGTCGGCGGGTTGGCCGCTGAGCTAGTCGAGAAGGCCGGACACGACCGTCTCGGCCCATTTCTACCACAGCTCCTGCAGGCTGTTGCCAGCCGTCTCGCGACCGCACAGGCGGCGCAACTCATCCAGTCGCTCATCTTGGTGTTTGCCCGTCTTTCCCTGAACACTCCCAAGGAGGTCGTGGACTTCCTGGATTCAGTCCAGATCAATAGCCGGAATGGATTGCAAGTTGTCATTCCAAAGTGGCTCGAGAACTCGGTCAACTTTGCCGGGTTCGATGAGATCCGCCAAAAGTGAGTCTACTTGAGGTACTGCCTGCTTGAATCCGTGCTAATTTATGTGTAGCGTCATCGCCCTCTCCAAGCTTTTCACGCTGAACGACCCTCGCCTGGCACAGATTCAGGTCAAGGGTGATCTTGTTGTCAGCAACGACACGCGAATTAAGACACGCTCGCGATCGAAACAGAGTAAGCCGAAAGACCCCGACTTTCCCCTTAAGAAAATACTTGCTCAAACGCCCCCAGACCCAGACCAATGGACGCAAGTACCAGCGCAGGTGAAAATTATTAAGCTGCTCATTGAGGAGCTGATGCTCGCGTCGGGTCACAAGTCTGCCGCCGACATTGCCTCGGCCGCCGTCGGCGGTGAGCTGGACTCGGACTCTGACGACGAGGGCTGGGAGGACGACGATGACGCGCTGGATCTCGGGCTCGGCACAACAAAGGCCGATCTCATGTCCATCCTGGACGGCCCTGGCCGTCGCTACCCCGACAACGAAACGAACAAATATTTGACAGAGTTCTTTATGCGATGCGGCACGGAGAACCTCGCCAACTTTAACGACGTATATGTATACCTCAACGTGGAGGAGCAAAAGAAAATCCACGATGTGGTCAACAGCCAGGTGCAGTAATTGGGCGAGAACGTGACATGCGTGGCCCATATCACGCGACCAAAGCTTTTTATGAGGATATGGATAATGGACTAAGCAAGGCTCAAGGGTCAGGATGAGAGGGGGAAATGCTCATGCTCATGGGGGTTGCGATGATATCATGGTTAGCATTAGCTGGAGGCTCAGTATTACTATCATTATGCCCCAGAAGGACGAACTATCGTAGCTTTCCCCGCGTGCTCATCATTGGATGCCCACGTCCTGTGTCATAAACATCGTCTCATCAGTTCGTACAGTCGTTCTGGTCCCACGTTCCAAGGCTTCATATCATACAAGATCATCTCTGCCCTAGATGATATCACCACCACCGGGCCCAAAGCCCCCAAAGTTCCCGCCTTGTCCCCGACCCGGGCCTGGGAATCTAGGACTGCCGCCGGGACCTAGAGGATCCCACCGCGCGCCTGGCGGTGCTTGGTGGTCATAGCCTTGACCGGGCCCTCCTGTATAAGCACTGCCCTGGCCTGTGAATAAGGGGTCGTCAAAGGTAGGATGCATGCCAGCGCCACCTCCTGGCCGAGGCAATCCACCGAAGCCACCACCGCCGAACGAGGGACGGAGAGGATCGTGCGGACCTAGGCCAGGTGGGTTCAGGTCATCATGCCCAATATTATACGGTGCGCGGCCAGGGAAACCAGCGGCACGGGGGTCGCGCAATATTTCATGCTCATCATCAAAACCCGGCATCGGCATGTCACCCTGCGGCGCACGGGGACGTGCGAGGTCGGGCTCTGGATTGAACCCTGGGAAGGGCCGTGTCGGATTGTGGGGTTGCGATGGGCGTCCTGCTCGGCCGGGGTAGTCTTGCATGTTGCGTCGTTCGGCGTTGGCGTTGGCTTCGGTCTCAGCTTCCTCGATGTAGCCTTCTGATTGGAGCTTGGGGATGAGTTTCTGCACGATGTTGACCTTGAGGTCGTGGAGGATGGCTGGATATTGCGTGAGTACTTGCAGCTAGGTGGTGGCAGCGGTGGAAGGGACTCACAGTTGACAGCTTCTTCCGATGTGAATACCTTACTCAGCTTGTCTACCAGGTCGCTCCTATCTTCTTCACCATTTTCGTTGAGTGTTATCCGTACAGGCAGGGCACTTGATGTGACCACGTCGCGGACTGTCTTTTCGAAGCGATGGATACTGTCGTCGCCTACAGCAAGACCGCGCACCTCGACCTTGCCGCCCATGCGATCGATGCGAAAGGCGAAGCTCATGGCCGACTGCTTATGTTGGTAGACGAAGCCGAGCGAGCCAAAGCCGTTGTTCCATGAAAGGGGGATACGGGGCGCGAGCGATTCTGTTTCCGCTGTACGGGGTTAGTTAGAAAAGATCTGTAATAACGGAGGGAAGATATCATACGGATCTTCTTATCTTCATCGAACCCTTGGAGTCTGAAGCCGATGGCGGCGAGATACGCATGGACGAGCAGAGCAATGGCTTCGTATGAGCTTGCCAAGTCTGAGGACTCGTCATCTTTACCGTGGGTGGGCAAAGCATCGGCCATGCCTTGCAAGATACTCTCTCTGCTCAGACGCGACATCTTGCTGATGTGGTCGATGTTTTTGAGTGCGGAGGGAGATGTTTGGGCGGGTGCAGCTGGTATGGTTGTGACAGTGGGATGACTTTAGGATGCTGTAGAAAGTTGGAGTTTAGCTGGAGATCGTGACGAAAAGGTTTAATTCGGGGTCCAGGCAGGCGTTGTGGGTGGCGTCATCAACGGGGTGGCGCCTTCCGCAGGAGCTAACAAGGGCCCGTGCTTTGCGGGGTAGCTCTCCCCGCCTTAAAAGGGCAAGTTGGACTTTGATGGGCAATCACGTTGATCCGTATTTTAAGACACCGAGTTTGTCTGCCCAGCTATATTTTAGACAACGCAACGCGAACTTGTCCATCTATATCCATTCCCATCTAGTCGGGAACGTATCAGGCCTGGCTCTTCTTGGCCGTTTTCTGATCCCGCCTGCCTTCCTCCTTCAACTTGGCGTCATCTGGACGAGAAAGCTCGACCTGAGGCATCATGAACCATGCCACGACAAAGGCCAGCGCGCACAGCCCAGCTCCCACGACGAAGATGATGCGAAAACCACGTCGATAGGCTGGCGTGATAATGTCTCTAACCCGACCAGCCTCGTTGTCGGGCAAGTCTTGTAAATGAGACTGGGGATTACTGAGGAGAATCTCGACTTCGTCGCGCGAAATGTTGAGTGCAGAGAGCGACGAAGCGAGCACATTGTTGCTACAAACGTTGGTCACTAGTCGTCCGAGTTGATTGCAGGGCCAGAAAGAACGTACATGATTGTCCCGCAGATGGCCAAGCCAAGAGTCGATCCCAGGTTTCGCACAAAGCTTCATGTATCTGTCAGTCGGTCTTGTTTTTGGAGTCCAGGAGACTCACTTGCGAAACGAAGTCACAACCGCCATGTCCCTCCGTTCAACCCCAGCCTGCACAGCTATCAACGCTGGCTGCAGGGTGTTGCCCACGCCGACACCAATCAGGATCCCATACCCGATCTGCTTCCCTACACCTGTTCCTTCATCGAGTGTTGACATTAGACCCAAGCCCGCAGCCCAGCACACCCAGCCGAACAAGATACATTCTCTGTAGCGACCGACCCAGTGCACTATCAGGCCTGACAATGTGCTGCTCAGTGTCTGGACCAAAGTGATGGGTAGAAGCATGGCGCCAGCTCGCGTTGGAGAGTACCCATACACGAGCTGGTAGAAGGAGGGGATGTAGTAGACCTGCATGACGAAATTCCATCCATTGATGGCCATTGTGATGCATGCGCCGTTGACGATCTTGGACTTGAAAATACGCACTGCCATTGTCAACATGGTTGCTTCTCGAGGTCGAAAAAGGGCAACTTACAAGGTACGAGGGGGTATCTTGGACCCTTCCACTGCCACAGGACGAACCCAACACAGACGGCCAGTCCCACGACAAGGGTCGCAATAACAGACGCAGAGTTCCAGGGGTGTTCACCCCCTCCCCAGGTCAGACCAAGCATGAGAACGATGGTGCCCGCCAAGGCTAGAAAAATGCCAATAAAGTCCACAGCTTTGAGCTTCCTGCCATTTTGTCAGCATTATCGGTACACCTCTTGCAGTGGCCATAGCTGTACATCTTCGAGTCGCCGTCGACCTTTTTCAGGGGCATGAAGAAGATCACGGCACCTGTCGTCACTAGTGTGAGGGGCATGTTTATCCTGAAGATCCATCGCCATGACTCTGGTCCCTGAGAAGAGATTGCGCCTCCGATGACTGGGCCGATACCGTTTGCGAGTGCAACAACAGCGCCCTGTTTCCAGTCAGCAGAAAGGTCCTTGCCAAGGCTGAAAGGGAAAGGCTCACCAGGATGCCTTGATACTTTCCTCGCTCTCGCAAGGGTACTACATCACTGACGATCAACTGCGCAACCGTCATGAGGCCGCCGCCGCCTACACCCGTGAACGCACGGAAAATGGTCAATTGCAAGACACTCTGGGCCAGCGAACTGGCCAGTGAGCCTAGAAAGAAGATGGCCAGCCCGGACAGGAGGATGACCTTTCGCGACCAGATGTCTGACAATCTGCCGTACAGCAATTGACCCACCGTCGAAGTACTGATTTCGTCAGTGAGACCCGAGGTGAAGAGGACTCTGTCGGGACACCAACATGAAATAGCCACTGGCAATCCAAGAGACTTGAGCCGTGGCACCCAGCGAGTCGCCAATGATGTACAAACTGGTCGCCAAGGTTGTCTGGTCAATCAGGGCCAACAGGTCGACACTGGCGCATGCGAGAAAGATCTGTGCATGCCCGCGTCAGCCGTGTTACCGAATCATGTAGCCAGCGAGAGAGGGTACCGTGATGATTGTTTTGACGGGCACATAGTTTGTCTGCTCGTTGAACTCATGTTTGTGCTCAGGCTCAGCGTTGTCTGAGGGTGTGGATGGTTGAGTGCTCGAGGAGACCTCTGGCTCCACAGCCGCAGCGTTTGGATTTTCGGCCATTGAAAGGCAACTCTGCGACCAATAAAGAGAGAGAGAAGAAAGAGAAAAAACTGAGAAAAGAGAGAAAGTGCTACAATTTTGAACATGGGTTCGGGAGCTCAATACCGAGGCTGACATGTAGTTCAAATAAGCCCAAGATCAGACCCTTGGTGGGACCAAAATAAGCTTTAAGCACACGTCTTCTCAAACGGACTACGCAAGGGACCCATATGCTAAGTTCTTTCTCCTCAAGCTCCGGGCCGCTTCTCCTCTCCAGTTGAGGAGGGACCTTTCTGCCGACCCGTGGCCCCCAATGGCTGGCGTTACGGTCCGGGATCGACGCAGGGGCGGCAGGGGGCATATGCCGATCACACCTTGATGTGCCCAAATCAGCTCAAATCCACTCATATGACCGCCTTTGAGACTGACACTCTCAATACTTGACTGCCAAACTAGTGGCAACTTCGCACTGCATGCGCTCAAGGAAAAGTCGACGTAATGACAATCTTCGTCATTGGGGAATCGTCGCAAGGGGCTAAGGGTCAAGATGATGATGATAGCATGTTCGAGGGGCGCGGGATAGACTGCCGTCGACTGGAGCTACTACCTTGTTGATCTCCTGTGGTTCTCGTCGATGAGTATTTGAATGCAGGTCCCCTCTTTCTAAGAGCCGAGCTGAACCGAAGGATCCTTCAGGTGTGTCAATGCCGTCTGTCAAGCCTGTCCAAAGGCGTTCTGGAAGCGGCAGGCATGGGGTCAGCGGCATGATCACCTCCGTGACATGCCTCTTTAGGCAACTAGTTTGATGTTTCTCAGGGTGTACGCATGCAGACAATGTGACGTCTCGAAGAGGACTGTGCAATCTTAGAGGGGGAGAACTATGTAGGTGGGATGCAACGCCACCCGACCGCAGCGCGAGTGGTGAATAGATGCTGTAGACGCGTGTGATTCTCTGCGAGAGAACGAACTCATGCTGTAGGCTGCCCGTGTGGTGTACCACACCAGTATCTCAGCAGTACAAGTAGCCCAAGGTCCCCGAATTCTCCAGATGTCACCCTCTTGACCTTTAAAGGAGTATTCTTACCATTGTCTTACAGTCCACCCCTGAGCTCTACGCATGATGGAGAACCCTCTCAACGTCTATAAGGGCGGCGACTCGGTGCAGCGCTACTTTGACCCGGACTCGTCTCCGCCTCTGCCCTTGGTTGAGATCCCAGCAGTTCTCAACCCATACAAGGAAGATGGCGTCAGGATCTACGCCAAAATGATGAGCACTCATCCCGCCAACAACGTCAAGTCTATGCCAGGCACGGCGCCCACTGCTCTGACATCGAGAAACGACACTGACAAGACGCAGCTTTGAATCTCCTCGAGAAGAGCGTGAAACCTGGTATGACTGAGACGATCATCGAATACTCTTCCGGTTCGACGGTGATATCAATGTCCCTCGTGGCACGCGTCTTCTACGGCCTGCCTGATGTACGGGCGTTCCTCAGCAACAAGACGAGCTCAGCGAAGCTGCGGCTCATGCAGTTCTTCGGCCTCGACATGTGAGTGATGAACACAGTTCGGCCAGCACGATAAAAACGCTGACAGGAATAGTACACTCTTTGGAGGACCAAGCCAGCCCGAGCCGGATGATGAGCGGGGCGGTATCAAGGCAGCGGAACGCATGGCCAAGCAGTCGGATAAAGTGATCAACCCAAATCAGTACGAGAACGACAATGTGAGTTCCCCCTCTCTGACGCCATTTCCCTCACTGTGTTTCTTGCGCTGACTGCCATCGCAGAACTGGAAGTCACATGTCCGTTGGACAGGACCGCAGATCCTCCGTCAGCTCCCTGAGATAACTCTTCTCTGCGCTGGCATGGGCACGTCGGGCACAATGACAGGGCTCGGGACATACTTCAAAGACAGCAAGCCTTCTGTCTACCGCATAGGGTGAGTGAGCTGCGCGCAGACAAGTCGTATAGCATCTCGAGGAATGTACTGACATGGAAGCCAGCGTGTGCACTGCGCCGGGAGACCGCGTCCCCGGCCCTCGCTCGCATGCTCTCCTCGCGCCGGTCCTCTTCCCTTGGTCATCGTCTATCGATCACATCGAACACGTCGGCTCCCACGAATCCTACTCACTGTCCCTATCGCTGTGCCGCCAGGGCCTCATCTGCGGCCCGAGCTCAGGGTTTAATCTCCAAGGCCTCTTCCAGTTTCTGGACAAGCGCAAGGCAGAGGAGACTCTCGATCAGCTCCGAGGCGAGAACGGCGAGGTGCATTGCGTGTTTCTATGCTGCGATTTGCCGTACCAGTACATTGGCGAGTACTTTGACAAATTGGGAGCGGAGCACTTCCCGCAGATTCACAATGAAGTAAGTTGAGACCAGCCCGCCTCATCCATCGGCACCCGATCTCTCGAGACTTGTGCCTGTAGATTCAATGTGCTAACAACATGAAGGAACTCGCCAAAGTCGATCTGTATCGCTACGACGACCGATGGGAGTTGCCGCCCCTGGACGCCATTCACGCGTCCTTCGACGTCAACCCCACCCTCAGCCTACCGATCACGTCCCGAATCACGCCCAAAAGCAACATTGTGACCATTGACATTCGGCAGGAGCTGGATTTCCAGGACTTCCATCTGCCTGGGAGCATCAACGTCCCCTTTGCGAACGAGTTCACGCCCTGCCCCTTCTCCGACCCGTCCACACTCGCCACGTTGTGGACCCGTCTCGAGACTTACTTCGCAGCGCCGCCAGAGACTCTGCTGTCCGCGATGGATGACAAGCAGATCCTCGTGGTATGCTACGACGGCGACGCCTCGCGCGTCGCCTCCTCGGTGCTGCGCGCTAAGGGGTACGAGACCAACAGTGTAAAGGGTGGTTTCATGGCGCTGCGAAAGGTTCGCGCGCAGAGCAACGAGACGGTATCGACCGAAGGGAAAGTAGACGAGATTATCATGACACCCATAGCGCAGACTGTGTAGGAAACAGATGGCTATAGGGAGAAATGATGCAGGGAAATGCACACAGCTTCTAACACATCACGTGATTCCGCGCCCACGACGCGCAAGGCACGTCATCTCCGTCCTCCACTGTCCATCACGTCCAGCTTCAGAATCGGAACAACACAAGGTAAGGTACCAAAATGGATCCCCCGCCCACAAAAGGTGTGGCTTTTCAAGAGCCAGACGACAGCATATTCGATTCCCCGTCCGCCGCCGAAGAAAACATCCTCTCCACCCACGCGGCAACTACCATTCTCTCCTCCTTCACATCCTTCCTCACCCTCACCATCCACACCCTCCTCCACCACCGCAACCTCTACCCCTCCACGACCTTCATCCTCGTGCGCGCCCTCAACCTCTCCGTTTATCAGTCCCGCCACCCCGCCGTCTGCGCCTGGGTCAACGCCGCCGTGTCCTCTCTTGTCCCGCATCTGCGCGCGGGCACCCTCGCCAAGGTGGTCTTCTCCATCCACGCCGGTGAGACTCTAGACGTCCAGGAGAAATGGGTCTTTGACGTGAGTCATCTCCCCCATGACTGGGGCGAGGAATTTGACCCCGCCGCCGCCGCTGGCGCTGGCGCTGCCGCTGATGGCGAGGAACTGGAAGAAGAGGAGGTGCCCATGGTGGATATTAACGAGACGTACCGCGGTGCCTTGCAGAGGATAGCCCTCAAGGCAGAGAAGCTACCGCCTCCGCCCAAGGGAAGCACATTCACCCTCGCCTTGGAACTCAGAGATGACGCTCCGGCGCCAATAGGGGTATGTTCCCGAGTCATCTTCATGGTGAGTCCTAGCCGGTTCTTGCTAACATGTCTGTCAAGCATCCCCAGCCATGGATCCCTGTGCAGAAGCACAAAGGCAAAGAGCCGGTACAAGCACAAAGAGCAGTGACAACACCAATACGCGCCGTCCATGCCGGTCCTATCTTCTTCGAATGCTGGGTCGAGCAAATAGACACTAGTAAACGTACACCGTCATAACGTCATTATCATAACATCCCTCACATCCAACATACAAGCCACACAACACCTGGCCTTACCATCCTTCCACCCAGGGCAGAGGTCTACTCCGTCCCCTTCAACGCCGCCTTGAGGCTGACAATCTCCCGCTTTAGCCGGGCATGATCCTTCTTCATGCGTGCCATTTCCTCGCCTTGCTCTCGCAGCTTCTCCACGAGCGCCTCCTTGTCTTCCTTCCCCTTGCCCTTGAGAGCCCTGACAATCTTGCCCAGCTCGCCATTGAACTTCTCATAGAGTAACTCATTCTCCGCCACGGATTCCTTGTACAGTTGGTCGATTGCCCTGATCTTCGACTCGGCCGATTTGACATTCGAGTCCACGTCGCGCTGAATGGCGGACTGCTTGTTGGAAATACCCTGTATGGCGACGGGTATTCGTTCCTCGAGTGTCTTGATCGACTCGGCAAGTCGTCGGATGTCGGGCGAATCCGCCCCTGCGCTGACTCGCGCCATCTCCTCGCCAATCTTGGACAGTTCGCTCTTCAACGAAGCATCGACCTCCTCGACAGCGGTCTTCTCCGTGTGTAGTCGCTCGCGAAGTTTTTGAGGCGACTGGAGCTTGAGTTTGGCGCTGCGCGTGGGCGATTTGGACGGGGAGTCAGCCCCTGATGTACGCGGGCGGGCGTCACCCAGGCGAGAGGGTCTCAGTGTAGGAATGCTAGAAGTGGACAGTGTCTTAGCATGCGGCCGCTTCACCGGCGACATGGCAGGCCTCGCGGGTGAAGTGGGTTTGGTCTGAAAGTCAAAAGGATCATTCTCCTTTTGATAACGCGGAGTGCGGAGTAGAGCCTGCGGGCCTGGGCTGACGGGTATTCTAGACGGCGTCGACGGCGTGGGGCCCGCGTTGTTAGGGGTTTCGATGACGTTCAGGGCTTGCAGAGGTTCGGAGTCATCAACGAGTGAAGCTGCAGCCATGAGACCCTTGAGGTCCGACAACGAACTACGTCGTTTTCGACGGGACGTCTTGCGCTCGGAAGCTTCATTGTCAGGCTCACCAATGGTGTCCAACGGGAAATCCATCCGGTGGGAACTCGTCGGCCGCGAGCCATCATCGAACGCGCCGGCGATAGGTGGTCGATCTCTGGACCCTGGTCGTCGAAACATCTTCTTCGTCAAAGAGTCATCATCAACTGATCCCGTACGCCCCAGAGATGGCTTGTGAAATGCCGGAGCCTCGCCCGTAGCTGGGTTTCGGTGTTTGCTCAGCGTCCGCCAAACGGATGGCTTTTCATCCTTGCTGCTGTTGGTCCGGAGCAAAGTGTCAAATCCAAATTTGCGCCGCAGTGATGAGGTGTTGGACGTCAGCGAGGGTGTGTACGACTTGCCGCCACGGATGGCCGAATTAATAGAGGCATAGGCATCGTTGCCGAGGTTGAAGGTGTGGTTCAGCCCCGGCTCCTCAAAGATGCGGTCGCAATCCTCCACTAACCTGTCTAGTAGGTTGATATAATTAGGCGCCGTGCCATCAGTCACCAACAACTCAGCAAACGCAAGCGTCAGCGCTCCTCGATCACTGTCGTTCCCACATCCGTCCAGAAGATCAGCCAACAGCTTGATGAGCGATGTGAAAGCTCGGCGATTCTGTGGCGCCATATCGCCGAATAAGTAATTGACAAAGTCCGCAAAATCACCTGGTACTCGCTTATTGACGCGGTCTTGGAGCGTGTCCAACGACTGCATCGACATGACGGGCCCCATCTGCTCTGACCAAGCAATGTGGAGGAACTTCTCAAACGCCGAGAAGATGACCTCGGTGCTCGCCTCAGACGGAAGGTCAAGGTCGTAGGGGTTCTCAATGAGTTTGTTGTAGAGGTCGTTGACCGCCAACTCGTCTGTCAGGGTTCGATTCAACAATGTCCGCCCAATGATAGCACCCCTGCGCGCCTGCAAACCTGCAACGTATCCTATAAAGGTCTGCTCCAGGCGCACAAGCGGGTTTTGAGGTCGAATCTCCTCCGTCGCAATGCGGTCATCTTTGCCCCGCATGGAGCTGAGAGTGCCCAAGAAATGGTGTTGGCTGTGGTGCCGTTGTAACGATGGCGTTTGCTGGTGCTTCGAGTCAAATGAGGTATCAGGGGTGATATTGCCCGAGTTGCCACCACCTCCACCACCACCAGTGCCAGCGCCGCCCCAAAAGCTTGACAAAATCTTGACAGGCGAGGTGGCCAAGAAGGACCTGGCCCTCTCAGTGCGCGTTGTCGTCGTCGCTGCTGTCAAGGGCAAGGTGCGCAGTATCTTGGAGTAGTACGATACTAGCGACCCCGTAAGCTGAGGATTTGACACGCTGAATTGCGAGCTCAGCAGCTGAATCACCCTTCTCGACAGCGTCGGCAGGAAGTCTTCTAGCGCGACATCATCCTGGTACTGTTTGCCGTTGAGTCCAGCGGTGAACATTGTCACTCTCCTGAGATCGTTGCTCTTGACATCCACCACCACCTCGACTCCGTAATGCCCCACGGGCGCACCCTTAGTACCCTTCTCATGGTCCACCACCACGCGAATCGGGGCGGGCTCCTTTCTACCCTCAATGAGCTGATCGGCACCTTCCTGGAACACAGCAGCGTGTAAGCCAAGATTGCTATCTGGCATGCGTGTGGATCGCAATGTCCAACAGGGCCCCTCTCGCTCCTTTTCGGAAAAGCGTGCCTCAACGCGAGCTCTAACAATGTCTTCGTGCCACTTGGAGGCCTTTCCTCCATATTGGTCGCTTAGAGCGAAGCAGCGTGAAGTTGGGGCTTTGCTAATGCGATGGTCGCCGGTGTGCGCGCCGTGCATATCGGCCGTTGACGTCATCCAGACGAAGGAGTTGTCCGTCGACTCGGTGAACTTGACATCAGATAGGTGATACCAGCCAGTGAACACAAAGTCGTACTCGCCCGGCCCACCAGCTGCATTAGTCATGGATATCAGCAGTCCAGCAGCTGAAGGTTTGTCAACTTCTCGAATAAGGTCTTTTCCCGTCATGGACCCGGCCAGCTTTTTCAACACAACGATACAGTCTGAGAACAGGAGGAAGATTCCCGTCTTCTCTGCTTGATTCGCCATCCCCCGAAAAGGAGGCACCAACTCAACGAAATCGGCCGATCCCACGAGACGACCCTGCGGCTCAAGATCCATGGGCCATGCTTCAACCATATTTCGAAGTCGACTGGCGACATGGGGCTTGTCCAGGAGTGGTTCGTCCATGGAGCAGATATTGGTAATGATATCTCTGGCTTTGAGCATGGGCTGAAGCGCAGGGTGTGTCATCGGCAGGCACCCTACAATCTGGTCAATGAGCAAGCTGTACCGCGGCAGGCGCTGAACTGGCTCGATGAGCAGTGATCGTATCGCCTGCTCGCCCCTCTGTGCCACCCTTTGTCGAAAGCTAGACTGCTGATCCAGGAAAGAATTGAGCAGTTGGGGGAAGTGCTGGCTGGCTCGAATGTAATCTTGATAGCACTCTGTAAACTTGGGAAACCACTCCAAGAACAGTCTCGCCATAGTCAGCGCACCGCTCGGGTCTTTCGCCCTGGCCGACGGCCCCAACGTTGCTGCGCCTGTGTGCACTGTCGTCTCGAGGTCCTCCTCAGTTGCCTCCATTATTTTCTTGAGCTCCATCACGAATGTCGAGTTGACCTGCAATATCGCATCTGCTGATCTGGGGAATAGGCGCTCCAGTTCCTCCTCGGACGGGCTCAGACTGGCCGGATCCTTGTTTTGCGCACTGTCCCTGAAATCTTTGGCAACTGTCCTCACTAGATCGCCTAGCTTGTGCACGTATCGCTCTTCAGTGTCAACCAGCTCGCTAATCTTCATTCTCAGCTCGGCCCTCTGGTCCTTGGTGAACGATCGACTTCGATTCAGTGCGGTCGGCTTTGAGGGCGCTCGGCGTAGGCGACTCGTGGGTAAGAATACTGGCTCGCCCAAGACCTTGACTAGAGGTGTGTATCCGCCGCATTGTCGCAACGTCGGGTCCAGAATATCATCTTCGTCGTCTGGTACATCTTCCAGGTCGGCTGGCTGCAATGGAACTATCGCCCCTGGTGGCAGGACAAAGTCCAGATCGACGTTGCTCACATGTTGCGCTTGCAGTGCTGAGTTTAGGGCGGCGACAACCTCGGCCGTGTTCTCTGATTTCGTGACGGAGCTGACAAGACTGGCGGCATGTTGGTCCCCGAACAGAGCTGGTCCACTTTCCGGCCCGCGCGCTCTTGTAGGGTGCAGATTTCGCAAATATGTTTTCACCCCATCCGGCAGCTCTGTAAAGTACTTGAATAGGCCAAAGGCCAGCCCGCGATACACCTCATCGCCCTGAAATTCTCGCGGTAGGTGGTTGACCACGCTGTAGGATGCTGAATTGGGCGAGATGGTCAGTCGAGGAAATGATGAGAATCCAGCTGGCGTGAAGACGTGGACTTGAACGCGCGAGCTGTTGAGCGTGTAGTTTGCCGTCGTCGAAGGGCCGTGGAAGACGAGGATCGGGAGATGCCCAAGATGCGGATCTGAAACGTGGTAGAGGGCAAGATGCTCGGGCGAGAGCGCAACCTCGTCTGTGACGCGTACCATGGTCGCAAACACGGGCCGCTCTGCGGCCGTCAGGGTCTAATTAGCGCAGAAGTCGTCCTTGCAAGACAGCGGCTGGAGAAGATGTTGGGTCGATATGGTTTTGTTGTGGGCGCAAACCGATATCGCGGGGAAAAGTAAACAAGTCGCGTCACTCCGCTACGACGCAGTCTGAGCGCACGCTAGCACCGAGAAAGAACAACCACGAGGAAATTTTTTAAACGAAAAGCAGCCGTAAGAAAGAGGCGAATTGGATGAATCTCCACGTACAGGTGTAGGTAGGTGTTGCTAATCGACTTTTGCACCAAGGAATGCAAGGTCGCACCCAAGTCGCAGATCATCGAGCGGGAAAGCGGTCAGGCCAAGCCAAGGCTGCTCCACCTTTAAGCACAAGCAGGGCAGGCGCGTCTTGGAGAGATGCTGATTGCTGCTGCCCCTCATGATACGATATTGATAACTCACATCCTCCACGACCATCATCAATTGTGATTCAGAGGTCCCATTGCTGTGAAGCGGCAAGCCAAAGCGAGTAGACATGTCCCAATCGTCTGGAATACCGGTCTACAACTTTCCCACTGACGCCGGCTACCGCCTCCTCGAACTCCCTCCCGACCTTCAATCCATTCTCGAGTCGCCCGAGGCGCCTCCACCACTCAAGCTCGAGACGGGTGACGATTCAGCTCTCCTAAAAGCGGGCGGCAAAGCCTGGGCGCTCAGGCAGAAGAACACGTCGAACGCGCTTATACTGATGCGGCCCCACGGCGACAATGGGCTGGCAGCCATGTCCACCGTGCACGAAATCGTGGAATTGGACGCGGTCAAGGAGGACAAGCCGGAAGGGCAAGCTGCGCCTCTGTCGGCCAAGGGCAAATGGCACGAGAAGTTTGGCAAGAAAAGATGAATCAGTGGACTCTCAGTCGCGATTTTGCAACGAACCCAATGTTGGCCGCTGCCCCATGCGAGGCAGGATGTCATGCCATCGAATGCGGTATTACGAACCACCGATACGCCCACCGCGAAGCGATTGAGCTCGACTCAAGCACTGCGGTTTCCGAGCCACGACACTCGAATTCTTCGATGTCAATGATGCCACAAAGCCGCTAAGTCACCTCACGACGACACAAGCGCTTTGCACCACTTGATATAAATTGCGTACAAATCATTTCCGCCATAAAAACGACGATGCCCCCTGGTCCTCATCACATGTCGCGCCCAAATTCCAGACAAAGCTATATGCAACCTGTCCAACGCATCTAATCGTCCTTGCGTAGCTTCCGCGCTATTCATTACTTTGTCCCCTTGCGATCTTAGCCCGGTCTCGAACGCTTGTTGCCCGACTCTGGAGCACGTATGGCAAAGGGACCCTGACCCGCTGCCCGCGCCTGTCGGACACCCTCCTCAACGGTACCACCCATGTCAGCCTGCCGTCGCCCATTTACATTCGCTTCATGAGGTTGCCCAATCGCCAATTGCCGCTGGCCCCTAGCAAAGAGCCCTCGTGCCCCCCTAAAGCGTCCCTCAACCGCACGCGCCACACCGTGCAAATGATTTCGGAAGCGGGCATCTTGCGCCTGGGGCGCTTGTCGGTTAGGTCTTTGTGGCTGTCGGGGATCTGGCTGCTCCTCCGCGCCTGGAGCCCCGTGTCTTTGCTGTTGCGCCAATGCGCGGCGTTCCTCGTTTCTTTCCTGCTCTGATTGAAGCCGGAGAGCAGGGGTAGGCATGAAAAGAGGCCGAGCTTGCTGCTGTTGCAGTTCCTGTCGTTGTTGTCGGTGCCGGTCTCGATCTTGCTGCTGTTGCAGTTGCCGCTGCGCAAGAACAAGCTGCTGATACCGCAAAAACTCCTCTTGCACCGGCTGTTGCTGTCGCCGCGGAAGGTGTTGTTGCTGCTTCCGCCTCGGAGGTTGGTTGCCCATGTCCATTTGGGCCGGCGCCGGTGCTGGTGCTGGTGCTTGATTTTGTTGATACTGTTGCCGCTGCTGCCTCTGTTGCCGAGGATTCCACACGCCTAGACCATCAAAGCCATCCCCCAAACGAGGTCTTCTATTCGCTTGGTCAAACGCTGGCGGCGGCGCGAGCCCTGCCCAACCCAGTGCGTTCATCTGATGCACTTGGGCCCTTGGGCCACCATCTCCTGCTACCACCGGCACTGCTCCGTTCATGACCTCAGCAGGCCGCGCCGGTTGTATCGGTCGAGCTTGTACGGCTGGATTCTCTACGTGTGCCCACATGAGGAATGGGTCGTGGACAAAAAGTCTCTGTGTCCTGATGCGCCTCCTTTCATCATCGTCCTGAACGGCTTTCGCCATGTTGATCTTGAGCTTATCCTCGCTAATGCTGCCCTTGGTCTCGGCCAATACCCTCGCACAGGCCTTTATTTCGGCAGCTTCAACGGCGGCGTCGTGCCGACCCTGCACATTCTCGTCCCACAGGATACATTGAGAGGATCCGTGTCCAAAGTGAGAGTAGTCTCTCAATGACGCGCTGCAGAGGTAGCATTGTTGGTTTCCACATTTTGTGCAATGCATTCTGTTGCACCCGGTGTCTTTGATAAAGGGGGTCCTGCATTTATTGCATTTGCGGATCAGCGCTTGCGTCCTCGCCTCTTCGATCTTCCTTCGTGCCGCGAGGTCGGCGTTCGTATACTCGGCCTCGCAACGTTCGGGCTGGTGATCGTCCTTGTTACAAATGCGACACGACCGCTTCCGGCAATTTGGCGCTTCGCATTGGAAGACGGTGGCCTCGTCAACGGGCGGATATTCCGCGGCATAGTCGCAGAATGGGCAGGTTGCCAGGTCCGCGATACCAGCCGCCAGCAGCGACGCGCTCCATTCGATGCGACCCAGGACTTTGGTCAGGTTTTCATCGAGGAATAACCGACGTTGGCTTTCGTCAAAACCGCCTTGACACTGATCACTTGATAAGCAGTGAAGAGCATGTCTCGAAAGGCCAATTTGCATTTCGGCATTCCGTCGGGCACAACTAATACAAACGAACTTTGCATGTCAGCCATCACTCGGAACAATATGCCTCGGAAGGCGTGCGCACTCACGTGTACCACCTCGCCGTTGCAATGGACCATCGACGCAATCGCAAATTCGTCAAAGCAACATTCACACTGGAACGTCTCGCCGTCCTTGAGCTGCATGTCGTCCTCTATCCCCGTGTCGATCGCCGGCTGTGTGTCTTGTGTTGGAGTTGCTGATCTGGCCTTATATAGTCGGCGCAACAGACAAATAGTCCTCGCCTCATTGATTCCCCTCAAAAGGGCTGCGATAGCGTCGTCCAAGGGCAGAGTATAAACTTCCAGTGTCGCTTCGTTGATGGGAAGGTCGGGATCTGGGCGTGGAACGTCCTGCGGTGCGAATTGCAAGTTCCAAGACTTCAGAGGATGTTCGTGCCAGGTCGAAACCATGTGGTCCAAGTCGAGGTACGCTGAGAAGAGGGAATAATCGTGCTCTGTCGCAAGTTCGCCAACATAATGCGCCGGGACCATGGGAAAGTCAGTTCTGATGAGGTCGACACTATCATTCGTTAGTCCGGGGAAACGTTGCTGGGAGACAGACCAGCTTCAAACTTACATGCGTTGGGTTTGAGCGGCCGTACTTGGAAAAGCTCTCCGCTTTGAGCTCACGTGCTTCCTCACGAGTGCTTCGACTTGCTCTCCGTCACCGTCGTCTTCACTCTGGCTTGGTTCGGGGCTGCTGTCTGCTCGCTTTCGCTTGATCTTCCGCGTTTGCTTGTCCTCTGGACGCTTCTTCTTTCCGTGCGCGAGTTCCGCTTCCCGATGTCGCCGCTTGAAGTTAGCCATGGCGCCAGCGTCATGGCCAAAACGAGGCACGAGGTGCTCAAGGTAGAATGGGTCCATGTCCCGGGCGTCCTCGGCAGGCCGGCCATGCGCTGACGACTCAGCGGGCATAGCGCGTTGCTCAGACTGGCTCTTGGGTAGCGCATGGAGCGGCGTCAACGGGTTTCCCAGTGGCTGCGTGGGCAGCAACGAAGGTCACGGAGGACACCTCTTCCGAATGAACACGCCCTGGTATCCTGTTCCCTATGCTGTATTTTTGTGTATGAATGAAGAATGGGCTGAAGGCATGGAACGGATGAAATGCTTCCGTGTAGTTACCTACCTGCGTGGAGCGGAGACACCCTGGTGACCTGGATGAAGGTTAAACTTTCGAAGCTGCAACGCTTGTATCCTCGTATGGGACGCCTTCTTGTGAGGTGGCTTTAAAGGAGAAGAATGGTTTACCTCGGCAATATATGGTTGAAGGCAAGGGTGAATGTCGATGTGACGGATGAATGACTTACATGAGCTGATGATGAGGCTTGGGGAGAAGTCGACACTCATGATCGTGAATGCAGCCATGGGTAGTGACTGAGAGACATTATTCCCCATAGGATCACTAGGGAGAGCTTTGCAAAACCTGGCCCATAGGCCACACAGTACTCCGTAGGACAGAGATGGTGGTGGTTCAGAGGTGTGCATGGGGTGAAATTTAGGCGAGACTACCAGTCGCTTCTAGCACGAACAGGCCACAGACACAGGAGCGAGTGAGCTTTCAAGACCATCGTGAAATTTCAAGGCATTTCTAACGAAGAATGAATAGGATCGGCATATATCTCGTAGTGTATATGGTACATATCAGGATAGAACAGGTAGACGATGGGCAGGGCCACAGCGTTCATGGCGCCAAAGAAGGCAAAGGTCCCCCAGCCCAGACGGTTGAGGATGATCGGGATGACAAACTGCGTCATGCAACAGCCAGCAGGCCAGCCGAAGATGGTGAAGCTGTACACTTTGGGGCGGATCTTCCGCGGCCAGATTTCTGTACCGTAGATCCAGGTGACGAAAGAGACTAGCAGCGACTTAATATAGCTGCCGCGGTCGATGAACAAGAGAGCCTCTGTCGTTCCCGGGATGCCAAGGTGTTGACCAGCCCTGAAATCCACAGCGACTTGTACGAGCTGAAGCCGGCGACTTGGAAGAGAGTGGTCGACCAGCCAGCAATGGCGAGGATACCCGTCCACTGCTGAATCCAGGGAAGGAGGAAGCCCATGCCGGCACGTCGACCAAGATTCAGGTTCTCCGAGTATCGACCCGCGAGGAAGATATTGATAAGGTCGTTTCTTTGTGATGTGTACTCCCAACAATTGCGTCCAGCTGCTCCACCTCCATGACAATACGGGAGGGGGTCGCTAGCCGCCAGTTCGCCGCGCAGCTTGCACAGAATAGCAATGGACTGCTCCCTCTTCCCGTTGACAATGAGCCATCGCAGCGACTCTAGCAAAAAGGGATGCACGCGTCGACAGGGAGCAAGGGGATGATCACCTACCCGAGTCGGAAGCGCCAGCGAATTTCGTCGTTGGTAGAAGGCATACCAAAGTTGATCCAGTACGCGATCACGGCACCGAGGTACTTTGGCCATGAAGACGATTGAGAAGCTGGAGCATCAGCCGTGGGCCTGTGATAGCTCACTGACCCTGGGGGCACAATGGCGTTGATGAAACCAATACGCAGCCCAGCGATGACGCGCGCCCCGATGAACATGTTTCTGTTCACGTTGCCTGCCACGACGGCCCCGCTTTGGAGGCCAAAAGCAGTGCCGGAGAGGACGCCACGCGTACGAACGATCCTGTCACCCACCCAGCCTGGTATTGCTTGGTCAGTCTTCCATACTGTGTCGTCCCCAGGGGAGGAGCACGTACCGCCACTGAAGCAGCTGCATATGCCGCCAACTTAGTACGGTGCTGCGAGGCCACCCTGCTCGGTGGAATTGGTGACCACCCCGTCTGCGCTGATTTTGGTCATCTTGATGGATACTGGTGTGGAGCTCACGTTGCCGAGGACACCTCGATTATAGCCTGGAAAAGGGGGATCAGCAAGGGCGGTTGAGAGAGTCACGAGAGAAGCTACCTTTGAAGACGAGGGCCGTGGCAGCGACGACGCTCATCAGGATCAGCAGTAGCTTGTCGAGCACTTAGTGCCAGACTTAGATAGCCATGATGTGTTGGGTTGCTCTTCAGGAGCACAGGCTTTCTGCAGCGGAAGATGAGTGTGAGCAAGAGTGTGATGGGGAGAAACCTCCAAACCTCTGCGGTTGATACTCTAGAAATTACATGGGAAGGGTTGCGTGGCACGTGCTGCCTTTATAGACACAGCCCGTGCAGGATGTTGATGGCCTCGACGTTGGAGATGATGATGGACTAGGTATTGACTGTCCCGATATTGGCCTTTACAATTAACTCACTTCAGTGTTACTTGACTGTGGGGTTTGTGCGACTTGTCAACCGTCACTACGGGGTAACAATTTGGGCTGGGATCCGGAGTTGTGGAACGTCGAGGTCTACATTTCCGGGGTACGTAGTGCATCCACGATGGCCAGCCCAGGAGAACTAAGAAAGTGGAACTCCTGACCCCGGTTAACCCAAATGAGATCTAGCCTTGAACGTATAGTGCCCAGCGTGATACTTGCCCGTCCTGTCAGCCCCATGTATTGGTTGATGACAGGAGTCCGGCCATGAGTTCGGTCGTAACGACAGTAGTTTAAGGGTGGGCCGTCGACAATGATTACTCGTTAGAATCGAGCTAGTCAGGCTTTCAGTCGCATTGTACATCATTTAGGCCCGGACATGATGGATCTTCCTCAGCGCATTCGCGCTGCTGTAGTTCCCGCCAACACTCATCTTCGCCAAAGACTCCTCAATCTGAGCCGCGGCAGAAGTTATATGTACACAGTGAAACTTATGAGCAGTCGATATATATCATCTTTCCTTCTCAGAGAATTTTATGATTCGTACAAACAAATAGAAATCTGGATTATGCTAGCCTAATATGGCACTACGTGTCGACGCCAATACTAACATCTCCCTTTATTGCCCACAGGCAGCTTGAACACCTAAAACGCTCACTTAAATATCCAGGATCTCCTATTATGGAAGCAGCACGACTCGAGCGCCAAAAAAAGGGCTTGCTCAAAAGCTTAAATGCTTTAAGTGCTTTCCATAGCAATTGCCGCGCAAATCGTTGATCGTCGAGGCCGGCTTGACCACGAGACTGGTCCGTTTCGGACCCTGAACAAGCGTTTAGGCATTGAAGCACTCACATAGCTCATCCGATTGGAAGATGAAGGGCGCCAGGGGTAATGATAGGGTCCCAGATTAAGGGGGGCTGTGGGCGGCATGTCCAGATTGCACATGTTCTCCAACGGCCTATTAAGCTTGCAGACTTCGATTTTCCGTCTCTCATCATCAAGAGCGCGAAAACTGTTAAATTTCATTGGAGAATGATGCGCCTCTTCTTCCCCGGAGCTCCAGGATCCTCTACATGTGGGCTCTGAGGATATGGAACAAGTAAGCGGTCTCGCTGTACGCGACAGTCCCAAAGCCTTCAAGGGCCCAGATCCTCAACCTCGACTCCAGGAAACCATCTTCGACTTTTTTTTCCCTATCCTCTTCGCACTCGTCATACCCAGGACTGAACTCACATCACAGAGGCTCCAACACACATACCAGCCATGGGCTCAATCAATGACCTCTCTCCCACAGCCGGGCAGGCACTAGACACCACTGTCCTAGGCTTCAACTCGGGCACATCCATGGACGGCATCGACTGCGCACTCTGTCCTTTCAGCCCACAAACACCCCAAGACCCCCTGCAATTTGCACTCATCGCCTACGACGAGGAGCCGCTCGAGCCGACCATCAAGACGCACGTCATGAACATGATTCTGCACAACACCACCACCCCAGAGAAGCTCTCCGAGGTCAACGTTCCCCTGCGTGAGGCCTTTTTCGATGCCGTCAGGTTGTTCTGCAAGAAGAACAACGTCGACGCCCAAATCACCGCGGACGCCATTGGCTCCCACGGACACACCATCTGGCTGCTGAGCATGCCCGAGTAGAGCCAGACACGCTTTGCACTGACCATGGCCGAGGGGTGCTTTCTCGCTGCGCGAACGGGCATCACCACAGTCACGGATTTCAGGGTGTCAGACCAAGCGGCTGGCCGTCAGGGCGCGCGCCGCTCATTGCCTTCTTCGACGCTCTCGTTCTCCATCACCCTACCAAGCTGCGCGCCTGCCAGAATATTGGCGGTGTAGCCAATGTCTGCTTCATCCTGCCCGACGTGAACGGAAAACTCAACGACGAGTTCTTCGACTTTGACATGGGCCCCGGCAACGTCTTCATTGACGCCGCTGTCCGATATTTCACCAACGGTGAACAAGAGTACCATAAAGACGGCGCCATGGGCAAGGCCGGTAGGGTGGACAGCACCCCTACTGCCGGAAGGAGCTTTTTAGGACAACAGGCCGCGGGGTCTTCCGGGACACCATTGCCTACGAGCTCATCAAGCGAGGTCTTGCCAAGGGCCTCACGCCAAACGACATTGTGGCCACCATCACCCGCATGCATCACCGTCTAGGCCATTGTCGAGCATTAACACAGCTATATGCCCACTGCGTACGGACCACTGGTTGAAATCTACATGTGTGGTGGAGGCGCCTACGACCCCAATGTCACGGAGTATATGTAGGCGGTCTTTCCCGATACAAGCATCGTTCTGCTCGACGAGGCAGATATCCCCGCCGGGACCAAGGGAGCCATTTTGCTCGCGTGGCAGGGCACGGAGACCATGGTTGGCCGCAGCATTCCCGTTCCGAACCGCGTCGAGGTTAGGTAGGAGGAAGTCCTTGGCAAGGTGAGCCCCGGACGAATTACCGCCACGTCATGGAAAAGTGTATGACCTATGCCAGTGGTCGGAATCATATCAATCTTGTGAGAGAGATTGTCAACTATGTCGACGGAAAGGTGTTTGACAACAAGACGTGATGGGCCTGTGTATTAGATGATTAGAAAGTAGGCTATAATGGCAATACACAACAGCTGATGATCTTCATTCAATACTTTTCTTCTGCGCCGACATGAACATTTCAATACTGCATGTTGCCAAAGTACTAAATCAGCCCCCAGCCCGGCATGATCTGCGTAAAGAGCTGGGGGTCCCAGCTCGTATGATCCTCCCACTGCACCCCCATGTACGTAGTCTCATCGAGAGGCGTGGGACTGTACGACATTGGCGGCATCATCTGGGGCGGCGGCTGTTGTTTTTGATGGTGATGGCGTTGCTGTTGCAGTTGCAGCTGTTGGTGATGATGCAGAGCCTCCTGCTGCAGCTGCGCCTGCGCATCATCGTACACGGGCGGCCGCTTGAACGTGCTCATGGTCGCCGCGGCACTCGTAGCTTACTTCTGCTCCTGTCGCCGCTGCATGACACGGATGTGCTCCTCGATGCCGGGGGCCTGCTCCTCCAGACGCTCCGTCAAGCGGCGGCCCTTGAGCACGCTCTCGAGGTTCTCGAGCAGACCCGCGTGACAACGCAGAACGCTGCTCACATTGGCGTACTGCGCAATGCCCTCCTGAAAGTCCGTGTTCCTCATAATTGCAGGCTCGACCGGCCAAGCACGTCGCCTATCGCCGCGAGGTGGTGCAGCAGCGGGGCGCTGATGGCTATTTGGAAGCCCTTGGGGGATGATCTTGAACTTGTCGATAATCTTGTTTGCACTGACGCAGCACTGGTCCAGCGTCGAGGTGTCCTCGTTGACGGGAAGAGGACCATGCTCAGGAGTTCGGTCGTCGCGATGATGTTCAGCCGCCTGGAAACCGTACAGGTCTGTTGTTTGTCAGGCAGGTTTGCCTTGATTAGTCAGCCACACATTCGGCCCACAGCTGCCCTCAAAGGCAGCATCTTCGCGCTATCGCGTTCTTCCTTTCTTTTCGATAGCATCAGCATGTTCTTCAGATAGAGAACTCATCATCTTCCTTCTCTTCTGAGCTGTTGTTCATCACCATCTTCATAAGGTCCTCCCGCGGATTGTACGGAATGTCGCATTGAATGTCCCGAAGAGAGTGTGGAATATCCTCCAGCTGGCCGCTCTCGAGGAACATGTCACTCCCTGACACAAGCGCGCAGACAGCCATTGTCACGGCGTGGAAGAGCCTGTCCCGGTGATATTCACCATTTTGCACGCGACGGGGGGAGAATGGCTGGTGGAAGAAGGGGAGTATCGGGTAGCCAATCTCAAAGTACAACCCGACCAGCGACATGATCCTGCCATGGGGAATCTCCCGTTGCCACTGGCTGCAACGTGCCCCCGTACCTACACGCGTTGCCGCTCCTCGATGAGCCGTTGCTAAGCGGACAGTGGTCGTCGTTGGGCGAGACGCCAGCAACCGTGTCCTCGCCGTCCTTGCCCCTGGCGGGCGCGCCGCGCTTCTTGACCTCGCGCTGGTACAGGCAATCCAGGCCAAAGTCAAGACAGTTTCGGCACTTCCCACCAGGATGGCAGCGTACAGATCGCCTGTGGCAGTAGTCGCAGGCGCGAGTCATGCGAAGCGCGCTGCTTGAGGGTCTTCATTCGACCCGTGGATGGTGGCCCTGGCGCTGCTGACAGGCCGCGGGGAGTAAGAGACCAGACAACGCGAGTGTGCGCCCGAGTGATATGGTTCCAATCCACGTCTACTACAGAACAGTGCGCAGCCGCACCTTGGCTGACATGATGCGGTACTGGGTGGTACGGCTGCCAACGAGCAGAGAGCCTGGTCAAGGCACGCCATGTACACGGGGCATAGGGGTGCGGTCTCGTCTCGCGCCGCGATGATGTATGGTGGTCTGGATTCGAGATGATGGGTGATCATTGATCAAGAGTTCGAGCGTTGCCAGGAGACTCCGCATGTCATGACTCGGTGGCGAGTGATTCCTCATCAGTGGGATGAGTGGAGACGAGACCAGGTGCTGCCTGCCGCGACCGGATTCGAATTCAAACAATCGAAATCCTGTAGAAATCCGGTGTGGTGCGGATCGAGGCTCCTTCTGTAGGTACGTACCTGTACCTCCAATCATACTGGTCCGCCCACCTCACCTGCTGAGTCCCAGTGATCTGTCATCATCCACAGCACTTACTTGAGACACAGTAATTGGAAGCCATACCATAGCAGCAGCGGCAGCCACAATGAATGCAACAATTCGCATCACGGCGTCTCAAAATTGCAGTGAGAAATACAGTGTCCATGATGCGGGCGGCGCAGATTGCTATGCGCCTGGTCCATGTCCCTTGTTTGTGGCTTGCCAGCCATCAAGCTCTATTTCAACTACACTCGACCAACGTGAGCGGAGAGCATCTCATGCTCATGCAGCATCACCCGTAATACCAGCGCAACCTCCCGCCTCACTGAATCGAATCTGGAACACCCAAATAACATATCGCAAGTGGTTACACGTCATTATACCATCACCATGATACTTTCCAACCCGTGGCGCGTGAGCTCCTGCGCCTCGCCACCCTCCCATAGGGAACTCCAGTTCAGTCGCCTCACCACGTCCATATTCCTCACTACAACATGCCAGTCTCTTCCAAGATGGCCTGCACTTTTTGAAGCCTCAGAGGCTTGCGCAGGTACATGCTGATCCCGCTACTTCGTGCCGCCTCTCCCTCTTCGCTGGAATAACCAGCAGACATGCCAATCACCATCGTTGGCTCAAGACCGTGCTCGTGCTCATGGGAGCGAATTTGCCTTGTCGCATCGAACCCATTCAAAACCGGCATGGATGGATCCATAAAGACGCACCGATATGCCCTGGGGTCCGCACGGAACGCATCAGCCGCCTCCTGACCGTTCGTGGCCGTCGTGTACTGGCAATTGAGCTTGTTCATGCACGAGACCAGGATTCTCAGATTGATTGCGTTGTCGTCCACCAGCAAGAATCTTGTTGGCGATGATCCCTCGCTATGCGTTGCCGGAACGCTGTCCTGCGGCTCTGTGTCATTCTTCTCGACAGCATGTCCCTCTTCTTTCTCGCCACCAATGGTCGATTGCGCTTCTCTCACATCCGTTGGAGAAGTACGCGAAGAAATGTCGCAACTGTGGGGCTTGCGGCTTGCAGCATCAAGCAAGTAAGAGGGCACATTCTCGTGGAATTGTGACGCCTCACCTGGTTGCGAGTACAAATACTTCGGTCCTGGTGGACTTGGGCACCGCCGGATCTCGATCGGTCGATCGGACATTTTTCTGACTAGTATGTGTGTATTGCGAGTGCGGCAGTATGACTGCGAGTTGTATTCGAAGGCGTGGTCCTAGGGCGGCGACGACAGTTGGCTGCTGACGATGTTCTGTCGTAAGTAGCCAAGGCATTCGCACACACAACCACACAAAGCGTTTGGGAACGGGAAGCATCTATCAGCTCATTGGCTGCATCGTGCGGCACAATCGCCACGCCTGGCCTGTGATCGTCCCTGATGCCGACGCAATGAAGATCCCCACAGCCTCCCAGGACCACTGCTGTCCGGCTATCCTTCTTCTAGAGACAGCTTGGGCACTGAATTCCGTCACAGACCCTGCTCGAGCATAACCCAAATAAAACCTGTGTTTTTCTGCTTGGGCGCATCCCGACAAGCATCACGACAATTCGTCATTCAGCATCTTAGCACACCTCCCGATCACGTATGGTGTGTTGCCCTGGGAAACGTCGAGACCTGTAACTTGGAGCAGGTTCGCGTCCAGAATCACCATGTAAAGAGTTCGAAGCGTCATGTTTGCCCTATTTTTCAGGTAAGGCTTCCAGTATTGTGGTGGCCTCCTCTTTCTGGTACACGATCGAGTACCGTCACGCGGCGTCTTGTTGGTGAACTGTTACGTCGGCCTCTGCTGGCATTATTCGGGACCTGGAGGCTGCTCTTTCTCTGAGAAGTCGCTTGCTGCTCCCAAGTTGATTATTGCGCCACTTGGATACGCTCGCCATAGTTGGTGCAAAGACGTGCCTGTGATGACTCTAGCGTTCGTTCATCGCCAGGGGAGGGAGACAGTCGATATTCGATGTTGAAGACGCCAAGTGTCCCAGAGCGTTGCAATAGCGGGTAGTCTCATTCGGGGACTTGGCCTGATGAGCTATGTGGTACGTCGCTGCCCGATAGGATTTGCGACTGTACTATCTTGTTGGCCCCCTCTGCCTCGATTAATTCGCGGATGGCACTGGCTGCGATTGCAAGCCTTCTATTCGACTCGGGGTGTTCTCTTTCGGTCGTGTTCGTCTCGTCCGCGCGCGTTTGTCGGCCTGCAATTGTTGTTGCCTATGGTTGTCAGACGCGTCGAGGGATATACCGCTTGGGTACGCTTAGAATGGAGTCGAGGCTTGATTCGACTAGATGATAGCGCTAGGTCCTGTCTTCGCCGCTGGTCGCATTGCTACTTTGTTCTGGGATCGCCATCGGACCCCCTCTCGTGGGTCGTAGAGACAACGCCGTGTGTACCGTGTCGCCAGGCACATAACATTGTCTGCTCCTTGACGAATGATTCGACATCGTCACTTACCCGCAAGCTGCGTTTGAAGGCACGTTTGAGCGCAGGGGTCTAGGTGCTATCTGGTTGTGTTCGGCATTGCATAAGACCTGCCAATGTTGATGCTTTTGCATCTCTTAAAGGTACCGCCAGCGTAGAACAATGCCGCTGGGGCATTATCAAGACGGGGCCTGCTCGCTCCCGCCGCGGCTCGAAATACCTAATACGTGGGACAGCAAACGCTGATATCAGGAGAGATGTGGACACGTCTTCTCCGTCGACTCGAGTCGGATCGGCATCCTCGTTCTGTAAGCATTTTTCGCAGATACTCTCCGGCGTCCGGGCGATGGCGAGACCGCAAGCCCATGTCCCATGTTTACGTCTTTCAGGGTCCGTCTCAGGGATCAAATCTAACAGAGAGAATGGCAGTGTGGCTCCGGCGTTGCAGTAGTGGTGTTATACGTCGGATCGAGATCTCAGCGCCCGTGCTATCAACGTTTGACGAGCCGCCGGAGCCAACGAGGCAGTGTCCGACAATATGGCCAAACCCGATTTTGGCACCAAATTGGCTCCACGAGGAACATTTGGAAACTGTCAAGAATTGAAGGACAATGTTATTTGCAGTTTTTTCTTCGCGTACGGACCGCCGTCTCAAGCGATGATTCCATGCTGCGAGGGGATCGCGATCGGACGGCTGGTTGGGGGGATCTCCGATCGCACGGACGAGACAGAGCAGAGCCACTGCTCCGAAACCAGAAGCAAAGGGCATCGTACTTCCGTATGGCCATGAACAGAGGAACGGAATTGTTCTGCTCAGAGACAGATACTGAAATTTCAAACCGCCATTACTCAATACCTTACTTTCCTATCCAAGAGATTGCTTGGACGTTGGGACCGGTACTGCGATGCGCAGGAAGCCTAAATACGCCTCTGGGCTTGCACAGTTTATGGCCGTCCTACGGCTCTACGAACATCTCTCCTAGACATGGGGGGCTTTAGCGGCTGTCTTTGTGGCTAGCCATCTTCATCATACGGTTATACCCAGTCACTCACTTGGGCAAAACAGCCTGTAATTAATAGGGTCATCACCCGTAAGCTGAGGAAACGATGTGCCAATAATACTCAGTACTTGAACAGGGAACGACTACGCGACTACCGCTGGGCCGCTACTGTGACATGCGTCAACTAGTCACCGACTCGGCGACTCACGACTTACCCTCGCTAGAGAGTCCCACACAGTAACACAGTATCAGAAGAGCATTCCACTGGACTGTGATGCTGCGGAGTCCGTCTCCGGAGTCCCACCAATCTGGTTGACATTGAGGGTCTGGTTTTCCAAGTCCATGATTCCATCACCAAAGTATAAGCCAAGACATGAAGATACCCAATAAGGCGATTGCTCTTCGACAGCTCATAAGTCTACATGTAAATCATCCAATTAACCACACGCCACTACCTGTTCACTGACTCACAGGGACATTGCAACTTGTCTCCGTCCGCCAAGATGTCTGCCTCCCATGGTAAGTTATGGTGAAGATGCAGCAGCTTCGATGTTGATCCAAGTAATTCTTCACCGTTAGGTTAGCTCAAGCGACTGAAAGAAGCAGGTAAAATTTTATGACCCTAGTCATTGGTCAACCCCCTTGTGTCACGCGGACGTGTGGCGAGTGATATTATTACTTGCGCCCTGCATTTTGTTGCCCAATCCTTGTCAATTAATATTTGGGTTCCATCCAGTGTGCCTTGTGCAATTGAGGAGACTTGCGAATGCTGAGACAGAGGGTACTGCTGCACCACGCACACAAATCGGGAGCTGTGATAGAGTTCAACATGTAGACGTTGATTTGATATGCGTGCTTGACGCGTTTGATCAGGGACTCGCTTCATGCACTTGTGAGATAACAAGGACATCTACGGACACTGTCGATCGATGTGCGGGCAGTCTGCCTAGAGGTGCCTGTAACTCGGAGAGTCGCGGTGTCGCCTATGTGTCTTAGCCCCGGAAGATTGGGAGGAAAACCCGAGGTGGCCTGGACTGCGCAGGCAGTTAGTCCA